CAGTTGTTATCTTGGTACATCTTGATTTTCTATTATTGCAGGGATATACGCAACCATGATAATACGAATAAAGAATGGACAGATGAAGAATTGAAGAAACTTTATGAAACCAATGAGAAGCTGCTAGACATTGTTTCACTGTTCTGCTATGTTCCCAGAGCAAAGTATCTACCCCTGGGACCAATAAGGTTAGAGATTCTTGCACCCTTTCAAGCTGGTTGATGTTTGGCTCCTAAACGATACCTGGAATCTACACTGCCCTCCTCATTTGTGGTGGACGTACTAAAACCTCTTTGGCTTATAGTGGTTCTGCTGCCTGTTATCATTTTTTCCGACTGTATGAATTAGTTATATTTGATTTACCATAATCTTCCTCGGGTTAAAATCTGAGACACAGTAAAGGTGGCACAAACACAACTAGATATGGTAAGCACCTACTAGTTCCCCCTAGAAACAATGGAAAGCATCTACTAGACCACATGAGATTGACAACTGTGCTGGAACTGGTAGAAATGGATGGTACACAGAATGTAATTCACGTAGAGTTGAAAAGGGCATCTGCGTAGAAGTGTAGATGCATGGATTAATTGTAACAGTGAGCGGTGATAATGAGGTATAGGACAAAGGAAGTAAAGAAATGAGAGTAATGAGTTGAAAAAAGTAACTCCGTTTTCTTCAAGTTATAAAGACCGAGCTATATGTCAATTATAATGGTGCCTTGGTTTAGGATCAGGTCACAGCATAGGAATTAAAAAGCCAGTTTCCTGAGTTTTTATTCCTGCTGAATTTTCTCTGGGTTCCTGATAGTTGTCCATGGAATCACCTAGGTTGAGAGAGAACTGTAGCTGTCAAACTTAGGAGCCAACTCTTCTGATTTGGATAGTTGAAGTGTGTATGGCTACACAACCAGTGGATGGCACGGGTTTCCTAAACAGGAGCCAGCTTCTTCAATGCCTTTTTTCCAGTCCCTGTACCATCATTGTTAGTGGAAGTATAGGGGGTTCAGCAAAGCAACGGTTATAATTGAAACCAGGATAAACATTGTAAACTGCTTTTCAAAGACCCTAAGGTGATTGTTCTTTGATGTACTCAAGGAACATCAGCTTTTCAAGAACTTTGATAACTTCCATTACGGCGGCAATGTTGAAAACCCTTTGCTTCCGAACTTATTGGCATATTATAACCTCACATATGATCTTTTGATCTTTCTTACATGCAAAATTTTCGATGAATGAATGACTGAGTAATTTGTATGGTTAGATGGTTCTCTACAGCCTACACATAATAACTGATTTATTAGTTCATTTTGCCTGTGGTAAAAAACTTCAAAGTTGTAATTGGGATTGTGAGAGAGCTTTGTGGCTGAACAGGTTCCTGAAGAACCTCCACATTTTCTAAAGACGAAGATAGTGTTTTTTTTTATGATCCTAATGTGGTTCTTTATTGTAATTTCAGCAATAATATTGACCTTTAATTCCTGATAATTGGAGTTTGGCTTTCATTTTTCCACAGTGCAAAACTCATTGATGTGTATCGTACGAAGCACAACATAACTGCATCAACTGGCTTGAGTGATCCAGCTGTCATTGCAACCGGCATCTCTGATCTGGTTTATGAATCTAAGCCAGCTCCTGCCGAATCTGATGGACTTGACGATGACCTGGTAAATGCTTGGGCAGCAAATCTTGGAGATGACGGCTTGATGGGAAACAGTGCACCTGCAATGAGCAGGGTGAGAGGCTTGACAACTTATTTTATTGTGTTTGATATGAAAATGACTGGTTCGAGAAAAGGTTAAGGAGTATCCAGACCTTAACATATGTAGGGAAGAATTTGCAGCACCTCTTGACTCCCTCTAATGAGTTCAACTTCCAGAATTGAGGGACTGACTTCGCGTAGTATCCTGGCTGTTCATAAAATTGGACATGGTGCGGGGGCAGAGGGGGGCGGATTGGGGATTTATTTCCTTGAGTGGGAAAAATGGACATTTGAATCATGGCTATTTACTATAGAATCAAAACCTAATAATATGTGTTTAGGTTTTCATTTCGACCTAGCTGGGCCTCTGGACTACCTGTAGTAGTTTTTGCATCTTCACATAACTAGACTAATCTTCTCTGTCTTGCATGTTTCCATAGTTGCTACAATGTTGACTGGTAGGTGAAGCTTTGTAGTTGAAATGATAAGGCCTTCCTTTAAGCGTATACTTCTTATACTTCGTAACTTGAATTGCAAAGTGTGCATATGGCCTAGTTTTGCTTCTTTATATTATGTTTTGTGTAAGTTCCGGCTCTGCCTTATGCTAGGTAAATGAATTTCTCGCTGGGATGGGTACGGATGCCCCTGATGTGGACGATGAGAATATTGTTTCTAAACCTTCTGTTGGCTATGATGATATGTGGGCAAAGACACTCTTAGAATCATCAGAACTAGAGGTACAATTCTATTGATAATATCACGATTCACATCTCTCTTGGTTGCATAAAAATCCCTAATTCGTAGAGGAAATGAAGTGATATGTTACTCTTATTTCAATTTGCAGGAAGAAGATGCTAGGTCATCAGGTTCCTCTTCCCCTGATTCAATAGGATCCGTTGAAACTTCAATTTCATCACACTTTGGTGGAATGAACTATCCTTCACTTTTCAGTTCAAAGCCAACCAATTATGGGCCATCACAAACCTCGGTATGTTGTCTATGAAGCCAATTTGTCTACTCTTCTTTATCGTACATACAGTTTTGTTGATTGCTAAGTTGTAAAAGACTTTTTGCCCAACCTCCTATAAGACCTTTAACTTTCTTCTATAGAAGCATAAGTGAATTAGCCAGCCAAAGGAAAAATGGAAATGAAACCTGAAGAATGGTTTTCAACCAGACATGGTGTTAATAAAGGTCTTCCTTCCATATTTAGAAGAAAATTTGGTTTCTGGGAAATTTGGCCTTGCCCGGCTTAGATGAATCATTATTTTGAACATCAGCAGTTACCCCAGAGACTATATGCTAGGAAAATATAGCTAAAGTGATGTCTCCCAATCCCATAGTTTCAGATTTTTTACTGTCGAGGCTTGCCCGGCTTAAATTTGACACTAACTCTCTGTGGGTTTACTGATACATTTTTTCTTAACAGGAGAGATCAGGTGGCAACAGATATGGCAGCTCCTCATCAATTTATGAGGGTGCAAGTTCTCCAGTAAGGGGTTTCTGGGTCCTACTCCATTGACTTTATTTTACATCTTGCAAATGATTTGGGGAATTCTGACCTGTTTTCCTTTTATCAGATTAGAGAAGAACCGCCATCATATGCATCTTCAGTCATGCAAAGACACGATTCATTTGAAAACCCCATGGCTGTACCTGAATCATCCAGTTTCGAGTCCCACGATGAAGGACGCCGCAGCACCTCTGGGAACCCTCAATTTGGGTCAGCCCTCTATGACTTTACTGCAGGCGGAGATGATGAGGTAGTGACTGGATTATTATTAATGGGTTGTATGTCATTTGGAATACCATAACCCTTTCGACTTCACTAGAAACTGTGAGGTACTTCTTTTAAGTTGGCTCATTTGGCTTCACATGGTTTCTATTGCAGTTGAGTTTAACATCCGGGGAAGAGGTTGAAATCGAGTACGAGGTCGATGGGTGGTTCTACGTAAGTAATTACGACAGTGTACTCTTGAGTGGATAAAAGAATTGAGGTGTTGGTATGGCAACATATTTTTAAACACTCTACACTGCACATAATTTGGCTCAATAATATGCAGGTAAAGAAGAAGCGTCCTGGAAGAGATGGCAAGATGGCTGGTTTAGTCCCTGTTCTCTATGTCAACCCGCGTTGAGGCCTTCACCGCCTGATTGAAAAAGGAAGTCAGAAGTCTATCAATCCAGGGTTTTTGCTCCATCGGAAGCCAGGAGAGGATTACATGGTGTACGTCTGATCTGGTACTAACTTACTTCCTTTACTTTCTCACCATTTTGCAGTCTATCACATAATCTTGCCCTAAACTTTAACAACTCGCAGCCTGGCATCTGTTGTAGTGGGTACCATGTATCATATGCATACCCCATGCGAGCTTTACGATTGTATTATTGTAGCGAATCAGTGATCACGGAAACTGGTTTCTCGATTCATCAAATGCTTGAGTTCATAGTTCAATTATAGATAAAAGTTTATAGTTTGAACGCAGAAATGAGTCATTCGGTTTGCTATATTCTATCATTTCATCTGGTGTTTCTTTGTGTGAACATCGTCGGTCAATGAGAGTTCTGCGTTTCTGGTTTGCTGTAAATGGTGGCATTTTGTTGCAATTTGATCCGTGTGAGTGATCAATTGTAATGTGATTGACATGATCTGTTCTTTTTCTGGATATTGGAAGAACTAGTTGATCACATCAAAACAAGTTCGACCCATATAGTATACATATGATGATTGCTTGATTGTGTTGTGCTACCCTTTTTCATTTAAGTTTGATACGGTTTTCCAGTCATTAATCCTTCTAACCTCTATATTCATATCTTTAAAAAAAAAAAATTCCAATCTAATTTAGCTGACTACGTATGTTTTTTATTAAGTTGGCAATTCAATTTTTTTCCATAGAAAATAGACTAATTTGATTCTTCAAAATGACATCTTTGATTTATTTTGAAAAATATTTGAGACATATATGACGAGTCTATACCATGGTGTTAATAGTACACATAATTACACCATGGTAGTATAGAAATGTCTCATGATGATATGAATATAACATACTGTATAATGTTTGTATAAATGATACTACGAATATACCCACCACCATTTACCAAACTTCACTTTCGTCTACTACAAGTTATCACCATATATGTACCATTTGGGTGGTATGTGCAGTATATTTGCTCTTAATTTTATTTCAAAAATTTATTGATCATTATGAATAGATTCGACTGTTTTCTATTATTTATTTTTTCAATAACAAAGACGATACAGAGTGGTAAGGGGGTAATACAAATAAATTTGTTGGAATATATCGAAAATAAATATATTGATCATTATGAACACGTTAGACTGTTATTTTCTATGATTTTTTCTTTCTTTCAAGACGAGTTCAAAATGAAGGGGGTGCAGAATGGTATCGAGGTGGTACATAATTGTTTTTCGAAATATATCGAAAATAAATATAATTTTATAGATCACAATACACCTGTTCCGTTTATGCAAAAATTGAGTTGCAATAAAGAAGATACAAACCAAAATTTCATTGGTTCATTCCTCCCGATATTTTAAACCATTCAAAATTATAACCTAATGATGTGACTACTAATTACTAAAGTTTACTTAAGGTTACAAAAACGAAGTTGTTCTTAGCACTTCTACTATGCTTTAAAGTATTGGTGCTTTAAAGTAAAATTTTAACTTGTACCATAACGTTAAAGGTACAAGTTAGAGTTATACCATAAGGGAATTTGACATTTACGTAGTGGTACAACTTCAACTCTTCAAGATGATCTAGAGTTAATGCCACCGCAAGACGTTGATCCTATGACGAGGATGTGTTGGGGGAAGGAAGACCATTGAGAAAGGTAACTCGATCTCCTAACAAAATACAATGATTATCATCTTGACGGAAACACTATAGTTTGGGGGGTGTTAAGAATGCCAATGCTTGCAACAGATATCTGTTTGCTTGAATGTTAATCATCTGAGTCCAGCAAATAGGTTCTATGAAATTATTGTTATAAACTTAAATTAGCCAACGTCTTATTATGAATCCATCAAAAGTGATGAATGGAACAGGACAATAAACAATGATATATACTCACTTGAAGAGAAACCAGATATGGGGCTTCATGCAAATCTATGGACCAGATTTCTTGGACACTTACTCTCTAGTGGCCGAGATCAATTTTGTCAAGGCATTCATAGCAGTAGCCAGCGTGAACAATCATAGTGGGAGCGAGGGTCGATGATGGATAAACGATTTTAGCCTCAGGAGATCCCTTTGTCGATCGGTTCAGTCAATCAAGACATTGTTGATCGTGGTCCTGCCGGCCAAAAGATAAAACTGGGGGCCAGGGATAATGCATAGATAGATCGATGCAAGTGGTGCTGAGATTTGTCACGAGACACAAATAAGTTTTGACGAAGAAAAAAATATAATAATTTTTTTTTCCGGTAATTAATATAATAAATTCATATGTATGCTTATGCAATGAATTGAACTGACCACAACTTAAAAAAGCGACATAAGGGTATTTTGCCACAATGCTAAGGACATCAAATAGTAGTGGAGTGAAGTTATTAAATACAAACGCAATAACTGTTGCAATCCCATCAAACCAAATAGATAGTATTATATTTTGACATAAATTCTGGCAATCTCATCTCTACAATACAATTTTATTAGGATTCACATTCCATGATACATAGTTGACAAAGTCATCCGTAATTAATAATATCCGACAAGTTTTTTTTCTTCTTATTCTTCGTTATAGTTCTAAGCCTTGTGAGGAAACAGACGAATAGGAAGACCGTTCGCCGGCACACAAATAGGATTCACGATGATTTTTTCACCGGGGATCAACATCTCGAACCTGAATCGCTTCACCAAGTTGTGCATAAACACCAGAATTTCAAGGCGAGCATACTCTTTCCCAGGGCACATCTTGGGACCTCCTCCAAAAGGAACGAACGTGTATGGCTCCGGACCGCTGCCGTCGAATCTGCTGGGATCGAACTTCTCCGGTTTCGGGAAGTACTTCTCGTTTTTGTGAGTTGAAGGTGCACTCCAATACAACTGCATTTATATATACATACATATCCCATTTGTGTTAAACTACAGAGTGCATACGTGAAAACGTAACCCATGAAAAGGAAAGAAATAGTAAAACTATACGTGTACCTTCCAACCCTTGGGGATGGAGAAGCCATTGAAAATGAAGCTGGTTGTGGCTTTCCTGAACGAGCCTTGAACAGGAGGAGTGAGCCTAAGCACTTCACAAGCTACGTTCCACGAGTACTTCATCTTCTTGATGTCTTCCCAGTTCAACAATTCCCCAGCTGATTTGCTTCTCGCTATCTCCATTTGTTCTGCAAAAAAAAAAAAAAAAAATGGAGCCACTTGATTTTCAGCTTAGGGACAATGAAGACCAAATGATAGAATAATCGAACCAGAACTGATCGATGCTACTTATAACAGAAAAGGAAGAAATCTGATCTACAAGTCTATGGTTGTCACTAGGGCTGCCTATTTGGTCCGTACTGTTTGGTTTTACCCGAAATCGATCTATATAATCCGGACCAGGACTGGATAGCAAACGATCCAATCTAATATTCAGGCTTAGATTTGAGGTAAAAAAAATCGTTTGACACCGGATCGAAAACCGGATAAGAGGCCCCAACACCCAAAACTTAACCAACTACTCACCCTTTGAGGCCTCAGGCCACTCAAATCCCCACAAGCTCAATCTAAAATCAAAACCAAATTGGGACTAGACCGGGTCAATGCCGGACTGTATCCAATCCAATTTTTGGTCCTTATATTTTCGAAAAGACCGGACCGGATCAGTTCGGGCCAATTTAACCGGATCGGACCGTATAGCCACCCCTAGTTGTCACCGTCACAGAGTGTCGTGTCGTTGAGAACATTGGCGTAGCTAGAAATATAATTTAGTGGGGTCCAAACTAAAATAAATGTGATGTTTGTCTTAATGGTGAAATCATTATCTTGTGAAGAGGGGGTTCATGATTCAAAACTTACTAACTTCACCTTAAAATTTCATCATGTTTAAGGTAGACCATCATAAACCCTAGTGTCTCCAAATACAGGTAAGATTCGTGGGTGCGATTTTATAAAGTTTCTGGTGGCTGAATGCACAAGATCAATTTGGTTCTTGTGAACAGTTTGATGCACTATTTTTTATCAGCGAAATATAGTAAATGGAAGGAAAATTTATAGACCGACGAAATGTTTTTTCTGTAATTGAATCTCCTTTTTAGTAAAAATTATTTACGTAAGTGGCGGACCCAGAAATTTTGCCAAGGGTATTCACAAAAATAAATAAAATAAAATAAAAAGTTTAATTCATAAAGTACATCAATGAGTTGTCGATGATAGAAGAAGGGCAAGCAAGGGTTCTGTCAAAAAATTGGGAATTGTAATTGGAAATATTGGAAGTCAGATGTCGAGAGTTGTTTTTTATTGGGGTAGAGTTTTCATTCCCCAAAAAAGAGAAGGAGATTTAATAAAATCTTAATGGGACTTGGATTCGGCAGATTAGACGGGAATTAATTTTGAGCATTATATATTTGCTTTGGAATGTCTATAATAACAATTGGATAGTGGTTTAATGGAACTTCTATTAGGTGTAAGGGTTGTCAAAATGTCAAGGGTTCAAATCATGCTAACAACAATATATTTTTTCCTATGCTAATTTGTTCCACATTTTTAGCCAAGGTTTGTCAACTGACTACCCTTGGCGTTGAACAGGTCTGCCACGGCGGAGAGTGATCATGACAACAACAAAAGAAGAAATTGTTTTTTTAGCTAGTCACGGACCCAGCCAGTTGGCCGGATGCAATTCGTCAAGTCCATAAACAACAGTCGCAATTAGTATGCGAGATATGTATTTATCATAGCCATAGGCCTTTACTCACTAATTAGTTTTTGCCCGAGGTTTTTAGTTCGAGTTTCTCCAGAAAGAAAAAAATTCTCTCTTTGTTAATAATTCTTTACCTCGAGTCTAAATCTTAGTTAAACATTCTTGATCTTAAATTCAAGATAACGGTAAACTTGTTTTCGTCAATTCCGTAAACAACAGTAACTATTAGTATGTGAGACATGTATTTATCATAGCCATAGGCCTTTACCCACTAATTAGTTTTTGCTCGAGGTTGTTAGTTCGGGTTTCTCAAGAAAGTAAAATTCTATATTTGTTAATAATTCTTTATATTGGGTCTAAATCTTAGTTAAACATTCTTGATATTTAATTCAAGATAATTAAAGTACATAATATCTCACCAAATTTTCTTTTATTTTGGTCAAACATACTCGACTATAAACTAACAAATTCCCCAATGATCATTAATTGCATGCTAGCCTTAGTCCTTAATTAAGGATTTTTAGACATTGATAGAGGCCATTCTAGATCATTTGCTCACTTTTCTCAACTAAGACACTTAATTCTTAGTCATTCTCCTCAAACATTTGATTATTCGCAGCACAGAAGGTGAATTAAAGCTAATCTAAAGTCTCCAGCATGTCTCACCTGACGTGACGTAACAACGATATAAAAATGCGTTAATCTCATTAATGCAAATGCAAGTTGCTATAGGTTTTTCTTGGTTTTGGTATTTTCATTACCACCTGGTTTAGATGTTAAAGTCGCCATTTTTCAGTCTGCAAGTTTGTTGATATATTTGAACAAATACTTGATAGCCACTGATAACATAGTAAATTAATCATGACTTAGAAACATTCGAATAAATTATAATAATAAAGTTGAAAAAATCTATTGAACTATGAAGCGTTATATATTGATTATTGACTCTTCAAATTTGGTTTCACCCTATTTTGATTTATATATTTCCAAAAGAAAATTGTTAAAATTTTGGTGATAATTATGTTCTCTTGGCATAGCGTATGAAGAAAATAAACAAATCAGGATAGGACTCATAGGACTAAATAAATTAAAGAAGATGAAAAGAGAAAGCAATCTTTGGATCGAGTGTAGTATTTACCTTTTACAATGATATATTGATGAATTGATGTAGGGCTCGTTTGGAGAATATGAGTCTAAATCTATAAATTGTCAACAATCTAAAAATTTAAACTCTTCGGATTGTTGAAAATAGATTTTAAAAAGTTTATTGTTTGGTAACATTGATTGTTAACGTTCAATAAAAATAAAAATTATAACTTTATATTAAATATCATATTTATCCATAATAAAAAATTAGAGTGGTTCGAGAAATATTGAAAACTTTGTTGATAAATATATTTAATGTGATAAATAAATAAAAGGAAGAGATAAAGTAGGAGGGGAAAAATCTCACGAATTAAGATATAGAATCTCTTTGATTATGAGAGATATGATATCCACGAATTTTAGAGATTTGAAATATCTAATGCTAAAATTCATCATACAAAAAAAACATAACATTCTACAAAATCTATGGATGCAGTGAATCCACGGCCTAAATCCTGTTCTCCAAACGACCCCGTAGTCTAATTGTATTTATTTTTGCGAAGGCCTGTGTAACATCCCGAACCTTTTCCCGACAAGATACTGTCCGCTTTGGGCCTCTACACCCGCACGGATTTTGACTTGGGGTGCAATTCAAGGTGACTTCCCATAAGGTCACCCATCCTTGTTGTACTCCACACTGAGCACGTTTAACTTCGGAGTTCTCACAAGAACTCTTCCATTACACCCCAAAACGCGTCTTGTCAGTTAAGGTCGGTTTCCTACTTATGAACCATGGATCTCTCCCGTGCTTTGTCGATGTGGGATTTGCCTAAGGTGTTACACCTTGAATGTGGGTAGGAGTATAAATGGGTCCAACTTTTAGGAGTCAGGTTGGGTCGCTTGCTTGGAAATAATCCTAGGGCCTAGAGGCCCATCTTCTGAATTAAAGGAAATGACTAAAGAGTCCTTCCGTGAGCTGCGCACAAGCCAGCAAAAAAGAAATCGTGTGGGTCTTGGAAGAGAACGTCTATATAGTATTGTTTGATGATTTGATTTGATTTGATTTGGAGTGGTGATTGTTTGATTTGGTTTGATTTGATTTGATTTGGAGTTGTGGTGGCGTGGGGAGATTTTTGGTGAGGGTTGACTTCGGCGCCATAATTAAGGAGAAAGAAATGGAGGAGGGGAGGTGGATGAGGAGAAGTAAACGATGGTTAGTTGGTTACTGATCTATGCATAATCTTGTTGATATTAAAATATACAATATTGAATTGTTGATATAAAAATGTACTAGGATGGTATTTGATTGTGCGCGTAAGAAGCATTAGTTTAAATAATAGTCAAAATATATTAAATATCATCTACTACCTTCCATCACCATTTATCCTCATTTATTATTATAGTGACTGGTGGTATATTTGATCCCAATTTTCTAGAAATATATAAAATTTGGTAAATCATGATAAACACGTCGATTCTGTCCAAAAAAAAAATCAAAATTTGAATTAAAAACGAAGGTGATAAAGGGTGGTAACTCGCAACAGGTACTTCATAAAGGTTAGTAGATAACAGTTGGTCCGGAAATAAATTTGATGAAATATATAATTTTTAAATTTTTTTTATAAATCACAATGAACTCGTTTCTTTTATTCAATTTTTTTTTAAATATGAGCTAAAAGAGTTACAAGTCAATTAAAAAATAAAAGATACAGAAAAATGGTAAAGGCTAGTGTAATCCGGAGCGTACGCTTACCTTACCGTTTCTTTTATAAATCACAATGTCCTATTACCTATACCCTAATCCCTAATGGGTGAACTTCTGTCCCCAATTCACTAACCCAAAACACAATATCCAGTTAATCTTGAAATGAAAATCAACGATTCTGATTCGTCGAATTGAATTTCATTTTAAAATTAAACGAATCTAATGATTTGTTCAGAAAATTAGGGACAGTAGTTCACTAACATTAAAAAAACAATTTAACCATTGCTCATGTTATACTCGGCGGAGGAGACGCACCTTGGTAAACTCGATCGTAAACATCAGGGAGCTCCGACAAGAACTTTACGATGAAAGTACACGTGGCGGCGGCGGTGTCGTGGCTACCGACCAGAAGCCCCAGTATCTTGTCAGCAATGTCTATCTCGCTCATGTGCTCCCCACCGTCGTCGGTCGCCGTCAGCATATACGACAATATATCCTGATGCGCTTTCATCACACGATCACACCCCTCCTCCGCCGCCGCCGCCGCAGCCGCCAGCTCAGCCTTCCTCCGTCTAATAATCCCCACCAGATACTCCTCCCTTATAAACTTCGACGCCCTGATCGCCCTCCTGAACGGCGTCCAGGGCAGATCGAACGGCAGTGCGAAAATCCCGGACGCCACGTCATCGAACGGGACGCCGAGCTCCGCAATTCGCGCGGGATCGTCCAGGCTGACGAACAGCCGACACGCCACCCAGAACGTGTACTTCTTCGCCAGCGGGAGCACTTCCACCCGGTCGCGATCCTCCCACAGCGAGGCGAAGTGGCGGCGGGCCACCTCGTCCATTTCTCCGACGTACCTATTTGTAGTACGAGTAGTATTATGTGAGAAATGCAGTTAATGCGATTCTATCTAGAAGCGGAAAAGAGGTCAAATCGTGAAGCGTAGAATCAAAGCGTAAAAGCGTAAGTTTTTTACCCATACTACTGTAAAATAACTAAAAATATGTTAAGTACGACATATACTATATAAAATATGAGTGCACATAATTTAGATAAGTTAATAAATACTTCCAATTCATGTTTAAAAGTAGATCAGCTCATAGCATCTTAACAATAAGACACATTTCCCCTATATGCTAATGAATTTGGGAAGGGCCTAGCTGGTGAATTAGATTACTCTACCAAATCCGAGAATGCATCCGCAAGTACGTGGTATGTATCTTTTGATCTCAAATGTATCATATTGTTGGTGTTTTTACCTTTAAAATATACTTTTTTATAATTAATTTTATGAAAAAGAATACCTATTTAGTCAACTAAAAGCGTAAAGCGTTTTGGTAAACTAGAAGCGTAAGTTTTTAAGCTTTATAAAGCGATTTATTCCGATTTTATACGCTAAAGATTTTATATGGAAACGAAAAACGTTTTGGTGATCTAGAAGCGCAAAATCGAAAGTTTTTAAGTTTTAAAACGTGATTTTGACTATATTAGCTGTGATTAGTGTTATGTAACTGAACATAATTATATTTCTTATCAGAGTCGCGTAGAAATCCGAATAACAGTACCTCTGGAGGGCTTCGGGTTTCATGAACTGCGGCAGGAACTTCCGGAACCGGCGGGACTCCTCGTACACGGATGTGGTCTCGCTGAAGGGGAAGATCTTGTTGACGGAGTCCGGCCACCACATGATCACAAGCTTGTTCTCGTTGGTGAAGAGGAACTTGTTGCCCTCGGCGCCGGCGAGGACGACGGTGGGCTCGCCGACGATGTGGGTCTTGAACACGGAGGAGGAGAATTCTCGGATCCGATCGGTGACGAACTTCTCCGGGCGGCCGGTCCATCCGGTGGAGAGGAAGTCTAGGGTTTCGCCGAGGTAAGGGATGCCCGGCCGGCCCGGCGGGAGGTTCGGGTGGTTGTAATATTGGGATCTGTGCTTGTAGAAGATGGCTGAGAGGGTGAGGAAGACGGTGGAGATGAAGAGGAAGAGAAGGTTGAGGTACAAGTTGGTGTGATAGTATTGCTCCATGTTGTTTGTTTTTTCCCCCGCTATATTGTTGTTTACGGACAGTTTACCTTATATAGAAAAAAACGTCACAAGGATTTCGGGTTAATTGCATGGTTGGTCACTGAGATTACAAAAAACGTTCAAGTTTGGTCACTCGAAATATTTAAATTCATTGGTGGTACTTCAATTTACTAAAATCTTTCACGTTTGGTCACTCTCCGTTAAATGTGTGACGTGACAATTTAAAAATAATAAAAATAAATTTTTTAAACTTTTCATTTCATTTCTAACTATTAAAAATAAAATCATAAAACCATCAAGACTCTAGGAGGGTGAGTCTATGAAATTAGGAAAGCTACTTGGACTTTTTAAAGAGGTTTGAGGTGGTGAGCTCAACATCATCTCTAACGAAGCTCCACCACACGTATGTGAGAGGAATGGTTGTGGCATGCCAAATTGAATGAGCATCGAAGTAGCCTTTGTATGGAGGGAAGTCGTAGATCTCATCTCCAGCAGCACGCCCAGTCCCAGTCCGCCTCCGATTACTAGTACCCAGACCTTCCATCGAGATGGATGGCGGCTCACTTCTGCCAAAATCACCCACGTGAGAAGCTGGGCGATACCCATTGCAACACAGACTATGATGTTCCATCCGTATTTCATCTGATCTTGTAAAAGTTGAGGTACATTATATGGGTTGTGATAAATGCGAGTAGTGGAGCTGCTGCGGCCATGACTCTGGAAGTTCTTCATCCTCTTAAAGAGACTGTAAAGAGAATTACGAAATTTCGGCCAATTCACGAAGAAGGACGAACCTTGGCGACATCGCGCTGTAGCTTCCTCACAGTATTGGAGAGCGAAGCATTCCCCCTCGACAAGTTGTCATGTTCAACCCAAAAATTGCAAAAAAAAATCAGCTTTGTATGCGTCGCTCTTCATCAGCCTCTCAAGCCTCTCTACCAAGTTCGCCGGGATCTGGATCCGCCGCGGAATCGATCGTTGCAGCCAAACATAGAGCAGATCCAGCCTTCGCGTTCAAATCCTGCTCCGTGAAAACAGCCTCGCTCAGCCCCTTGAGGAAGGGAGAGGAGAACGGCGGCCTGGTGACCTTAGAGTAGAGGGAGGACACGGGGGCGACGCACTCAGAGCAGATGGAGGAGTCGAAGTCGCGGAGGCGGCGTGGCGACGCACTCTCTAATTATGGCCGGCGAAGAGGAGGAGAATGGAGAGAGGATTCCCCTTGTTCTTAATTTTAATAGTTTATAATTTTATTTTTAATAGTTAGAAATGAGATGGAAAGTTAAAAAAAATTATTTCTATTATTTTTAAATTGTCACGTCACACAATTAACGGTCAACTTTTAGAGTTGATTGCCACGTAAACAAAAGTTAACGGAGTTGTACGGAGAGTGACCAAACGTTAACGGTTTCAGTAAAATGAAGTATCACCAATGAATTTAAATATTTCGAGTGAGCAAACTTGAACGTTTTTTGTAATCTCAATGACCAACCATGCAATTAACCCAAGGATTTCTATTTCGGCACCTGTCTTTGTCGGAATATTTATGACATTACCAACCGGAATTTGTTGCGGTTAGGCGTGGAAGTTAAAGTCAGTCATCACGGACGAAAATGGCCGCCTCAATGGTATATGAATTCGTGAATTAAACTTCAATAATAGCTGGAGAATGACCCGCTCGCTTGCTCTTGCTGAGAGTGACAATTGTGACTGCTGGTGGGATATGTACGTTGCTTCAACAAATCAGAATCATCCAAATGTTATTTTTTATTAAATGGATCTTCATGACCGAATTTAGAGAATTATGGGATAGAGATTTATTTATTAAAAGTTAGGGTATAGTATTATATCCAAAATTCAATTTTATTTATGGTCTACATAGAGATATTAAGGGTAATTCTAGTGAAACATCTATGTCTAGATCATGAATTAAATTGAGTTTGGGGTTTAACACTATACTCTAACTTCTAATGGAGAAATCTCGGAGTTTAATTATCTAAACTCAAATTTAAAGATCAATTCACTAAAAGATTACGATCGACGACTAAGATTTGCCAAAGTACAACGAAATGCATCCAACGGTCACGTCTCTTGGCATATGGTGTAGGAAATAACTGGCTTACTCTTGGAGTATACCATATTAGCCGGTCATTTCCCTTATATACATAGATATATGGTGACGAATGGTGTACTCTCGGAGTATACCATACTCCAAGAGATCTGGCAATTGGATGTACTTTCTTGTATGTCGGCGAATCACAATCATCTATGTTATGAGACAATCCAAGTACTCCAAAAGATCATTATCTATTAGTGTCCACCAAGCTCATTAGTCCAAGGCCTTTCGGGGAGGATACCCAAAATTAAATTCGTACGGACTAAGCCCAAAGTGGACAATATCGTACTAATAGAACATCCGATCTCGACAAGTGGTATCGGAACGTGGTACCGATCCAGGACGGTGGACTCCAATTTAGTGGACCCTCATTCGGTGACCTCAGGATTTGATATTCGCGTCTTTTGGAGCAAGGGAGATCTATGGTTTTCTAATAGATCAAGTGGAGATCTACATATGGTAGATCCTTGTGTCGAGCAAAGTCTGCGATACAAGATGTCTGGGGAATCAAGATAATCCCTTAAGGGAGGATACAAAGCTCTTGGTCTTTGTCTCGAGGGGAGGATTATAATGGACAATCCAAGTACCACATCGTATATACAAGAGATAGGAACCTTCTACATCATTATCCACAAAGTTCATTAATACGAGGCCATTTGGGAAGGAACCTAAAAGTAAATCCGTGAGACCTTGACCCAAAGTGGACAATATCACACTTATGGAGCTATTTGAGTTTAACAAGTGGTATCAAAGGTTGGTTTGGATTCGATTATGAGCGGTAGATGTCAGTAGGGTGGACACTCAGATTGTGACATCGAGATTTGAGATCCGCATTATTCTAGCGGATCAAAGGAGATGTGCGTCCGTTTTGGCAGATCAAGTGAAGATCTGCGTCTGTCTGGTGGATCAAGGAGATATACATATGGTAAGTCTTTGCGGCAAAGAGCATGTCGATATAAGGTGTCTGGTGGATAGGTAATCGTTGAGGGGAGGACACAAAGTTCATGGTCCTTGTCTTGAGGGGAAGATTGTTAACCGTCTAAGTACCACATCATACATACAAGGAAAATAATCCTTGTATATTAGGACTATACTCTTTAGCATGATGTCTTTTGAAGAGGTAAATTCATGCGAATTTGGCGCAAAGCGTATCATGCGACAAACTTGATTTAATTCATGATATACACGTAGATATCTTATTAGAACTTAAAAGTATATAAATTATCTTATAGTATAGCAATACACCAATATCATCCATATATATAATTGGTATATATATATATAGAGAGAGAGAGAGAGATGTATTGGAGTTGTATGAAGAGGAAGAGAAGGTTGATGTACAAGTTATTGTGATAATAATTCTCCATCCTTTTCCCCTATATTGTTGTTTATGGACAGTTTACTTGATATAGTTAAGTCAACCAGTTGGTTTTCCATCTTTCATATAATGTTCTTCTTGTTGGGTTCCTCTCTTCGGAACCAATTGGTATTATTAGTATATGAATTGTTGGTATAGCTTCAATTTGTTTATCGGCTGGTGGGCAACTGGATGTTGTTTATACAAACCTTCTAATTAGTATATAATCTGTACACTTCAAAAAGGTGAAATGTATCTTTCATGCAACCTATGCAACATGACCAATGGATCACAATATAATTAACAACAAGTGTTTGGTCTAATGATACACTATCATTAATTTTCAATCCGGAGATCTTAGATTTAAATCTCTTAAATACAACCTAATGGTGAAAATTAAAATCTAATCTATTACACCCTTATAAAAAAAAAGTAATAAATCATTGATTTTAAGCCACGTGTGTAAAAGAGGAAGGTTCACTATAAGGAAGGTAAAGGGGTCTGAAAATTAACACGTAAACTTGGAGCAAAATTGAGAACAATATACGGTGCAAAACATATAAATGATTCCAACATGCAATCCAAGGGGAAAAAATGCAATTGAAAATATTACTGATATTAATTACATCTTTAGGATTAAGAAAAATCATATTTTGGGAATTTTTAATTCATAATAATTATTATTTTTAATTAAAATCCTAGTGGAATAATTTTATTTCGGCCACCTTCTTCCGGTCACCTTCATTCTTTGTCAGATATATTTGAAAAACACTACAAATGGAATAAAAACAGTACTAGTGGAATACGAAGGTTGCCTTGCCATGAAAACGAAAATGTCAAAGGATTTCTATTGCGCCAGCACTTGTCTTTCTTGGAATATTTTTTTTACATTACCAACCTGATTTTGTTGCGGTTAGGCTTGGAAATGGAAGGTCAGTCATCACCGACGAAAAAGGCCGACGAAATATTCATATGCATCTCAAGGGAAAAATCGTGTAGATCTATATCCAAAACGGACAATATTTTATCGGAGAAAAATTCAAGATATTACAACATTTTTCATATGGCAGCGTTTTGTTTACATTGAAATTTAAGTTTTGACTCCTTAATCGATGAAGTACCTCCTTAAATGATTGGTTGCCAATTTCACATAAATCCAAGTTAGGGCGTAATTAGGGCATGCAAAAACTTTCATATGGAGCCTCTAGTTAGGGCCTAATTGTTGGCTTCCTCTCTTCGTAACCAATTGTGTTTTTTTGTTTTTTTTTGGTGAAACCAATTGGTGTTTTTTAGTATATACGATTTGTTGGTGTGGTTTTAATTTGTTTTTTTTTTTATGATTAATCAAAAATTGCATTAAGCTCTAGAGGCGCAACTTGCAACCACTTTTCTCACGGTACAAAGAGTTTTGATCTAATTAGATAACTACTTACATCAGCAAAATGAAAGAGCTCTGTGCTCTATATTATATACTGGCTTCAATTTGTTTATTTCGTCGACAACGAAATATTTATATTAGCCTTCTAATTATTATATAATCTTTATAATTTTAAAAAAATATTTTCTAGCTTATAATTATTATAGATGCCGTATTAGTGAAACACTTAAATTTGTATATTTTATTTTTTGTTTTGTTGATTTGTTCCCTATATAATTAAAACCTCTATAAATTAATATAATGGGGACCATGAAACTTATTAATTTATATTGATTATTATTTAATCGTTAAATTAGCAATTTATTAATTTAAAGAGTTTTTAGTACTATCTATCTATGGTTAACATGAATGACTTTATAACCATCAAATCATATTCACAGATGAGATGTTAATTTTATTTTATTACAGATATTGTTTGCTATATTTTGATAAATTAACTTTTAATGTTTATTGTATTATATTAATCATCATCCAAATTCATTCATAATTACTTTAAAAACCCATAACAATTCTTCGTGTCTTCCAATATATCTAGTTCATACAATAACTTATTGGATTCTACATATTCATTGTACTAATAGATGAGAACTCATGGTTGACTCCAACATAGATAAAAACTAATCGTATTCATTCCAAGTTCATACGGTACCTAATATGATAACTAATCGTCCAAATAGATGAAAACTATGTATTCATGCATACTTTAGTTTAGGTGTTCAAGATAAATACTCGATGTATTTTGTAGATCTTCTAAATTCTAGTTTTAAGTTACCTGTACATTTATATTCATTGATCATTGATAAGTGTCATACATACAAATGCATTGATTTTGATGATTTTAGTGTGTGTTTTATGTTAAAATGGCATGAATTTGTGTTGGATTAACCACGGAATGACCCTTGTGTCATTATCAAATATGTGGTGTATATTTGCAAATTTTAGTGCAATTTTACATAAAAATGATTATATGAGCAAAACTGAAATGCAAAGGCACTGCAGATATTTGCAGATGTACACATTAAAAATGAGCGCGAGCCAAGAATCGACTGGTTTTGGTTTGGACCAAATTTCCAAGCCAGGCCCATGTGAGCCAGGCCCATTCTATTCGTTTCTTTGGAGCACAAGGGACAAGGGTATGATCTGAAATCTGAATTAATTGGACCGGATCCGCTTTTGAGGGAGGACTCGCGGAGCAGCAACCGTGAGCGGACCGAGAGATTGATTTGGCTAGGGGTGTTCAAACGGAGTGGTTACCGTGGTAACCATTTTAACCAGTAGTATTTGACTAATTTGGTTTGGTCAATTTCGATAATTGATTTGGTTTGGTTAAAAAATTTAGCTTGTTTGGTTTAGGTGGTTTGGTTTCAGGCACTCCTAACCAATCAAACCAAACTAACGAGTTAAGTAATTTGTCATATATCTCATGTATATTATATACACATACTTAATACTTTGCATAACCCCTCAAGAGTCAAATGTAAGATAATTGTATTTGTTACATGTATTTACGTTAAGGGTTAACCACAATTATGTGGATTATTATGTGTTGTTCATTATATAAATTGCAAATTGATGCACTAACTGAAAATTTTTCTCACTTAATGATAATGTGGTGTTATATTGGTTGTTTTGGTTAACCAATTAACCAAACCGAATACACTTTAGTTTGGTTAATTTGGTTGTTGTATTAGTTTGGACAGTTTGGTTATAAAATTGTATTCCATAGTTAATAGATTTTAGACTTATTTGGTTTGGTTATTACCATAGTAACCATTTGAACACCCTAGATTTAGCACGAGTTTAGGGGTGTTGAAGTAGTTACCGTGATAACCAGTAATCATATAATTAATAGTGTTTGGTTGGGTTAATTTTGATAAATGTCTAATTGGTTTACTTTGATTAAAAAATTTAGTTTATTTGATTTAGGTGGTTTGGTTTTGTTTTAAACACTACTAATCGATCATCAATTAAGCAATTAGCCATGTATCTAATATACTATATGATACACATAATACATTGACCAACCAGTAACCACTCAAAAGTCAAGTGTTGCTCTCTTTATTACCCATCAAAAGAGTAAAATTCGTTAATGTATCCATACTACAATTAAACCATAGATTAAGCACAAAATATCATATCACTACTGACTTCGCATGCATAATCTCCAATATAATTTTACAATCATTGGTTTAAATAGAAGATTAAGTTTGGAATACAAATCATACAGTTGGGTTACTGATTTAAAGTTTGCACGTGTTTATCATAATTTGTATACACACCAACGGTTTAATATTAGCAGAGGTCATAGAGATTAGTACAAAGAGCTTTTTGCCATCATGAACTCTAATACTAAGAATCAATTGGTCTTAATTACTCGAATTATTTAGAGATTAGAAAATGAACTTTATTATTTCTTACCATTAAACTTTAACCAATCAAATTTCAAAAACTGTATCAATCTTCCTCACGGGATGCATCCTTACGCGTCCTACATTACTTGTGCAAGTCTACATACCATCTAGAATTCTTGTTGAAACACTTGAATGCAGAAGTTGTTCTGGAGAAAAGAAACACAAGAGATTAAACGAAGCACAATTACGGTGGATTCCAACCAGCTACTATTCAATCAAACGGCAAATCTGTAGTAAAACCAGGACGATATTCGAGGACGATATTCGAGGACTCACTGACATTACATTACACACTCATGGACATTATCTGGCGGGCAAGACCAGGGTCCTGCTGCAAAAGTTCCCTCAAGTTGTTCTCCACCTCCGCCATCTGCTTTTCCAAGTATTCCTTGGAGGTCTGTCCAAAAACAAAACGTGATTCGCAGTTTATATTACGATTTCTCATGAAAGAGTGGTCCAGTTCAGTAAAAGCAGAGATTCATTATCTAAGTTTAACAAGGCAAGACATAACTTTGATGACGATTTCAAACTCTAGTGGCAAGCAAAGAGGTACCCAGAGTTTAACGAAGAACTTTTACATCACGAAACATACAGTGATATGGAAGATATTACGTTAAATTTGTTGTGAGTAGGAGTTGGTGTGATTAGTAGACAGAGAGTTGGAAGCAGCAAAAGGAGAAGAGAATGAGAAAGGTCATGTACCTGCAGCGATGCTATTGCAGATTCACTGTCCTTGTGCTTTTGCTCTTGCTCAGTCATCAACACAGGCTTAGGCTCCAAGACAAACCTGGTCACCATAAAAGAGAGACATCCATTACTTACAGTCACGTACCTAACAGTAAACAGGTCGTCATTTGGCAAGAGCAAAACCAGACTGTGCAGGACTACTCACGTTCTCCCTGCAGAAGGATAAAGGCATGAATGTTAACCTCAATTCGTTTCGCCCTCACAATATGGAAATAGTCAAATAACAAACCAACAAAATCAGCTCGATAAACCAGCAATAATGGCAGACAAAAGGAGCAGCGCAGGATAGAGCCCCATGTAAAGGAAGTTTTTCTGCCTTCTTACCTATGGACTTGTATGTATTTGTGCCATCAGGTACATGCTGCAACTCCTGCAAAGTCAGGTAAGCACGCTTCTTTTCTCCCTCTTTAGTACGCATCTGGTTCTGCACCTGAAACGAAGGCCCGTCGATTCATATTAATGACAACAACTTTTGCCAGCCATTCATTCATCTTCTGAAGTATAACAAGCACCAAACCAAGCAAGAAAACGGAGAACAAAAAGCAAAATAAAGAGAAACATCCACTCATCTCCCCTTGTGATTTTTCAGCACAGCTTTTTAACTACATAATGCAGGGCACAAGCCTAAGAATCTAAAATCAAGCTCACGCGTACCAAACATTGGTCCCCCTCGATACCGATTTCGCAGGAATCACTTAACCAGAAACATATTACAAGCAAGAACACCAGCTAAAATGGCATAGTAGAATGACATCCCCGGGCAGAGTACCCAATTCTTGATCAAGACTCAAGACTATGATGTTTCAAACTCAAATCAACTTACTAATCTTAACGTATATTGCTGTATAGACATGGAGACCGATAATCAACTTTCAAATTTGCGTCCAGATTGGTCCAATGAGTTCAAAATTCCAGCAAATACAGCTGAACAGCGACTAACCTGCTTAAGTTTGGCGGTAGTCTCGATCATGCGACCTTGAATCTCCATAAAAGCCTGCGGAAGCAACAATATTTCCACAAATTCACATGAGGACGATGGGTATTAAAATCTTTCACCAGCTAGCTTCCTTTGACAGAATTAGGCGTTGCATAGAGAGCGAAGTGAAAGGATGTTCTTACAGTTCTGTTCGCTTCGTCCGCCATTGGAAATCAATAGACTGAGAGCTAGTGCTGACTGTTGAGTGCCGACGGACACGATCATGCGATGCGATGGGGACGCTCGGGAGCGGAGAGGAGGGAGCTAATCTAGGGTTTTCCGGGTGTGAGTTTCTCCCCGGAACTTGGATCCAACGAGGAAGCGGTGGTGATTCGGGTGGAATGGATGCCCGTTTTGGTTGGACCGCACCAGTATAACAATATTAAGCTCTTGATTCCGTTTGTAATGTAATCAAGGTTGTCAATACTGGTTTAGAGAGTGAAATAGTACGACTTATAGTACGACTAATTTATGTTGGTTATGCTGATTTTAAGAGAATACGTGAGAAAAATGAAAATCATCAATATCAAATAAATTAGTTAGGAAGAAGTAATTGAAAGAGTTAATTCACACAAAATAATTCATAATCAGAAATTGATAACTAATACTAAACAATTAGATACGTAAAATTAAAAATATATTTAGTTTAACTTATTGGTGTTCTCGGTTTTGATCGGATTTGACCAAAATTAAATATCGACCCCTTTCCATCCGATTTAATGATCGGTTCCGATTGTACTTTGATTGAACCGACCAGTAGAAATCGGACATGACAACCATGTATATAAAACAAAGTTTAGTTAAACCGTGAGGAGTTATTTCTCCACGGTAGACCCACTATTATTTGACCATTCCTAATCATGTGTTTAAGTTAGTTTTTCATTATATTGTCATTTCATATGAATCCTTGAGCTACTAACCAAGTTAACCAGTGCTCTTGGGATAAGATCAGGAGACTAAGAAGATCCATTATTAGCATGACTAAGTCTATCTTAGCTCTTCATTTAGAAACTTGACTAGTTAATGTGTACTTTCGTTTCATGTCATCACCTAATTAATGAAAAACAGAGAAATGAGGATAGCACATGATTAAGTGTGAGCCTCTTGAGTCATAATCGTGGTATATAACATCGATGGTCTAACAATCAAGCATTTATACTACTCGATGCATAGGTGGTTGATCATTCCCTACATACTCGTGTAGCATCAATGGGGTATCCATAGAGGTCACTTTCTTAACAACATAGATTTTTTTTTGCATTAAAGGAGGCCGAAGCCAAGAAGGGGGGGTTACAGGCGGAGATTACAAAGAATGAGGGGCATGCGCCACTATCCTGCGCTCAACAGAAAAGCCCCTCGCATCCTCTTGGAGGATCGAAACAAGTCCGGCAGGCGGGTGAGCAAGCTCGTACATACCGTAGGGATAGACGAGACTGTGCTTCGAGAGCCAGTCCGCGACTCTATTCCCTTCTCGATATGTATGAGTGATGCGCACCAGCTAGGGCTGCAAATGAGCCAAGCCGCTCGCGAGCAACTCGGCGTTCGAATCGGAAAAAACTCGTTCGACACTCGACTCGTTATTTAACAAGCCGGCTCGCGAGCCAACTCGTTAGTTAACGAGCCAAGCCTGAGCTAGACCATGCTCAGCTTGATAAGCTCGCGAGCTAGCTTGATTCGGTGGCTTGTCGAGCTAAGCTCGCGAGCTGCCTTGTTTTGAGCTTGTGGAAGGATGAATTACTCTTTTAAACATGAACATTGTCTTATAATACAGATGTGTATGAAATTTAGATGTTATTTCTAGTTTCTAGTGTTCTTTCTATCATTTAAATTCTTATGTTTATACATTTTTCCAGCAAAAATGATTTTAAATCGAGCTCATCTTGAGCCGAGCTTGTACTCAGCTTAACAAGCTATGTTAATGAGCATTTATCGAGCTCTACCGAGTCGAGCTCGAGCTAGATTATTTTTATTCAAGCCGAGCTCGAGCTCGAGCTGGATTATCAAAATTCGAGTTCGAGCCGAGCTCGAGCTGAAAAATTAATAAACGAGCCGAGCTCAAGCTAAGCAAAAACTTGACTCGGCTCGTTTGCAGCCCTAGCACCAGCCAATCTTGACTAATTTTCCTCCGAATAGCTGACAGAATGGTCGCATACGGGTGCACAGGATCATGTCTGTTCTTGATAAGCTGAATGGCAAGCTGAGAATCAGACTGAAGGATGATAGTACGATATCCTGTCTTCCAGGCCAGATCTAGGCCATGAAAAATGGCCCAAAGCTCTACTAAGGTCGATGTCGCCATTCCAAGACTTGCTGCAAAACCGACAATCCACCGCCCCGTTGAGTCGCGGATGACTCCCCCTGCTCCGGCTGCCCCAGGGTTCCCATTGGAGGCTCCATCTACGTTCAGGGACATCCACCCAACTGGCGGTGGACTCCACCCGATCGAGGCAACTGACCGGGCGGCCGGGCGGCATCTAGAGCTCGGCAGGGGTGAAGGAGCAAGCCACGCATCGTGTCATAATCTGCTTTTCACCAAAATAGAGTGCTCAAGAGAAGGAGGTGAAAGGGCAGAGCTCACACCTCTAAAACAGGTCGTGCAGTGATTCTTCCAGATGAGCCAAGTCGCAATGCTGAAAAAAGCGGGTCAGCTAACCCCGGAGTCCAACTGCTCACTGCTATTGAGGTTCTCCCGCAGCCAGCTAAGCTCATCCAAGCTTTGGAAAGTATGGAGCAAATTTCCAGGAACATGGCGAGTCCAGAAGTAGCAGGCTGGCATGCAGTCACGAAGGATGTGCAGAATCGACTCAAAAGGCTCATTACATCGAGTGCACATCGGGCTGTGCGCCACCTTCCTGGAAAAAAGCAGAGAGTTAGTCGCAATCTTCCCAAGCATTACCATCCACATGAAGCTTCTAATCCGTTCCGGGACCGGCAGGCTCCAAATGATCTTCCAATATTTCTCCTCAGGGTCGGGAGGGCGCTCATTCAGAAGAGAGTAAGCTGACTTCACCGAGAAGCGGCCATCTGAAGACGCTGTCCAAAAAATAGTATCTTCATCCTGTGACAAATTGTCCACACTAATGCTCAGGATCTTCTGGTGAACCTCAACAGGGAGAAGCTCCTCAAAGAGGTGGGTCCTCCATCTGCCGTCCTCGGTCACGAACTCCGCTACTACAGCATTTTGCTGATCCTCCGGGATGGTCCCACAAGCCACATCTTTGAGAGGAACCTGCAAAACCCACGTATCATTCCAGAACTTAGTGCTCTCTCCATTCTTAATGTTCCAGCCACAACCTTTCTTAAGAAGATTAGCAGCTTTAGAAATACTATTCCAAGTAAAAGAACTTCCCTTGAGATTCCGGATGAGATCGAGGTGCTCCCGCTGGCGGCCATACTTGGACACCATCAGTTGAGTCCAAAGAGTCTCTTTCTCAGTGAGCAGCCGCCACCCGCTTTTAGCAAGCATAGCCAAGTTTGCATGCTTCAAAGATCTGAGCCCGGCACCTCCTTGTCTCTTAGGAAGGATCATCTTGTCCCAGGCTACAAGATGCATTTTTGACTTGTTTTCCTCATCTCCCCAAATGAAGTCCCTGTTCATTCTATCAATACTCCTGCAAACCCCACTAGGAATGAGCTCTGTGTGCATACAATAAGTAGGTAGGGCAGCAGAAACAGATCGAACAACAGTGAGCCGAGCAGCAAAAGAAAGCCTCTTTGCTTTCCACGGGGCCAATTTCCTTTGGATTCGAAGCAGCAAATCCTGGTAGCGGCTAGCAGTGACCCTCCCATGAATAGTGTGGAGTCCCAAGTACTTCCCAAGCTTAGCCTTCAAGGGGATGCCTGCACACCTACTGAAATGCTCTGCCTTCTGTCGTGCCACATTGGGGGAGACATACAGAAGGGTCTTGTTGTAATTGACCCTTTGACCTGAGCTGAAGCAAAAGTCCTCCAAGCATTTCTTGATCACCCTGATCTGCCTCGTTTCCGCCTCTGCAAAAAGTAAGAGATCATCTGCAAAAAAAAAGTGAGTTAAAGGAGGGCCATCCTTAGATAAGCGAATCGGCTTCCAATTCTTGTAATAGACTACTTCATCAATCATATGAGAAAGTCTCTCCATGCACAAAACAAAAAGGTATGGAGAAAGAGGATCTCCCTGACGAACACCCCGGGTTGGAGAAATAGGCTGGGACAGCTCGCCATTCCAGAGGATTCTCATTCGATTCTGTTCCACACAAAACATGATGCAATTTATCCAAGAACTTGGGAGGCCGATCTCTCTTAGAGTGTCCCGAAGAAAATCCCACCGCAACATATCGTAGGCCTTCTCCGGGTCAATTTTGAGGATGATCCCTCCTTTCTTCCCTTTTCTTCTGCCCAGAGTGTGAAGCGCTTCCTGAACCACAATGATATTGTCAGTCGTTTGTCTCCCCGGAATGAAACTACTTTGTCTGGGTGAGACCAGCTTTCTCATAATGGGTTTCAAACGGCTAGTCATGGCTTTGGTGATGGCCTTCAAGCTAACGTTGTTGAGGGAGATCGGACGGAGCTGGGAGACCAACTCTAGATTGTCCACCTTCGGAATCAGCACCACTGTAGATTCAGAAACCGTCTGAGGAAGAGATCCTGAGGAGAAGAAATTGAGGGCCATATCCGTTAGAGCTTTCCCCACTACACTCCACATCTGCTGATAAAAGACCGCCTGGTAGCCATCCGGACCGGGAGCTTGAAATGGCTTCATGTCAAAAATCGCCTTGTGAATATCCATAATGGTGAAAGGGCGAAGTAGCATAAGAAGCTCTTCCTGGCTGATCCTGGGAAAAGCATTCTTTGGGAGCCTATCCTCGTACACCGAATCATCCTGCATAGAAAGGCTAGCAAAAAAGTCAAACACAAGATTAGCCAGGGCCCCCGGCTCCACTACCCAAAGACCATTGGCATCCCGAAGCGCCTTAATTTTGTTGCATCGCCTTCTCATGGAGACCTGCTGGTGGAAGTAAGCAGTGTTCTGCTCCCCAAATTTCACCCACTTCTCTCTAGATCGTTGAAACCAAATTAGCTCCTCCTGCTCCAGGATCTTATCCAGCTCCTCTTCAAGCTTCGAGTGGAGTTTAGCAAGCGCTGGGGTAAAAGAACTCGAGAGTCTAGCCTCGACCCCTTGGAGACGAGCAAGGAGTCTTCTTTTTCTCTGTTGCACATTACCAAAGACATTGAAATTCCAGTCCCGAAGCTTTCCTGCCAGGCTGTCGAGAGCTTGGGGAAGAGGAGCATCAGCGTCCCAAGTACCTGTTACAAAGTTTTCAAAATTACCATGAGTGAGCCAAGCAACCTCAAATTTAAAAGACCGAGGATCAGCTAAGGAAGACCCCTGGGTAGCCACAATGGTAAGAATAGGGTTGTGATCAGACTGCAGACGAGGAAGGTGGAGAACCGTGGTGTTGGGGAACGAAGTATTCCAACGGAGATTACATAAGCTTCTATCTAGCCTGCTGGCTTTGTAGGTATGGTTGTTGCTGCCTCTAGTCCAAGTGAACCTTGGCCTCGAGAAACCCAGATCTACAAGCTCCGCAAGGTTGATCCTCTCATTGAACTTATGGCATCTCCGAACTGCAGCATTAGAAGGCGCCCCAGTTCTCTCCTCCAAAGACCGAATAGCATTAAAATCTCCTGTGAGGACCCAAGGTAAATCAATCTTCTTGCTTTGCTCGATTAAGCTATCCCATAAAGTTCGTTGGAGGCTTTGCTGAGGCGCGACATAGATTGCAGTTAGCACCCAAGAGTCATGTCTTCCTTGACTAACACGGAGAGAGATATGTTGATAACAGGCTGACAGGAGCTCGACTGAGAATTTGTCTCCATCCCAGAAGACCCAAATACCACCTTTGCGCCCAGTAGCTTCGACTCTGATGGAGTTGGGAAAACCCAGCTTGTCATATATCGAATTCGCCGCATTTCCGCTAATTTGGGGTTCCAACAGAACCACAAAGTCAGGCCGATGCTGCCGAATGCTCGACTTCAAAGCACGGGCAAACGCTTTACTACCTGCACCACCCACATTCCAGGCAAAGATTTTAAACAAAATGTTGTGCGACATAGATAACAATCAAAAGCAGAAAACGAAGGGGAAAAGAAGAAGGAAAGAAATCAGGGCTAAAAAGGGGAACAGAAAGCACCGAGTTAGGCAGAGGGAGTTCTCAAGTCTTCCATCGGAGCCCCCTGCGCCGGTTCCGTTGCCAGCCCCACGCTCGACTCTGTTTCTCTCAACGGCTGCTCCATCGGACGCGCCGCCTCCGTCCAAGCTGCAATTTCCTGAAGCGTCAGAGAGGCTGTTCGTGTCTTGGATTTTGCCTTCTTATCCTTCATTGGCGACCAGATTTGGAGCGGCTTGGAGGAGTGCAGCTTTGTCGGAGAGCCCTTTTTCGATCGGCCAGAAGTAGTTTTGCTTCCTTTAGTTCTCGTCACAGTCGAGGGGGGAGGATTCTCATTTTTTCGGTGCGACGATGTAACAGGGGGGGCGACTTCCATCACCTGCAGCTTGGTGTCGTTCGGGCCCACGGAGGAGAAAGTTGAAGGCGGAGAGAAACCAGGCCGGGGAGTATGGGCTTGGGGCCCATTCACCGAGGGTTGAGCGAGCTGGCCTTGTTTCGTAGCCATCTCCTTCTCAGCGGGCTCCTTGGACGTAGAGGCATGGCCTACGCCAACCGTGGGCTTTGGCCCTTGTTTCCCAGTCATGCTCCGAGTTGGGCCAGCCCCAAGGAGTCCTTTTTCTGACGAGATCACTTCATCCTTCATAATTCCCTTTCCATTTCTTTTCTCCCCGCTCCCGGATTTGGTCGCGTACTCTTTCCTCTCTTGGCCTGGCGACCGTTGCGTCTGCAGAGGACTCTGTTGAGTCGAGGAAGGTAAACGATCGTTGCTTTCCTTACCTTTGCTCACTCCCTTTCCATTTCTGTTTGAAATCCCTTGAAATTGGCTCCCTGATTCATTCTCCAATCTTCCCTTTCCATGATTTTCCCTTGGATTCCGCTGGGATTTGCGTGAGACTATCATCTAGGGGCCGAACCCCGGTTTAGTCTCCGACGATTCCTCCGCCGGAACCAGCTGGGACTCTTCACCGCCGGCGGTCACGATCGTCGTCATAGGGACTGGTCGAAGCAGAGGGCAAGCGGTAGATTGGTGGCCGATCTTGCCACAGTCAAAACACACCATGGGGAGATTCTCGTACTCAACCTTTTGCCAATCATCATCCAGCCAAATCCTTGGAACCAGGGGCTTGGACAAATCAACCTCCACCGCAAGCCTGGCAAACTTAGCTCGTTGTTGAGTAAGGGTATGGTAGTCGAGCTTAATCGTCCTTCCGATCAGGTTGCCCAAAGACGTAAGCACCTCCTTATGGTAAAAATGGATTTTCAGGGCCGGCAGCTGGACCCACACAATCATCGTCTTTGGTAGCGGGTCTGACAGCTTGAATTTCGGAGTCCATTGTTGCACAACTAGATAGTGATAAAAAATCACCCATGGTCCATCGGTTAGGGCTTTGAAGTAGTCTTGGTCGTTGTTCAGCTTAACCAAATAGCAGTCTTCATCCAAATCTCGGATTTCCATTGTTCCAGTAGGTCGCCATTGAGCCCGGAGCCGAGAACAGAGAGTGTTGAAGCCTACCTTGATTCCTAAAAGCCTGACCACAAGAGTTCGGTGCCAGGGAGCACACAACCTATTTTTGAACTCAGTGGAGACTCTGAGTGCTGGTTCACCATTCCGTTCTCCGGGAATTAGATCATGTTCCCCGACCGGTGTCCATTGTGTGTTCGAGGGGGAAGCCCCATTTAGCGAAGTCCCACCAGACACGACATTGGCATAGGAGAAGGTCTGAACATGTGTCGTCGAAGCGTAGGCAGCTGATGGGGCCATCGGAATCGAACCAGTCTGCTGAGCATCATTGATCCCCACCCTATTGGGTTGTCCGCCTGAAGAAAAATCGTTGGAGAGGTCTGCCCCGGATTGTGGTGTCATCTGCTGGTTATTCGTGGCGGTGTTATCGACCAGCATCTCCACCGGAGCTATCATCGAAGTATTTTTGGAGAGCAATTCTGTATCACCCGACAATGTTGGAAGCATCTCCGGATCCGGCGGCCGTCTAGAGGGGAAAAGCGACGGTGCCGGAGTAGAGTTTTCATTCGTGCCTTCTTAACAACATAGATGATACTAAACACAATACATATAGAAGTATACTACAAAATCATAAGCATTGATGATAAGAAAGCATTTACTCTAGATCATCAATGATAATCACATAAGTATCAAGACTAAAAGCATCCATACACACATGATAAGCATCTAAATTTATAATCATAAACACAAGCATCATATGAAATCATAGCATCAATACATATAAAGATAAATGAGTTCACATTCCCACACAATTAATTTTAAACTAGTTGTACATAGAAGAGAATGAGGGTACCACCATCGATGATGAAGGCATCTCTTTAGTTTCACCATCTCCTATGAATGTTAAGCTATCACTCGAATAGAGTGTGTATAGAAGTTATGAAGAGATTTATGCAGCCTACTGTACTAATGAGTCTAGCTCCCTATTTATAGTGGTAAAACTCGGCCAAAACATTCTAACTATCTTTATTTGGGTTTGTGACTTGTAGTGACTGTTGGGTGGCAGCTAGAACCACCACATGTTTTCTTCGTGGGCGGAGCTCCTTGCCCCATAAGCAATGTGTCATGGAGATATCATCGTGATTTGCCCCTACATGAGCGACGGTTAGACCCAACACTGGGCCACCACTGATTCTTGCTTTGGTTTGGGTCGAGTCTTTCTCCATTGGACTCCTTGTGGGCTCTACTCGTGGTTCCCAATAGGTTTCTCTGTCATTGGACTTCGTCATTTACATGAAAACTCCATAATCTTCTCTCTGTAGCTCCTTTGCCCCAACAGAATCATCCAATGTTAGATCCAAATTCTCCTAAGTTGTAATTTATCTTGAAAAGCACAAAAACATACTAAAAAGGCATAAAATCATACAAAACACAACTTGTGTCTATCAAATCATGCCCACTGATCAAATAGTTATAATTTAGGTATAAAATATATGAGAAAGTACTAAAGGTGCATTGATAGAAGGGGGAAATGTATCAAATATGAGAGTGATAAACGATATAACTTAAGTGTCATCAAGTACCTTCACCGACGACGGGGGGACAACTCCGGTGAAACGGTCGAAGATAACCACATGTTGGCCTCTCTCGACTAGGTAGAATGCGGAGTCGACAACGGTCGCAACGGTTCCAACACTGAAGGCGGTATTCGCCATGAAATTAAAGAATGAAATCAATTGTTGGCTACTTCGCAGAAGAAGAGAGAATCGGATGGCGAGCTTTACTGGGAAGGGTCGGGTTAAAGGTGAGGGGTGATAGAAACCTACGGTTTCTATTATAACTATTATGATTAATATTATTAGGGTTAGTAGTCTTTTATTAGGTTTATTGTCAGGTTTTCCAGTCTTTTGTTATAAATATGTACTTTCTGTTTCATTTCGGAATCAATCAAGAAACAAATTATCAAATTATCACCCTAAACCATAATCTGTCTTTCTCTCTCAATCTCGTATTCTTCCCTAGTCTCGGCCGCCGGTCATTCTACTCTTTCTTCCCCAATTATTTTCCTAATCCCTAATTCTATTCTATAACTCATAATTCCCAAACAACAATCTCGATTCAGAAGAACCGATAGAAAGTTTGTTTCTATCAAGGAGTAGTGAGGAGCGCTAGAGGAGAGAGGGGAGAGAAAGAGAAAAGATGGTCAGGTCGAGTCTGGTCTGGTCTGGTTTGGTTAAAGGTTGTTAGGTTGGGTCATTGATGAAAGGTAGGTTAGCTGAATGTACGGTCGATTTTTACTTTTTTCGGGTCAAAATTTGGTGAATCATCACTTATGTTAGACACCTCAGCAAATACAGACGACGTTAATAGGGGCTCACAAAGATTATCGAAGAGTGACCAAATTTGGAAATTTTAACTAATTCTAGTGATCACCGAATGGAACAAAAAAAAATTACGGATAAGGATGATATATTCAACTTTTGTGGTTTATCTACTATTTAATAGATTCGAATCTGAGATTTCCATGTTCAAACCTAGTGGTATTACCACTAGACCAAACCTTTGTTCGTCAAAGTAAAATATTTTTAATCGCCAAACATGAACATTTTAGTAATCCCAATAACCAATCTTGCAAATTTACCCCATATTCCCGGCTCCACCTTAATAGAAGTAAAGTGGGCAATCAAGCAATTCAAAGAGAAATCTCAGCATTCCAGGATTGGTAAAAGCTTCTTTAGGGCTCTCTAGTCTCAACTAAGCTGGTTTTGGATGGAAAAAAGTATACAAAATGATCAAAGCACGAGCTAGGTTGCATAACATTTTCTTTTATTAAAATCTAACGAACTACATCTCAAATTCATTGAATTTCATGATTCAGGGGGAGGGCAACACGAACAACTTTCTTGCCAATATTCTCGCCGGTGAACAACCCGGCGAGGGCGGCCGGAGCGCTCTCGAGACCTTCATCCATGTCCTCAACATAGACAATGTCGCCGGCAAGGAAGTGCGCGGTGACGTGGTCCAGAAAGCGCGGGTAAAGGTGCAGGTAATCGCTCTGGAGGAACCCTTGCATCTTGATCCGCTTGACGATGACGTTGGAGATGTTGCGAATTCCCGGGCCGGAATCGGTGACGCCGTGCTGCGACACCATGCCGCACACCGCGATTCGGCCCTTCACTCTCATGTTCAGCAGCGCGGCGTCCAGCATTTCTCCTCCGACGTTGTCGAAGTAGATGTCGATCCCTTGAGGAAAGTACCTGCAACAAATTTTTCGCCAATTGCCACGCATATATCCAAGCGACGTGAATATCGATCGGGGCGCACAATCCAACTATGTAAAAGGACATCCTTATGCCAAGTCTTAGCAAGGATCATAGTCAAATTCTAATATTACCCTAAACGGATAACGATAGTGTATGTTTGAGTCATAGCCACTCCTAAGGTTTAGGTTAGAGTACTTACACCCAACTTATTAGTTTGATACTAACACTAACTTCAGTCAATAGAAATATTTTGGTTTGATGATATTTGTTTAAGTGTTCATCGAGCTACGGCCCAACTCGCTCTGCCTCTTTTCAAAATGTGGCTCGGTGCTCTACTCAGTACTGGATCCGCCGTTGAGGGGCAACACTTCTCATTTTTTAAATTGCGAGGAGGGAACACGCATTTAGCATTCCCCAATTATTTTACGTCACATCCTTGGCTGACATCGACCACAAGAACCATGAAATATACCAGAAATCTCATAAAGCAAACCCAAAATTCCCTAGAGCATACTATAAACCTCATAAAGCTAACCATAAGTTTCATAAAACAAACCAAAAACCTCATAAAGCAGACTACAAGTTCCTTGAGATAGACCAAAAACCTCATAAAGATTACCAAAGTTTTCTCAAGCATACCATAAATATGTGCAAGCACACAAGAACTCTCATGAAACATACCAAAAGGATGATAAACCACCTAGGAAACCATGCACCCAAAAGGATAACTAAGTAATAAAAAAAATCATGCCGGTGAAATAATTATTTTATAATGGTAAGATTAATTATTTTACAAGTAATCTGCTGATTTTTTTTACATAGAGAGAGAAGTGGAGGAAGGGAGGCGGAAAGCAACGGGATGGAGTAACTACTATGTACAGTAGTTACGATAACATTACTCGTAATTTTGTTAGCATGGTGTTAGCACCCTATCCGGTACACTTTGAAGTGTTATTTTCAATCTTTCGCTACTTATTAAGGTAATTTTGTCATTGATTTTCCAAAATCTAAGGTATTTTTCATATAAACCGACTAATTATAAAAGAAATAGTTTGTTAAATTTACACAGGCTAAACATTTTTTTATTGTGATTAGGGATGGCAATGAATGGGTATGGATGGATTTTGCTAAACTCATCATCATCTTCATTCTCATTTTTAATTTGTAAACTTTTGCCTTCCTCGTTCTCGTATAGGTCAAATCAGCATAATAATATGAATAGACTCTTGTAAATATACTCACCGATTGGACCATACCTCTTACCAAACCGACGTAATATTTTAAACTCATTTGGCAAGATTACTCTCAACTCTCAAGTTTATAGTAACGTTTCTTTCTCAAAATAGATTATGGAAATCGAAACTAGAAGCAGATTGTGGCAACCCATCGTTACGATTATCACCTACAGAATCATTTCTTCCGCAGTACGGAAGCTAAAGAAGAAAAGGGTAGGTAGCTGACCTCTTCAAAGCGGCATCAAGATCGGCTTCTTCCTTGTAGTTGAAAGCCGCATCAAATCCCATCTTACTCGTCAGAATCTCAACCTTCCAAATTTAGCCAACACCAACCCAATTCACAATATTGCCCAAACCAATTCACAGAAACCCAAAAAAAAGAAGCTAATTTTGAGTCGTCGATTAACGACCTTAGTTGTAGAACCAGCACTGCCGACGACATGACACCCCTGCAACTTAGCCAGCTGCCCGACGATCTGCCCGACGGCACCGGAAGCCGCGGAGACGAACACGAACTCGCCGGACTTGGGCGAGCAGAGCTCGTAAAGCCCACAGTAGGCCGTGAATCCGGGCATCCCGAGGAGCCCCAAATGGTAGGACAATGGGACGCCGTCGATTCGACTGATCTTCCTCAGTTGCTGTGGTTTCTGAATCAGGGTGTACTCTTCCCAGCCGGTCATCCCGGCGATGAAATCGCCGGCCTGAAATTCGGGGTTGTCGGAATCCACCACCTCCGATACGCCAAACCCTTCAATCGGCTGTCACAATTGAAACCCAAAAAAACGTCAACAATTGGAAATTAGGGATAAGTGAAAACAGGGGATTTGGGGGAGAAATTGGGATTTACTCTGGAGGGAAGGAAAGAGTGGATGTAAGAAGCAGGGGAAGGAGGGCGCATTCGGCCTCTCATGTAAGGGTCGCAAGAGAGGTAGAGATTCTTGACGAGGAACCCGCCGGACCCTTTTGGGGCTTTGAGCTCCGGCAGCGTGGACACGGTGACCGCCATGTCGTCTTCCCTCGGGGCTCTGCCGTCGGTGATGTAAGCTTTTAGAACTACCTGTTTGTTCGACACTTCTGCGACTACGGCTACTCCTTCCTTCTTCTCCTCCGTCATGTTTGGTTTTTCTTGGTTGATTTTTCACTCTGTATCCGGTCAAAATCAAGCGGAAGAGGTGTATATAATGATGTATTTATGGCGACGAAAGTGGGGGAGTTTGTTTGTTCGGATTGGAGTTATGATAGGGTGGTGGTGGTGGAGGCAGGGGAATGGATCTTCTTGCGATCACGGTGGTTACAAGTCATTGCCTTCTTGTGAGAGAAAAGGATTAGAGTGAATAACTAACCTTCTAATGCTACCTACCACTGAAGTGTAGCAATGGAGCTTCGAACAAGTTCAAGTTATTTAAGTGGTTTAAATTGCACGTTTGATTATTTAGTTAATCAATTTTTAGTTTTTACCATGATTGTTGTGTCGATGGAATATTGGTCGGATGAATCTGGGTCAACCGGAAACGGTCATAAAATTGGCGTGGAAGAGCACCCGTATGATCGAGTTTAAATACAAAATGACGTTGTTTAAGTGAATTTAATTGGTACACATATGCGTGTAAGCCAAAAGGGGGGGGGGGGGGGGAGGGAGGGGTAAATCGGACCTTTCCCCTCTCTTTTTTCCTACTTCGAACTAGTTGAATCGGAGTTAACGGTACCTGGACGTAAATATTAACAGAGGGCAGATTTGATATCGTGGTAATAATAGAAGGGAAAATTTGATTTAAAACATAGTAGAGGGATATGTTTGAGAAAGAAACCATAGTAGTCAGTAGAATGACATATTATACTATTATCCCAAAAATAAATTATTTATTATTATTTTAAAAAATTTAATAGTCCCATCATTAAATTTAAGGGTTAAAATTTACTTAACATAATTGGACGGCTCGTGACCAATAATGAAATGAGGTTTAAAGTGAGTAGCTAACAAGTAAGAAAATTATTTTGGTCCCAAACGTGTAAAAATCAAGGTTGTCAAACTGACTTATATCGTTGCACCGGTTTAGTAAGTAATACTGTTCTATCGGTGGTACAACCGATTTGTGTCGGTTCAATAAAATATATAAATGTATGAAAACCAATTAACATCAAATAAATTTAAGTGTATATAAAATATATTTGAAGACAATTTACTTATAATTTATATTCATATATAAATAAAATACAATGTTTCAAACAAAATAACAAATACTCATATTTATGTACAACATTTAAAGTCAACACCTAAACTTTATACTTAAGTTCAGCAAATAATATCAACATTTAACTTTTAAATTCATGAAATTAATCACAATTAATTTTTTATTAATTAATTTCACTAAAACTTCATTTGGTATATAGGTTCGATTATACCGGTGCTCTTCCACGTTGATTTTATGGAAGGGTTTAATTTCTGGTTTTGATTAATTCTAAATTTTCTTTCCTTTTTCTTTTTGTTCAAAATTTTTAAAAAAATGGATATAAGTGGGGAAAAATCAAAATTTTAAGTGATTTGTGCCAACTTAGCGGTAATGTGGCGCGTTAATCATTAGTCAACGCGTTTGACAGTCCAATATAACAGTCAAATTTCGGGTTTGGCCAATTTCATAACTTTGATGCATAGTTTAGCCCACGAAATTATAGATAAAAAAATTAATCAGAATGTTTAATATGTGAAAGTTCGGCACATACAAATATATTAATCCAAATAGTAATCTAAAAAGTAATTAATTTACCTCTCGCCACTGAAATCGAGTATGGGAGACCAAGACTCTCCATGAAAGTGGCAAGCCCCAAAGTTTGTGGCCTATGTAATTGTAAGTTGATAGTCAAATGTTATGAGATGAGAAAATTCTTATCGTGTAACTTCCTTGCGATAAAACATTTAAAATACGATTAATTGTGATAACAGAAAGAAAATAAACTAATAAAGTTTGGGTTTCAATGTTCTTCCAACAAGAAAACAATGGGTTAAAGACACATTTGGTCACTAAGATTACTAAATCGGGACATATTTAGTCACTAGAAAAGGTTAATATCAAATTTGGTCACTATAATTACTAAAACATGACACATTTCGTCACTCGCCGTTAGTTGTCGTCCAACTCCGTTAACAGAGTCTGTTATGTGCTGACGTGGCTAACGTGAGCGCCTAGTCAGCGCTTTTTTGGCCAGGAAATGGTCAAACCCGACCCGACCCGCCACGTCAGACATCCAACACAAACCATTAACCCAACCCGACCTAGAAATAAACCCTAACCCACTTAAAAAAACAAATCAGTTTCCATTTGCAGACCCAAAAACCCTTCTCCTTCCTCTGTCATCCAATCCCCACTCCACGACCACCCCCGCCATGTCAGCCCAACCGCCGCCGTCGGCAATCATAAGTGCTTAACCCATCTAAGAGAATCACAAATGTAAAGAAAATCTCCTTTTCTCCAACCAAGCTCATCCCTCTCTCTTTCTCCACTCTCTCCACAGTCTAACAAGTCACAACCACCATTTCCCTCCTTCTTTCACAACTTCAATTCGGTTCCATGGCCTGCAATTCCAACCACTGCGGCGGCTGCGCAAGAAAACAGAGTGACTAATGGAAGGCAACAGTAGTAACAGTGCAGTAGGCAGAGCACTAATGTACAACAATGCTTCATCATCCGAGAGCCAGCAGAACCATCTTTTCCGACAACAATAATCTCCATTGGCTTCCCCAAACGGTAATTTCAGCAATTCCAATGGCGGCCACCAGATCCCCAGATCTGATTATCACCACCACCATATAAATCCTTACCCAACAACCTTCGTCCAGGCAAATACCTCAACTTTCAAGCAAGTCGTCCAAATTCTCACCGGATCCGCCGACACAGCCAAACAAGCCTCCTCCCCAAGATCCTCTGCCACCGCCGCCAGCGATGAGGGGCAGCACCCATTTCCCCATTCCTCCCATCAGAAGCATACCTAACAAGAAACAACAGCAGCAGCAACTCTACGAGAGGAGGAGCAACAACTTCAAGCACCGTAGCCTCATGATCAACACTCTGCTTCTGGGCGCCGGACGTTTCGGCTTCCATTCCAATCTCATCTCGTCTTCTTCCCCTTCCTCCGCCTTCGTTGCGGAGATCTTGTCGTCGAGCTTGCTGGATTTCCCCAAGCTTACGCTAAGCCAGTGACTCCGTTGAATCAAGACACATTCTTCCACAATAACGGCGCCCTGTCACCCTGCCCCTCATCGGCGGGGAACTGCAGCAGTAACAGCAGCTCATCCTCGCCGTTGGAGGAGGAAGACCGGGCGATTGCGGGAAAGGGATTCTTTCTGCATCTCTCTCCGGTGTCGACCCCGAGAGAATCCGAGCCTCAGCTGCTGAATCTATTCCCTCTGACGTTGCCGAGGGCAGAGGAATCGCAGCCCTGAAAAATTTCTTTACATCTGTGATTCTGTTGGACGGCGGGGGTGGTCGTGGAGGTGGGATTGGATGACAGAGGAAGGAGAAGGAAACTGATCAGTTTTGTTCTTTAAGTGGGTTAGGGTTTATTTTTGGGTCGGGTTAATGATTTGGGTTGGATGTCTGACGTGGCGGGTTTAGTGACGTGGCGGGTCCGGTTTGACCGTATCCAGCCGAAAACGACGCTGACTAGGCGCTCAAGTTAGCCACGTCAGCACATAACGGACTCTGTTAACGGAATTGGACGGCAACTAACGGCGAGTGACTAAATGTGTCCCGTTTTAGTAATTACAGTGATCAAATTTGATATTAACATTTTCTAGTGACTAAACATATCCTGATTTAGTAATCTCAGTGACCAAATGTGTCTTTAACCCAGAAAACAATAATCAAATTTCTAATTTGTCACGATGAGATAATGAATTTATTATGAACAGTGGCGGACCTAAGGCATTGCAGGGTGTGTCGTCCGACACACCCTCGCTCGAGAATTTTACGAAGGACCTACATATTTTTGGTACATAATTTTTTACTTCAGGATAGCCGACACACCCTCAATAATTATAGCCGACACACCTTCATTATACTCGAAGAAATTATTATTCAAATGTATCAATCTTAATCATAATCCTTTTTAATTTTGTTTAAAATAACTCATAAAGCATAATCCTATCCTTCCTATTAAAAAAACACTCTTAGCCCATACAATATACATGTGTGATGAGTGTTGGGCATGAGCCTTTAATTAAATGAGAAAAGAACTCACAGGCCAAAAGCCCAGTCGGCCACTAGCCCACTACCTCCCCATTATTATTCCTTCCCTCCCCATCCCCAATTAATGGCCCAATCTCCCCAATTAATGGCCCAATGACATGTTCCCTCTCCATATCTCAATTCCCAGCAACTCATCCCCATTATTCCCCTTGGTTCCCTCTTCTCTCGCTCGCAAAAAATCCCAGATCCCAGACGAGCAAAAAACCCAGACAAAGGCAGAACGGGCAAGTCGGCACGGCAACCCATCTCGGCCTCGGCGGACATCCCTTCACCGGCGGGCAGCGCGACGACGGCAATTTGACACACGTTCAAAGGAGGCACAAGGTAAAGTAGTGAATTCTCTGCTTCAAATGCAAACTTTTCAGTTTGTCTTTCACATGAAGATGATGATTGAAGTGCTTGCAATTACAAATGAGTTGTCTATAGCATTACAAAGGAAAGATCAAGACCTTGTTAATGCTATGGAACTCATTAATTGCTCAAAGAAGAGACTATAAGAGTTGAGAGATGAAGGGTGGGAACCTCTATTTGATGATGTGGTTTCATTCTGCACTAAGGAACAAATTCATGTTCCTAACAAGAATGACTTGTTCACTCTTGCTGGAAGAACAAGACGTAGCACCCCTCATCAGCCTACAAACTTGCATTACTATCAAGTCGATTTATTCTATGCAGTTATAGATTTGTAGCTGCAAGAATTGAATACTCGATTTGGTGAGGTGAACACTCGATTGTTGGACTGCATTTCTTGTTTTAGTCCAGCTAACTCTTTTGCTTCTTTTGATAAAGCAAAGTTGATGAGTCTTACTAAGTTTTATCCCGAGGAGTTTCCATCCAATGTGCTCTCACGACTTCATCAACAATTGGGGGGCTACATTTCTCATGTCAAGGAGGATAAGAGCTTTGATGGATTGCGAGGAATCGACGAGCTAGCTAGGAAATTGGTGGAAAGGGGAAAGGACACTCTTTATCATTTAGTTTACTTGCTGTTAAAGTTGGTGTTGACCTTACCTGTGGCAACTGCAAGCTGCGAAAGAGCATTTTCAGCTATGAAGATAATCAAGAACGATCTTCGAAATCGGTTGAGTGACCAATTTATGAATGATTGTTTAGTTGTGTATATTGAAAAAGATTTGCTTTGCTGCATAAGTGATGAATGTATTTTAGAGACATTTCAGCAGATGAAAAGTCGTCGTGGTTCGTTGTAAACATGACATTGTGAACTTTATGAATTAATTTCTTTTAATTAACTTAATTTTTAATTTAATTTAATTATTATTTTATTTTATTGGCGACACACCTTTCCGACAATCCTGGGTCCGCCATTGATTATGAATCTAGTATATATAGTTAAAACGTAATTCAATATCAACAAAAACAATTATGATCCAGTAAACGATAAACCGAAAAGCAAAATTAACTGAAAATAAGATTGTTGAGTGAAAAATGAAACTTAATCCAGTTTTATTTGAGACTATTGAGCAGTCACATTTTTTTGTTTCTGCAAATCAAATCATTTCTCAATCTCGAAAAACAGCTATACAACGAAATGCAAACCATTTCTCTTCTTCTTCCATCTTCCTAAATAGTTTTTTTTTTTTTTTTGGAGAAAGGCAGAGGAGTAGTTCTTAGAAGACTTTGAAAGCCGCGGGGGCCCGTTTGGTCTGGTGGCGATTTTGGCGATTTCTTCTTGTTTAAAGAACAAAAATGGAAGCCACATGCTAGAAATCTAAAAATAATTAACTCTCTGTCTCTGGTCCAGACCCCTGCTTTTTCTTCAACCTAACTATATCTCATACTTGATACTTCCCATCTCCCACCAAACCCAATTCCCTGATTTGCCCGCTTGGCGCTTTCCCTCCCACTTTCCCTTTGGGTTCCGGCGGAATCCGTGGCGGCGGCGGTGGCGGCGGCGGCGGCGACGACCATTAGAGGATTCCGGCGAGCCCAGATCAGATCTGAAAACCCATTCGATTTCCCCCGCCCACTCTCCTTCCTCCATTCAATCTTCTTTTTCCCCTGTTCTTCTTTTTCCCTTGTGGGTTGAGGGCCCCCCATCCCGATTAGATATTTGTGCTGTCCAATTCTCTTTCTAGGAATTTGGCATATTCCGCTGCCTGCGGATAGATGTTTGATAGGGGAGAATTGAAGTGTAAGATGGGTTTGGTCTAAAGATTGAAATTACATTTCCAGTCGAAGTTAATGGGGCTCTGTTTCAGCAGTGCCAAGGGTAGCAAACACCAGCGGTTCTCTCAAGAACATCGGCAATTCTCTTCCGTCAGTTCCAAGGGTAACGATCAATCCAATCCAATCCAATCATCTTCCTTAATGTTTATCTTTCGAAAAGATTGCTGCTTTGTCCTTTCCTACTCTGTTAATGAATTATTAGTTTGGAATTCTTGGGTTCATTAATGGCGGCAGCTTTGTTTATATATGGAATGCGCCGGATTCTACTCGGGTTGACTTGTGTTTTCCCTCTCTGCCCGACTGTATATTTATGTTCAAATTTCGAAGGTTCTTCGAAAGATGCCGTCTTTGTTATTGATTACATGTGTTTGCTTCTTTCTTACTTCCCCCCCTTTAATATTTTTTCCCTGTTAGTTCCAATATGTTAATAGTTAATGCTTACGATGTTTCCATTAATGGAAGGTTTGGCTTATGGGGTTTTGTGGATGTCTCTGATGTGTTATGTAACTGTTCTTGTGTGAAAATCAGGAGGAAGTGAATCCAAAAAGTCGTCTGCTGCGCTGAATAAGCCAGGCTCGTTTGATACACAAAGTTTGACCAAGACAACAGCTCCCAAAGTTCATAGGAACCTTTCTGATCTTCGAAACAATCCGGTATATAGTAATGTCGATATCTTCACGTACAAGGAAATGGCTCTGGCGACGAAGTACTTCAGGCCGGATTTTATTCTGGGAGAAGGTGGGTTTGGTGTTGTTTATAAGGGAGTCATAGATGAGAGTGTAAGGCCTGGCTATCCTACCACATATGTAGCAATCAAGGAGCTTAATCCGGAAGGGTTGCAAGGAGATCGTGAATGGCTGGTATTTTGAGTTTTACCTCTCTTTTATCTTTTGCCATCCTTGTTTTGTTTTTCTGTACTTGCATCAGTTGTTTTCTCAATGCTCGGAGCCTTTCTCTTTGCTCCGACATGAGACTGAAGAGCCATGAATTATAAAACCCCCTGAGTTTAAGCTGCAATGTATTCTTGTACCTCTTCCTACTACAATGCATGAGGTCTGGATCTGGAATATGGGAGATAAGTGGGTTGCTCTACTAGAATGATGGCGTTTTCCGGATATTATCATGTCCTAGGTGGGGGACTGGTTTGCCTAGTTGAAAACTGCTTTGAGTATGAAAAGGGAAACTTGCTTGCTGTTCTTATGTCAATGATTTCTTTGCAGGCAGAAGTCAACTATTTAGGTCAACTCAGTCATTCTAACCTGGTAAAGCTTATTGGCTACTGCTGTGAAGATGAGCACAGGCTGTTGGTCTATGAGTACATGGCCAGTGGAAGTCTGGAAAAACATCTTTTCCGAAGTATGTCATTTGTAACTTTCATATGTTTTCACATGTTAATCAATGCACCAAATATTAATTACTTGATCCATGGAGGGAAACAACTTACTAACCTGTCATGTGAAAAACAAGGAACTGATGAACAAACACTGAAGAACGAGTTCGCTGGATGATATATACTTTATCAATAACTATGAAGTTGCTCTTGTTTTGGGAATGTAGTTACACATCATGTTTTGGCATTGTTCTTGTGATATCCAAATGTTGTGGCATCTGGAAGAGGAATTAAGGTCGTTTTCCTCTTACTATTTTTGTTCTGTGAACACCAGGAGTTGGTTGTACTTTGACATGGTCAAAGCGAATGAAGATCGCTCTTGATGCTGCCAAAGGACTAGCTGTTCTTCACGGTGCAGAAAGATCTGTCATATACCGTGATTTCAAGACATCAAATATCCTTCTAGATGCGGTTAGTTGTCAATGCTTACTCTTGTGTCTTTTATAATGTCCGTCGGTCTCTTGGTTTGTTTCAATTACTTGATGAAATGTATCTCCTGCCCACCCAAAATTTAGGAGCGTTCTTCTTATTGTTTTGAAGCCTTTTGAGCTAGTTCTTTTGTGTACGCTGTGCAGGACTTCAATGCAAAGCTTTCCGATTTCGGGCTTGCCAAAGATGGACCGATGGGAGACCAGACCCATGTATCAACACGAGTAATGGGGACCTATGGTTATGCTGCTCCTGAGTATGTAATGACCGGTAAGTTACGCCATTAACTTGTGCATCATATTCTTCCATTTACCCACCAGAATTGAAAACCCAATCAGTAACGGTATGGATGGTAACTGCACTGTTAGTCTTGTAATTAGTAGCAGATTTCAGAGTCTGTTAAGCTCCTTGTGAGAAATCCCACTTCTCCATTAATCTTGTTTCTGAGGAGAGAAAATTTGTCTGAATTAGCATTTGGTTTTATGGTCAAACAGGGCACTTGACAGCTCGAAGCGATGTGTATGGTTTCGGTGTAGTGCTACTAGAGTTGCTTCTGGGAAGGAGAGCACTAGACAAGAGCAGGCCAAGCAGAGAACACAACTTAGTCGAGTGGGCTCGACCACTCTTGAACCAGAACAAGAAGATTTTGAGAATCTTAGACCCTAGAATGGACGGCCAGTACTCGAGTAGGACTGCCATGAAAGTAGCAAACTTAGCTTACCAATGCCTTAGCCAAAACCCCAAGGGGAGACCACTGATGAGCGGGGTGGTCGAATTGCTAGAGAGCGTACAATCGAAGGACAACGACATCGACGAGTCAATGTTCCATAACAACAACCATAAAGGCGTGACTCTTTACGAGGATCCAGGCCGCAGTCATTCAGCCAAGGGAATGAGCAAAAGAGAAGGGGAAGGAAGCTGTAGGAGCGTTGGTGTTGAGGTCTCAGTAGAGCAGCATGGCAGCAATGCATCTTCTCCTGAGCATCACCATCGTCAACCTGGCGGATTGCCAAATGTGGTAAGCAATGCAAATAGTCATCAACCCTGAGTTCGGGGAGAGGGGGAAGAGTGTGTCTTGTGTATACTATTATGATGATCTATATAGTGTTGTAACCCAATTTTTGGAACAGAACTTGAAATTGTAAGAAATGTGTCAAGCAGGTCTGTCCCATTTTGGTGTAATGGAGGGGTAAGAAAGAAAGAAAAAAAAAGAGTGCAACCTTTTTTGTTCTACGTTTCCTTATTGAGGTAGGAGAAAGAAACTTCCTTGTTTCCCAAGGAATGTTGACAAATGTGGGGTTTGTTGTTCGTTTTATTACCCGGTTCCTTTTTGTATATGAGTTGTGAGCCTTGCCTCGTTGCACATACGTTTTGCTTTTGGGATCGGTTGATAAACAATAACTATGCGAATTTGATGGAATTGAAACTTGAAAGTAAGAAGTGTCCCAGTTGCTTGACTTGCGCTCCAAGTTTCCTCTACATTTATATTCAATCGGACTCGTTGCCATGCGAGACTAGAATATTAAGGCCGACAACTGTTGATGAAGAGGTTCTAAGTTGATGGTGTATTGTGTTTTCTAACTTTTCCCTTGTTCTCTCTTCGGGGGTTAAAAAGGTCGTTTTCATCTGCATTTTACTAATAACACAACTTCACAAGCAAAGCACCGGGATTCATCCATCACACCGGCATCAATAACATAATTCGACAGAAACTGTAACATCAAGCTAAGGCAACAGAGCGCCACCACTTGCAGAACAAAACAGAAAACGTTGAAGAAAATGGCAGCAGCCGACAGCAAGAGCTCAAGCAGACGGTTACCCAGTGAACAGCAAGGGCGGGCCAGAGAAATTAGAATTTGAGTTGATCCAGTTGGAGATGTCAAGGGTTCCTTCCTGCCAAACAAGTTTCAAGACACCATTGTTAGAGGGGGAAATTTAGGATATAGTTTGCATGTTAGAAAGAAAAGGCCAACTACAGAAGCAAATAGATACGCAATTTGAGTATTTGACAGCCATGATGATAAGAACTTTGAGAGAGCTCAATACACACCTTAATGTGCAGACATATAAGCAAATAACTTTTCTATCATGGGGTTCAAATGCACCCGGAAGGAGAAGGCTAGTACATGGAACATATTGAAGCCTTGCGCAGAGCAGAATGGTCTGTCTTACCCCACAGTTGCTGTAGTTTTGCTGCAAGCTGAGTGACAGATTTTCTTTCAGCAGGGTTCGAGAATCCCACACCGACTGCCTCCTGAATCGCAGACAGGAATTCTCTTCTTCCTTTAGAAGAGAGACCAAGATAATCTGGTCCATGGATTGAGCTCAGCTCCACAACCTACACCCAAAAGAGAAAACAACCGTAAGGTTTTGAAGCATGTGGATATGAAATGAAACAAAGCGAGCTGATCCATCTCATAAATAAGTCAGAGTAATAGATATAGCCACAGGAAGAAGATAACATTATTGACATGTAACTGGTACCAAAAAGGATAGGATAGAGCACTTTTCAAAACATAACAGGAAACCGGACAAATATATTGAATAACTTGCCTGATGCAGCCAGGGTATGATGGAGTTGATAAATCTCTGCTCCAAGAAGTACGAAGCCAAACTTGTAAGAACTGCATTCATGGTTTGACGGGAAAGACATTCCAGTACAGGACCAGTCCTATTGATAAGCTCGACTAGAATAAGTTCATTGCCAGAAGAAAGAGCTTCAGCATATGCAGAGTCCACGTCGCCTTCACACATAAAATCTTTTACACGTTCCCAATAGAAGTTCCGATTCTCCATCACACTTTGCTTGCTGCCATTCTTGACATTTGGAACGGTGCTCTGGGAACCTCTACCAGAACTTTTCAGCATCCCTTTCCCTGTAAGGTTCCTAGTAGCAACTGCACTAGTATTAGGGCTGATTTCTATACCTTGATTGGCTGATACTGAATTTCTCGATCTAGTTCTACAACCATCCCAAATATCAGTGTGCTTAACGGAAAAATGTGAAGGCTGCCTAGATAGAATATCAATAGATGGCCTGGGTGTGCATCTAGGAGAGGAACCATTTTGGTTCTGCTTCATAATCCGGGAAACAGCTGATTCTGAATGCCTAGCTCCTTGCACAAGAAAGCTAGATATCCGATCCACTTCATGCTCTAATCCTGACACTTTAGACTTTAAACCAGACATGTTCTCCATTATCCCAGCTGTGAATTCCTGCAAATGAATATGCATCATTAGAAATTTCTAGCAACCTCACATGTAACCATCAAACTTGAGGGAAACCCCCACCAAAAAATAGTAATGTAACTTTACCATGTAACTGATCAGATAAACCAATAAATAAGCAGGGTGGAGATTCTGGTCTGCTTGGTAATTGTTCACTTACATAGTTAACTATGATAAAACTTTGTACTATTTCCATCAAACATTCATCGTACAAAGGAGTTACCTGCAGCACGTCCATCAAGTTCGCTTGTCTACTCTCAATCTCTGAAAGCTGTTTCCTAATTAAGGCCACTTCACTCACCACATGTGAGCAACATCCATGTGAAGGCTGGAAGCTAGATTCAGTAACTGTGGAATCAAGACTTCTACGATCTTGAACGTTTACACAATACACGTCTTCAGTATTCATCCCTGCAGCTGCAACATGCTGGCGTCTTCCCATTACTTTCAGTAGAGCACCACTCTCGAGAGAGTCGTGATGAACTGAACTTCTCTTGGACGCTGAAAAACAGTCCTGTTTGTCATCCATTGGCACATATTCACAGCTAACATCAGGAGCACTGCAAATGTCAATGCTCGTTCTCTCTAAAGTCCTCGTAATAGAGCTACTACCCTCAGATTCCTCATTCTGATGATCCGGCAAAGGCAAATCATGATGTTTAGGAACTGCGATTTCAATATGCCAATCGTCTGATTTAGACTGTGGCGAGTCTGTGTAATTCTGGCACCCTCTCTTTACGGACAAAGGAATCCTTCTCTTAGTTGGGTCTGTTACAACTTTATTCATTATTATGACATCTTTCTGTGCAGAACCACTGGTACTTGTGATGTCACTGTACTCACCTCCACAAAAGTTTTCTGTACAAAAATAATCATTAGCGGCATCCAGAAAACTATAGAAGAAAGCAAGATCGTGCTGATGAAGTAGCCAAAGGTAACCCAAAGAATCCCTCCAATAACAGAAAAAGATAATGTAGAAGAAGAACCATAAGCTGGAAAGATTCTGGAACAGTAAACCATGCTTTCTTAACTATTGGAAACACGACTACTTCATAAATAGATACATAATTCTGATTAGAACGGGGCATCAGCCAACAACCTTTGATAGAGGACCCCGTTTCAGAAGCTTCTGGAGCATCAGTCCCAGGAAGACTTTTCCAGTACTGTATGGCATGAAGTACACTGTCCCTAACAGGTTTCACCTATAAGAGACACAATAAGCATCAACAATGATTCAAAACATCAATCAAGATAAAATAATAATAATAATAATAATAATAATAATAAACATCACCAACTTTATCAAAACGGCATGATTCTAGGGATCGAATGCAGGAAGCTTTGAAAGAACCCAAGCAAGACCCGCCACCATCAGCAATTTCTCCTAGAGCTGCGGAAGCTGCCTTGCGTGTGGTCCAGTCACTGTTTTTTAGAGCTTCTTGGATGCTAGTCATTGCAGCAGCTAAAACATTTTGCGATGGTGCACCACCTGCCTGGAATACAAATGGAGAGAAGGCGAGTCGTTTACAAATTCCAAATAGATAACTCCAACTTGCGAATGGAGAATGTTACTCGACATTTGTTCATGAAAAGCACTAGTCCCCTGTATCATCTCTCGGCAGATAGAGCCATCACTGGTAGCCAGGCCAAATAACGCAATTTGAACAATGATATCATAACAAACATTGTAAAGGTTGATTAAGCTTTCAAATCAACCATACATTTATCTCTAAAACTCATTTTGAACTGATAGTTGAATACTAGCTCATGGTACGACATACATTCAAGGCACTTCTCAAGTACTAGCCAATGAAAATGAATAATGAACAAGACCAAAAACCAAAGACCAAAACAACCAAGAAAGTAGAAGATAAGAGCCTGTTATAGATCACCTGAAGAATACTTCTAGTCAACTCAATCACTGCTGGTTTAGCCATGAAGTGTGGACTCTTAAGCAACTTCATAATCCTAGTCAACATCCTCTGCAAAATGGGAGCTGGAGGATCCTGAGTATTGTCAATGACTTTAGCCAAGCACAATGCTGAACCCGACTGCACGTATTTATTCTGTTCACCCAAAGCTTCGAAAAGGGGCTTCACCAACACAACAAAATCCCCATCAGATTCATCCCCATGGTTACTAACCGTAGAAGCCAAAACACCCATCGTCTCAACACACGCATCCCTCACAACCGAATCCGAATCCTTAAGCCTCCTCACGACGCTACCAACCATCTTAGCAAGATGTGGCGCGACAAAACTCCCATGAAATGTCACCACCATACCAATCAGTCTAACACATTCCTTCCTAACTGCACTCTTTTGCTCCTTATCAGTGTCCAGTATACACGACAGGAACGGCGCAATCCCATCTGGGGTTAGAGATTCAGCCACTCTCTCAAGCTCGTCCGCGCCTAAGTGGCAGGTGTCACGATCCGCAAGCTTGTTCAGTGCAAGCACCACTTTGTGCTTCAGCTCGAAATTAGACTGCTGCGATGTGACCCTCGAAGTTCCTCTCCCTCTTGCTACCGTATGTGCCTTCATCTTGAACTGCACCCCGTTGCCCAAATCCCGAATACTATCCAAAAGCGCTTCTAAAGAACGGAACCACTCCGTCTGTAGTTCATCCTTTCCTCCTTTTCTCAGTACTTCAACAAACTAACTCTGCGAATAGCATCATAACAATGTTAAACCATAAACTCCAGAGTTTCTAATTCACCAAAAAGACAATGTAAATACAGAATTTTAAACCCTAATTCCAAAAGTTTCTATCTTCACCAACACTATGAACTATCTCAGAAGCCAAACACAATGCTACTCGGTAACGAAAAACGTAATTATGCTTCTAGCTATTGCTGCGGATACTGATCCGGAACAAATAATCCCAATCAGTACTAACAGCAAACCCTAACACTTGAAACAAAGTCGGACTAGGAATAACGCAGTACCGGAATCAAAGCAAGTTGAAAGAGGAAGAGACGACGGCTTTGCATGGTTTCCGTCGTCTGATTACATTTTCTTCCGCAACTTTCTACGAAGCCATTCTTCTTCTTCTTTTCTCGGTGGCCACCTGAGCCCTCTGGTTTAGTGATTTCAAATGGAGAGAGAGAGAGAGAGAAGAGGGGTGAGATTAGGAACGCTAATAACAATGCATAGAAATTGACAAAAAGGAGCGAGGAAAGAAAAGAAAAGGAACAAGTTGCTGTTGGGAATGGAGAATGGACCTTCTCTTCTTCTCTTCCCAAGACACGGACAAAAGAAAAGGAGGAAGAGGAGAGATTTCAAACTCGAAATCAGTAGAGCCAAAACCAATTGTTAATTACTGGGGAAGAGAGAGAGAGAGAGAGAGAGCTTCAAATTTCGCGCTCTGCAACTCCTCATTCGAAATTTGGAGGAGCGTTTTGAGTTTGTCTTGACTCCTACTACCGTGAAAAGGAGTGGGCTGTAGATTGGCCCACTGGATCAGGTTTGGACCGGATTTGGACGGGACCTAGATTGGACTGTGGGCTTCTAGATGAAATTCGCTCGTCGTCTTTACTGATTAGTGATTAACCCTTCTCACTCGTAACATGTAACAACACAAAATATGTAATATCCGTACTACACCGGCAGTGCGATTGAAAAAAAATTATTTATCGAAGTCGCAACCGTTAGTTGATTTCAACGATATGAAATAATTAACTCACTGTTTCAATACAAAATACTGTATTGTTGACCTTTTTCAGTACAATTTCAAATACGATTTTACAATTCTTGCGGAAATTAATGAAAGGTGGACGTAGACTTTCAATACTAGAAGTACATAAATACGGTTGTTAGCACTAAAATGGAACAACCTTGATTTATGCAATGTAGAAAGGCTTTTCACTGATCCTATCTTCTATCATTTTATACGTTGATAGATATGTTTCCCAATGAAGGAGTCAAGTTAATTTGTTGGAAGCATGAGTCATAAGTGTGCTAGTGTGTTCCTTTTTCTGGGCAGTGCTAACTGGTTTCGTATAATCCTGTGGTAGTTCCCAAAAACGCGAAATGCAAAGGCATGGATTCCTCCTTTCACATTGGTCTGATTAGTCTCGTCTTGGATGGCAATAGTTCGGAGGGTTGGGGTCAGATAGTTCATATTTATTATCTTATTTAATATAGTTTGAGTTTTATCATATTCATACGAGAATCGGGTAGACTACTATGTAGTCGAGGAGTCGTGAAATGGAGTAGGGTTAAGAGACATGTCAATATATATATATATGGTGGAGTATTCGGTGCACCCACTTTTTCGGGTGCACTCAGTGCACCTGCCTCATAATTATCATTCTGACCATGCGGTTCATGTCAAAATGGTATCAATTGTTGCTTATGATATTATGAACAAGAAGCACATGAATTTAAAAAAAAATTCATTCAAAATTAACTTTAATTCGAAGGATTTAGGGATTTAGGGTCAGGGTTTAGGTTTATAATTTGGGATTTTGGATTGGGATTCAAAATTGAAGGTTAAGGGGGTTAGGGTAATGGATTGATTTGTTATGATTTTATGTCATATCATCATATTAGATTGAGAGTACTAATTAAAGTTCAAAATTTGATGTATTATGGACGCTTTTAGAGTTGGGTGCACTGAGTGCATCCAAAAAAGTGAGTGCACCGAAGTAGCCACCATATATATATGGGTGGTTTTATCGTAACTTCAACTTGGGTAAAATCAAATGTATGACATATCTTGAGTAAAAAAATAATATCTATACCTTGAATTGACCGGAGTTTGGCATCAAGTACTATTCCTAAACTCTCAAAGATTAAAATCTAGGTCTTAATTCTATAAATCTCATACACTAAGATCAAGTTAATTAGAAACGAAAATCGACGGTCATGATTCTTCGAAATATATGCAACAAATTACATGTACAATCTTAGGGGTTAGGCTCTATGATTTAGATAACTAAGACCTAGGATCACTCATCAAGGGTTAGGGTATCATGCCCTAAAATCCGGTTAATTCGAGGTCTAGATAGTGTTTCCTCACTCAATGTATGACGTACCCTAGATTTTACCCAAGATACAATAGAAGCCACTTATATATATGTGTGTGTAGTTGAATCCGTGTGTATGTGGGTTCTATTCGGTGGAACACTACATAATTAATAACATATCAATCGCCTTGTGCAGTGGACTAGTCCCATCGTTCATACGTTGGGGAGACCACGTAAATCTAGTGTTTTGCGTTGTTTATTTTTCATGATTGATTGTGTTTGACGGTTAGTATCCGATTAAACTGCGATTACATGATTACATGTTATTCCGTTGCGGTTGGAAAATCACAAACTATGAAACATGCAGTATTGCTAACCGCGATCGTAAAATAGACTATTCTTTCGGTCGATGGTTAATCACTAACCGTATCATTCCGATGTGATTAGCAATTTAACCGCGAATTCCTACCCGTATTGAGATACTAACCGCATCTTCAATAATATTTTCATTATATTCGAGCTATCTTTTTTTCGACTAACTTGTCAAGCTTTTTTTTACAGGGGAAAGAATATGTTCTTCAAATGCCTTGTGACCTTGTCAAGCTTTTTTTCGGCACATGTCCTCCTTCGGCGAGCATTCGCATTCGCATTTAGAACTGCTATTCTGCTGTTCTTTCTTATTCCCCCACTCCAAAGTTGTCATCATAACGCCACCATCATCAACGCTAAGCATTTCCCACTTTCTGCAAGAATATTGATCCGCATGCCGTTCCTTGCCACATGGAGGAAAAGTGGAAATTATTGGGCGCATAATGGTTCAACAATTTGAGGTTTCAATATACCTCTAAGTACGGGAAACACTACCGTGAATAAGATATCGTGACTAGACACCTGTTCTCCTATAGTGTAGAAGCATAAATAGTAGTTTGTACAAGGGGTGAGGCGTTTTGACGCCTAGTGTTTTCTTTAACTTTAGTTATTATCAGGCTTCAACCATGTGTTGTCAGATGAATATTTTGTAATTTACCGACAATTACCAATACCAATATTGTGAAATAAATTATTCACCTAATTTATGGATCAAGAATTATAAAGTTTGAAAATTTCTTTCATTTTAAGTTTCAAACTATTGAAATTATGTGATCATACGAAATTAATGTTGTAAACCCACCGAATCCAACCAGCCACCATCATCCGCAATCATTCAACTCAACCCACCCACATCACACGTAAATAATGTAATGCTTGGTTGGGTCATGGGTGTGAGTCATTTTCTCTTTCAGTTTAAATGATTAATGATTTACTTAACACTTAAATAAAAATGCTCGAAAATTAAAAAAAAAATAGCCCAATAGTTCTCAAAGTTCTTGAGTTTTGAAAAAGATCGAGAGAGAGGATTGAGTTTGTAGATCTTAATTTTCCTCTTTGATATTGACTTGCTAACTCTGCATGGTTACATTTAAGAGACACCTATATATTTTGCCTTAACTCGTTGTTGCCTTCTCGATATCTAACTCGTCGTTGGACTCTTAGACAAGTTATTTTAGTGTCACCTAGAGTAACCATTAAAAGTACAATGGTAGTAATGTGCATGTATTATTAAGGTTGCAAATAAGCTGAGCTAATCAAGAGCGGCTCGACGTTCGGGTTAGAAAAACTCATTCGACCTCGATTGGTTGACTTACGAGCCAAGATTGAGCCAAGTCTTTGCTCAACTTGCTACAATCGTAAGCCAGTTTGACACGATGGCTTGTTGAGACCAACTTGTAAGTTGCCTTGTTTTGAGCTTAGAAAATGTCTCAATAGCTATTACCGACTTACGAGGGAATCGATCAATATCATATGAGCTTACTTCTTAATTATTCATTGGTTGTTAAATTATATGTGTCCACCCTATACCATATTAAGACCTTTTTTTTTTTTGCATAAATCATATTTTGAATATGTAAGCATATATGTCCTTTGTAAGTTCAAAAATATGTATTTTTTATCATATCGATATTAATTAATTATTATTATGAAATAATATTATATGAGCTAGTTAAGATTTACGAACTAAATATAACGAATGATGTCATATAAATTTGAATATTTTTTTCTTGTTTTGAATTGTTTTCTTTTTGCATATTTTATCACATGTATGGCATACAAATATTGAGGTAATTAATTTATGGATTCTAGAATTTAGGGTAGGATTCAACTAGTCGTAATAAACAAGTTGAACTCCATCTGGATTGTTCAACTAAACTCGAGAAGAGCTCATGCACTCATTAACAAATCTAAACTTGAAAGTCGAAACAAACACTTCTGTGCCTATCACTGACTGGTGTTCTATTCAGAACTCGTGCATAGAGAGATGATGCCTAAACTAGGAAGTGAGTCGTGGTAACCACATAAACAGTTAAACCACTCCAATCTGAAGTGTCCCACCCGGCCACCCCACTCGATTAGGCATGCTAGCTAGAAAGCTTAATGTGAAAAGGACGAACAAAGGCAAGCACACTAGAGAACGATCAAGCACTCTTTTTTGACTTATTAGGCAAACCTTAGAAAGCCCTGCGCAGAATTGCAACAATGGCTGTTGGGGAGTCCACATTTCCCGTTTTCATCATTCACTTCCGCGACAAACCCAACCATCCACAAATGAAATGAAGCCAATCAAGATCACAAATTCACAACACCACCCAAATTGCACAAAGAAGGAAAAACCAGAACGATGGGAGTCAACTACTACCAGTCGCAATAAGTAATAATCTCATTAGGAACCAAAAAAAAAACAAATTCAGCCGCAACCCAATCTCCTCCTCCAATACATAATGTGCCAAATCAGAAACCCTCACAACTTACTACAATGTAGGCGATCTAATATTATATGATACGTCAATATATAACGAAGTCACTAGCAGAATGAAGCAACTGCGAGTGCCGCCGCAAGAGATCCGGCTGAGAAGATGCCGGAAACAGCAGCATGAGCAGAGTTGGAAAGCGGGGCGCCACCAACAGGGGATGGAGCCGGAGCTGCTTCTGTCATCTCGCTTGGTGGCACTGCAGTTGATCCTCCAGCAACCACTGTCCAAAAACAAAAAATTCAACCCGATTAGATGCATGCTGAACAAGAACAACTACAACCCATAATTTTCCCTCTGAGAATTCAATAGGAAAACAGAGAGAAATTAAAAACAGAGAAGTTTACCAGGGGAGCCAGCGGGAGCCATGGACACTGCAAAAACAGAACAGGAATCCCCCGAAAGGACAATCAGATCTCAGAAACCCCAGAACCGGCAATTTTAAGATGGAATCGTAATTCTAAAAAAAAAAAAACAAACGAAATCGAGATCGAGGGAGGGAGAGAAAGGGCGTTTACGCTGGCAGCTGGACATAGGGGGAGTTTTGAGCTTGCAAGCGGAAGGCAGGGTGAGGGCTTTGGTGACGTTGAGCGCGATCCCCATCTCGCCGCTGCTCTTGAATGTCTGGCAGAGGCAGTCGGCGTTGGTGTTCAGCACGGTCTCCAGCCCGGAGCAGCAAGTTCCCTCCGGCTTGGTGGTGGTGCTCCCGTTGAGCACGAAGGTCAGGCAGTCGCTGAGGGCCAAAACCACGGTAGAGCAATCGGCGGCGGGGGCCGGAGCGGCGGCGGCCTGGTGGTGGGCCGCATTGGCGGCTGTGACGGAGAGTAGAACGGAGAGGAGGAAGAAAGCGAGGTAAGACGAAGACGCCATTGTAGCAGGCAGCGCAGAGAGAGACAGAGAGAAGAAATGGGGGAGAGGAAGAGAGCGAGTGGCTGCTGAGAAAATGGGTTAGGGTGAGAAAGAGGGAGGTGAAGCGAGTATAATGTATATATAGGGCGTGTTTGGGTGGGAAATGGGAAACGGCGGTGTGGGGCGCGGCGGCGCGGCAGCGGAGGAGACAGGTGTCGACTGTCGATTGGGACTGTGGTGGCGGGAGGTGAGTGGTAATTATAAATCGGTGGCAGTGGGACGTCTTTTTCACCTTCGTTTTCTGAACGAAATTAATTTTCCGATTTACCAAACGGCACTTTAAGTAGGGAATTTCCCTTTTTCTCCTTCGGAGTCCATGGGTAAACGATGATCTTTTTCCGGGGTTTTCCCGGCATTACAGTTTTTTTCTTATTTTCGAATTTTTGTCCTGCCTTTCCGACGTCTTTTTTTTTTTTGGAGAAACTTTCCGACGTCTCTCTATTGGAATCCCAGATAAGTCAAATTGAGTCAAATTATTTTCTGAATTTTCAACTCAATCATTCCTCACAAATCTCTAGTGAATTTTCACATTAGTAATGATTACTTTTCTAGGAATAAATGAATATTTTTAATGGAAATAACTGAAAAATACGGTTCTAAAATAATTGTAAAGTATTTGGTTTACGAAGATGAGATGGATAAGAGTTAGCATTGGGTATATGAAAAAAAATAGGAGAATTAAGATTGAAAATTAGGGATGAAAAATCGACTCATTTGCAAATGACTAGAAAAATCTAATCATTTGGAGGATGAGTCGATTTTCAAATGTCTCGCGGTTTTGCTTTTTGCTACCAAATTCCTCATGCAGATGAAGCCGTAATTCCCTATTATTATTCCTCGGTAAATGCCACATTTGGTCACTAAGATTACTAAATCGTGTCATGTTTAGTCACTAGAAAATTTTAATATCAATGTTGGTCACTCTAATTACTAGAACATGTCACATTTAGTCACTCTCCCGTTAGCCTCCGTCCAACTCCAGTCACTAGAATTACTGAAACATGTGACATTTAGTCACTCGAATTACTGAAACATGTCACATTTAGTCATTCTCCCATTAGTTTTCGTCTAACTCAATTAATGAAGTTGGACGAAAACTAACGGGAGAGTGACTAAATGTGACATGTTCTAGTACTTCGAGAGACAAAAATTGATATTAAATTTTTCTAGTGACTAAACATGACACGATTTAGTATTCTCAGTGACCAAATGTGGCATTTACCCTATTATTCCTTGTACCTTTTCACAAGTGCGCTGTGAAAATTTTATTGGAGGCCAACATGAATTAATATTTCATTTAACAAAATCAAATTACCTCGTTCTCGTTTTAATTTCTAATAATGGAAAGAGGAACGTTGGATTCCAGCCAGACCCATGCAAGCAAATGCAATGTTTATATTTAGAGAGTGCTAATGCTATCATTGCAATAATAATAATAATAATACAACATGGATTCACGCGTTTATCACTTTTGGTTTTCACTTTTCAGAAGGCCATGGTATCATGTTTCTCGTTCTTTGGTTTCTCTGATTAACTCAACTTTACTAATTAGGAGTGTTTGTTATATATGATAGGAGTAGTAGAGCACGTTGATGTGCTCAATATCAAATACACCATTGGTGGCACTCCCCCGACTTCTGAAGGACAGTAAACATTGGTCATTGAATTCAACGTATAGGAATGACAATGAGTCGGATTGGGTATCCATGAGTTCGCGAATATAACCGTCAATAATTCCTTCGAATACGCATATCTTTGTATTTTATAAAACAAAATTTATAATTATATTGCTAAGACCTAAGAAGGCTAATAACATCAATAATTATCTATATTATTAGAATTGAATTGTCATAAAGACTAATACATTAAAAAAATTATTAATATTAGTACGGTTTATATACAAAACGACATATTTTTCCTTTCCAAGATTGGGTCGGGTTGGGTGGAGAGCGGGTTGCTTTTGCTAAACCCGCATCCAACCCATTCCATCAATTCCAAAAAATGGAATTTATCCGCACCCGACTCATAGCCCGTCACCGTAGGGTTCACCCACTTTGCTCGGGTTGATTTTGTTGGGCACTTGCGGGTACAGGTTGAATGACATCGATATATCAGAATGAACACTGAAGTACTTATTATCAACCATTTGGTCAGGGTCATCGAATGAATCATGGAGGCCTTGTTCTAGAATTGAGATATGGTTTAACTTTTTCAAGTATACTAAAATGAAAAGGGTCGTTATTTAAACAATAATTTGAAATAAAATTCACCATCAACTCTTCAAGTTAATTATCAATGAAAGGTTTTTTTGTGCCACTAGGTGGACAACGCTGTTAAAACACCGAGAGACGCAAAAATTATTAAAAAAAAAAAAAACAAAAGTGGCGATCAGTAAATTGACGCACCAGAAGTTGGAATCACCACAAAAGTTTGCAACAAAGAACCCACCATTTCATTGCATCTCATAAAGCTAATGACTCCATAAGAAATAGCTTCGTCATACATGGGTAATACTTCCCGAAGCCAAAGTTAAGTTGCTTATCAATATATGAGAAAACTTTAGTTTGGGCGATAAAAGAAGGTTCCATTGAAACTTCCAAAATTTGATAATAAGGAAGCTGTATCGGGCGGCGGGAAGCATTAAGTTCACTAAAAAGAAGATAGTACCCAATTTTTACTACATATATCTGATCCTTAGCATAGTGTCAAATCAATCTACTCACCACTGGTGCGACAGAGAGTGGAATATATCGAAATGACTCATCAGTACTCGAGAGATAAGAGGAAGGAAGTACTAAGTTGGCGATTAGATTAGAAAAAATTGACATAAACTAAATTTTGGATGCTGATGAAGAGACTCGAGATCATCTTTGAGGCACTTGTCCTTTTGCTTGTGGTATTTGAACTCTCAGATTAGAACTATTACTAAAAGATGGTTGGATGGATGGATTAGGTTTTAACAAAACAGTAAGGTTTTGTTGGTTCATTACTTAACTAGGTTTCACAACTTGGAAGGTGGGAAATCACATACAGTGAACACCTTAATGGGCCATATTGGGCCTTATGGAAGGTGGTCAGGTATAAAATATTTATAGGAAGTTAGGAAGTTGTTCTGTTGGGTTTATAGATGCTTTCCGGATTCAATTGCTATTTTCTAATCGGATCAGGCCCAATAAGGAAAAATATATATATATTAGACTCTAATAATTACACAATAATAATCGAGTATTTGTGTTTCTTACATAACGAACTTTGTTTGCAAGGATGGCTAGCTAAGAGGGAACAGCAATGGGAGCTGGCGGAACCAGTGCCTCAATAGGCGAATATTCACAAGGCTCGTCGTCTCCTTTGGAAGGAGCAAAATACTTTGGAGCCCAAATCTCCCCTCTCGAGCTCCTGCCATTGGCAAGCTCTCTCTGCGCCTCCTCCACAGCTCTCTTGGCGTCTTTGGCTTTCTCCCAGTTTCTGTTCATGATGGCTCTGCTCACCTCGCTCCACACTGATGCCGATTCCGTCGGCAAAACATTCTGCGGTGCACACAAACCAGAAAGAAGCCAAGTTATTACATAATCAATATAGAGTGAGTGTTGTAGGTAGGGATCTCGGGGTGATTGACGTAATAAGATAGAGTTTAGAAGAAAGAGAGATTAATTAGATTGGCTGAGAGGAGAATTGGGGATTAGGGTTTTTGAAAGAGACTAGAGAGAATTAAGGATGATTCTTTAAGATACTTTGATATAGTTTTTTCATTGATATCTCTAACGATAGAACTAAGATATATATACATTATATATACTCTGACCCCCAAATTCTAATCGACCAAGCCTAATAAAATACTATAAAACTACCATTAAACCTACTACGCTCAACAGTGAGGCATGAACATGATGCGCGATGGGACGCGAGACAAGTCAATCCGTAGATCTAATCAAGCGAATTGGGATAAAAACAGACATTCCTAGACCGAATAATGTATCCCAGTATTTGTAAAAACCGTAGTTGAATTTACTGGCGTGGTCTGACAGGAAAAACAGTCTACCGAGTTCAAATTAATAGGTGGTTTTAACAAATAAGAAAAGATTGAACCACGATTCCCGCACAATCAGCCCCTATCACGGTATAAACCTCTAGTACGATTTTGCAATTTGATAATGGAAGTGACAAATTACCTGTGGATCCTTTAGAATTGGAGCTTTCAACCTGGACGCCACTTCCTTGGCATTGTAGATAACCCGCTCTCCTCCACCATTTTGGTCCTTTATTTTCACAACACTACATAGGCGGCAGCAGCAGCAACAACAACAACAAAAACCAGAATAAGTAAAAGCGAAATGGTAAAATTTTACAGGAAAAAAAAGAAAAAGAGATGGGTTATGTTCATCAATGTGTTACCTGCTCCAGTGTCCATGCAGAGTGTAGAGCAACTTATTATGATCATCACCGGAAGGAGAGGACGGCGGCGACGCCGCCGCCGTCTTGTAGATCCTGCCGGTGACGGAGTTGTTGGAACTGGACCACCGTCCCAAGAAGGACGACGTGGCGTAGTTCAGCTCGGCCTCATAGCCGGTCTCCTGGCAGCTGACCCTGACGGTTCCCGTCCAGTCGACGGACGGCGGGATGAACTTGATCGTTAAGTTGGGAGAGTTCATGACGTAGGTTTCGCCGTGTTCGACGAGCTTCAGCCTTCTCTTTCCTTGCACTTCCACTTCCACCCTCGTCCCTGCAAATGTCATCAAGATGATTAATTTCTCAGTACAATAATTCATCGATTCATTTGCGAGGTTACCCCACGTAGTTAAATAGGCTCTGCTCTTCAGTAGTATTATTACTGCATGCAGGTAATTGGTCCATGTAATTGGGGACCAAATCCAACATCCAAATTACGGTGTTGTTTGCTAGTGGGATTTGGATGTTGTATTTGGTATTCAAATACAAACCATAACGTTTTTTTGTCCAAAGTCATTGTTTGTTAAGGTAGGCAAATCCGTGGGACCCATGGATTTGGACAACTTTTTTAGCTCCAAATCCGTGGACCCCACGTATTTGTAAATACCGCATTTCATTTGGTATTTGTAAATACCGCATTTCATTTGGTATTTGCAAATACCACATTATGGAAGACAAATTTTTTAGAACCAAATACCAAATGTACTGAATCCATGATAAAAATTCAACTAAACAAATAATGTTATCTTGCAAATACAAAATGCAACAAATCCATTATAAATCCAAAAGGTTTCATAACTCAAAACCTTCATTTTCAACTCCAACAAGCAAACGAGCCCGTACATTAGCAAACAACCCCTAAAAAGAAAACCTCCTCCAAGATAGTCCGAGAGTGAAAGATAATAGAATGAGTGATCGAGCCTATAAAATAGTTGTAAAATGAAGTTCTGCACCTAAAATATAAAATTTGAAAGTGATTGTGTATTTTAAAATTTAACCCTTAAATGTAGGTACGTAACGAAATGTTAAAACATGTCACACTTATTATGCAAAGATAGAAAAGAGAAAAAGGCTACGTAAAGTAACGTTACCGTGGAACCTGGGGATGGGGCGGTGGAACCAGAGCATGTCGATGCCGTGTACCCGATCGGTGGCGTGGAGCGCGGTGGCCGGAGGGTGGTGGGAGACCTGCTCCAGCCGGACGTTGAGCGAGCGAGAAGACACGTGGTGTGTCTCCCCCAGAACCGGGTTGTACGGCGCCACCCCAAATATGGCCGGCCGGTTCGTCGAAATGCTCCACCCGACCACCCGAGTAAACCTCTCCAATGCGTCACCTTTGCTGCTGCTGCTGCATTCGCCTAAGACATCCTTCCCGGCGCAGTACACCGACTCCCCGTACATCTGCAGCTGCGACTTCGGGTAGTTGAACGACGGCGGCAGCTGCACACACTTTGACATGTTAATACGTAGTATAAGATTGAACCACTCTCAACAACTCGAGTTATAAGATAGTGCGCGAGTAACTTGCCTGGAAGCCGGTGATGTCGGAGCCAGGGCGGACGTTTTTGAAGAGGCTCAGGATGCGCTGGACGAGGTTCGGAGTACGGTAGTCCACGTCGGAGTCTCCTTCCACCATCAGCGGCTTCGTCAGCACAACCTCCTGCTGCTGCTGCAGCTTTCTTTCCTCGTTCCATCCTTGTCCGCTCACCTTTGTGTTTTTTGGTATTCGGTCAAACAGACACAAAGAATACGAATCATAAAAATACGCAAGACATGACAAGTTGCAAACTGAAGAAAAAAAAAATCGGCCAAACAAACTGAATCTGTTCCGTCTTTGCATTTGTCCGCACGAGAAAGCAAAGCTCTCAATCAAGGCAAAGGCAGCCGGCCAATAGCTTTTCCGCAGCAATTCCGGTGAGGACAGAACAAAACGACGACGATCGAGCCAAAGGAAAGAGAAAAACGGAATCCCAAAAAGGAACTCTTTTAATGATAAAGAAGGCGGCGAAACCGGGAAAATGGGGAAAACGACGGCCAACGGAAAGGCGCTGGTGGACCCGTAATTGTTACGCATTCCCACTAAGCACAGCAAAGCTAATTACATATAATAATAATAATATTTTGTATAGTACTGTCACCAGTACCGTTGAAATTACACATTTTAAATATATATACTAATGATAATTAAGGAATATAATGATACAGCTTAATTACGATATTGTCACGCAAATCGTTTAATCAAAAGCCTGGAAACAGCTTTGATACCCTAATCATACTGATAAATATCTTCTAATCATTCAGAGAGAAGCTGTATAATACGACGAAAGCTAAACGTAACGATTGAATACCGTCCTTTTTTTTGTTTTTTTAATTAATTAGCGTTACAATAAAACCGCGTTTATTCATCATCGCCGGCGGGGAAAAGAAAGCAGTTTTTCATAAGCAACAGAGAGAGAGAGTCTCATAGAGAAGAAGATGGGGCGCGTACCATTTGACGACCGACGCGCGCGTGAGAGTTATATCGAGATTCAAGAGGATGTTAACCACGACCACCGGCCGGCGGGGGGGGGGGGGGGGGGGGGGGGGGGGAAGAATCCGATCGGTAACGACGGAGCTACTCCTCTGCTTGGCCGGCGACGAGAGAGAGAGATTGGGCTGGGCGGAAATAATGATGGAGCCGAAAGGGGGAATGTATTTGGGGAAAGAGGGATTTGGGATTTAGAGAGACGAAGGAAAGGAAGGAAGGAACAATAAAGGTAAAAAGGAGCGGAGAGATGAGGAGGCGGGAAAGGGAAAGGGGAAGGGAGATATGGGGGTTTCCGCCGTTTCTCCGATTCCGTTCCTTTGTCGTCTGTGCGGCCGTTCGGATTCTTCAATGGTGTGGACGAGGACAAAAACCCCGTCTTTTAAGAATAAGAAGAAGTCGAAGGGGGAGGAGGAAGGAAGGTGACACCAAAAGGCCAAATCAAATTGGGGATTTGATAATTTCGACCCGAACCATTTTATCCAACTTGTTTGATTTGTATTTGGGCGGGTATGGGTATTCTCATCAACTTGATCTCCTCTGATTCGTTTCCGTTCTTGACCCGTTGTTGTCTAAATTACATGAAGGGGTCGTTTGGAAGTTGCGATTGTTAAATAGATGTATTGTTGATAATGCATGTATAATATTATACATGTATTGTCGAATTTGATGCATTGTAGAATACAACGTTTGGTATGTCTGATTGTGTATGTCGCATCAGCTAAAAACTGAGACAAAACAATCTCAACTCAACTATCTCAACAATCTCAACTAAAAGTTGAGATATAACAATCACTCAAAATGAGTGATAGTTACTGTCACATCACAGAAACAATCCATGTATTGTTTCTGCTAAAAAAACAGAAAAACGATGCATTGTAAACAATACATGCATAATGACAATCTCAACAAAACTATCGCAACTTCCAAACGATCCCGTAATTTTAGTCAAATTACTTAGGATTTTTCTTTCCTTACATCATATTTTAGCTATTATAAAGTGTTTAAATTAGTGCAAATCTCAATGTCTCCAATAATTTAGCTACATTTTATCGTATTATGAATTGTTTCTTGGTTTTATAACGAAAATAAAAAATATTTCTAGTGATTTTCCTATAAATTACATACCCATTAGGTCGACCTGATCCGACCCACGCCAGGTGATAAATTATCCGACCTGCTACGGGACAGATATGGGTATCAAGATACCCGTCCCAAACCTACCCATTCCTAAACCAAACCCCCTTCTTCCTTCGTTTCAATAAATACTGATTTTGCTTTCTTTTTGTTTAACTCAATGAGGAAAAAACAGCAAATTATTCTACTTTCCAAATGAAAAAAGGACAAATGTGATGAAGAGTGAAGACAGTGGAGTTGTTGACCCTGGACCTATTTCCTATTTAGTAACGTCTTCATTTGCAAAACCTTGGGATTTCCCGACATAAATAATCAGAGAAAATATTAAAAGAAATCATTCTCTATAAACCTGCTCCTTATCATCGTTGTCACGCGGGTTTATAAGCTTACTGAGATAATGTTTTAATGGTTAAATCAAAATTTCATTAAGAACGGACGATAAAAACGTGATCATAAAACCATCAAATGGAATGATTACAAAGAAAAAAGAACTCAGATTTCCACTATAAAGCTACTATACCCCGTTGGCCTTGTCTAGACAAAGCTTGCAACTCTGGAACTATCCCAGCCCTAAGGCGAATGATACCTTTCAGCTCAGCACAAATATGTTGAGGAGACTTCGCTACACTATTTCCATATAAGCAAAAACACCACTCTCGCGCCAGTATAACATCTTATTGTCATTAAGTGAGAAATCTTTTCGGGTAATGCATCAATTCATAATTTATATAATGAATAAAACATAACAATCAACATATAGTTATAGTTAATCCTTAACATAAATACAGGTAACTAACACAATTATCTTACGGTCAATGGAAGTCTTCACTTAACAAAAAAATATATGTCAACGGTACGAGCTTGATGAAGTGTTGTGTTTGTGTGAATTGACTTAGTCTTTTAGCAATTATCATAGGCTGAAAAAAAAAACATTTCTTTCAAGTTTTCATCCAACATAATGTATGATTTTTTTTTATCTAAATTAGGTGTCCATATGTTGTGGTCTGCACTCTACAAATATAAATATACAGTATATGAACAATATTGAGCTTTAGTTTTTGCGAGCCTAAAAGGGAGGAACATTTGACTTTTGAGTGGTTATGCAAATTATTAAGTATCTGTATATATTATATATTACATATATGGCTAATTACTTAACTAGTTAATTTGGTATGACCAGTTAGGAGTGTCTAAAACCAAACCAAACAAAACCACCTAACCCAAACAAGCCAAAATGTTTAACCAAACCACACCAATTATCCAAATCAACTTAACTAAATTATCTAAATACTATCGGTTAAAACAGTAACCCTCCGCCTGCTCTAGCAATTGGGCCGACTCTTTTTTATATATCTCTTACCCTTAAGGCACTCAATGCAGACATCGAAAATCCGCTAAATCCAAGGATTCAAGAATTTCGATCAGAGCAAGCCTCTAAATTCTCTAATTAGATATTTGGTCTATGTGGCAAATTCTTGTGCCATAAAGTGACAGAATTATCATTTATTTCTCGCTTTGTACCTCGCAAACTTGTTTGCAAGAACTTCATTGTGGGAACTAATCACACCAAGCATGTAAGTATTATCAATCAATAGACCGAAACCAACAAACCAAAATAATCAGACTTGTCCAAACAACTAACCAAAAATTAATTTCGCCGAAAAAACGGTACAATAAAAATCCCGAACAAATCCAGTTGACATCGGTCTTTAACTACAATCTAAAAGTTTTGATAGTTTCTATCCCAAAAAAGATTTTGATATGCTCCATTGTAACTTTCTTTGTCTTCCCCCACATAGATGAATCTTTCGTTTTTACTTGGTGATCGGCTCCATAAGCAACCTCCTGCAATATCCAATCACCAAGTATGAATAGGCACAAAAGATGAATTAACTTCATAACAAAGTAAAGTAAGGAGCTCATCCTTTCACCCAAACCATATAATTGAGACACTTCTTCATGTGCCAAGTCTTCTTGTATAATTAGCAAGGAATCCCCTCAATTTGTATCTTTGGCTTCTTTTATTAAGAAGACTTTCCTTCAATATTACTCTCTTCTTAATTATATTGAAGAAGTATATGATAGTGAGCACTCTCAATCTTATACTTTGCTTGTCTCTCTTCTTCTTGCACATATCGAGATATGAGCTTATTAAGAGACGATTTGTCTTTCTATGTATTTTATTCACTTTGAATCGCCCCAAGTATGTATGGAGAGAAATCTAAACCAAGTGCACAAACAAGTCTTAAGACAACTTTAAATTTAGTGATTTGAGTTTTGATGTGAGATTAGACATCTCCATCCATAATATACCCCTACATCCCCTTTGCTTTAGAATTCATGGAAACAAGTTTACCCAGAAAGTTACTTGCCTCCGACTTTTCACTCTTGGCAAAGTGTTGAACAATTTTCCCAAGAAACCTCTTAGCGCTTTCACTTTATCGGTCACAAAGCCCCGAAACGCTTTTGGAATAAAGCGCTGGTTGAGGTTATCCGCAGTAGAAACAGGATGCTCCAACCACAATGCAAGATCCAAATCCATAGAATGGAGAACAATTTCACAAATTTTTTTTCCAAATATTAATAGCGTTTGTCTCATTTAAATATTACTAATTTGAGCTTGGAAAAGATAGCAATAGACTCTATAAAGAGATCGGAGGAGGGGTCACTCATGTCAAGTAAAATTGATGATGATATCAAATTTTGTTTTCTCACTCGTCTAATTTGTGATTAGATGATTATCAGATAAAGTGGAGAATATAAAATGCGTCTCATTAATCCAAAATTTGTATTTCTCGACTTCGTTTAAACAATTACACAAACCAAAAAAAAAAAGTAAGTAAAAACTCGATCTCTAAAGAGGGAGAGAGACCTCCCTCCAACAAAAATTCTGGAGAGAGACACTCAATTACCGCCGGCGGCCTGCGCAATCAGCCGGAAATTGAATCGGAAATGACGACGATCCCAATTCATCCCGATCTCGTCTCCTTCCTCCAATCCCCTCCTCCGAACAAACTCCGACCACCAATCCCCCGCGAAACCGATGACCCAGTGCATCCCCGACCCGAACCACAGCCGCCTCCGCACCAGCTCCGCCTCGTGCTCACTCTCCGTGTCGACGTCCCAAATTCGCACCCTCACCGGCCTCCCATCGTTGACCAGCCTCGCCAGATCCTCCTTGGTCAACAGCCCGGCGACGTACCTCCCTGCATTCGCGTGAAGCGCCAGCATCGGGTTCGGGTCCTCTGCTTCGATCATCTTGACCCTCTGCCTAATCGTCCATGGATCCTCGTAAAGCTGCAGTTTTGTGCTAACCCCTTTCTCCCTCTCTTCTTCATCGTCTTCCCGGGTATAATTTCTCATCCGGGTCAGCTTCCTCCACGTCTCGCTCTCGCTCTGTTTTGCCGGTGCGAGCCGGGTCCTTCCCGGGTCCGGGTGACCCGCCCGCCGCGATTCGTCGGAGAAGGTCAGCCCGGTGGGAAATTTTTCCTTCTCCTCGTCGTCGTCGTCGTCGTCGACGTCAATGATCAATGGTACAGGGGCAACGGCTGCCTGTTTCGGCTCGGGCTCTTCGGACCTCCTCGCCCGTTTGCGGGGCTCCGAGTCCTCTGATTCGGGGCCCGAATCTTCGCTCACGGAAACAGGGGACTCTGGCTGTGGCGGTTGTGAAATTTCCAGCTTACTGGGCTTTCCGGTAATCATCCTGGGCCGCTTTCTGGAATCCAAATTGGCAGCCGAGGAGCCGCCGCCGGCGGCGGCGGCGGCGATCAGCTGCCTCAATGTGGTCGTTCCTCCACCCAAATTGGGCACAAGGGGAACCAGCCTCCATCGGTGGAGTCGGCGGCCGTCGCTGCCGATCTGCTGGGAGAAATCGGGGACCAGACATGGGAGGACGAAGCGGCATTGAGCTGGGATTTCCCCTCCGCCGGCGGGGGCAGCTGGAACGAGCTGATCAACAGGGATCGTCATCGTAATGCTACAACTAGTCAACTACTGCTATCTACAGCTTGAACAATTGAATTTGTTCAATGGATAAAAACTAATCTACTGTGGAGAATCTGTTTGGAGAGTCAAAGTTAATTTATATGTCGGGAAGAGTCCGAGTCCGGTGAAGATCGGGAACTCGACGTTAACGGAAAAAAGTAGCCGGTTTTCTAATGAATATGGACTCGTTTTTAAAGAGGAAGTCTTTTCTTACCCAAACAGGGATGAAAGAACAGTATAAAATTAAATGACGCGGTAATTCAGAAAAGGAAAGTGAACAAAGTTTGAATTTTTGTACAGATACACACAAGAAAAGCAGAATAAGTTTAAACCCTACGTCATTCTCGTTAATTATGAAGTATTATTAAATCTTTTATACGTAATTTCAACACTAACAAAATACGTATTTTTTGTGCAAAATACGAATTAAATACGGAAATTAAAATGTATTAAATTCTAAGTTTTCATGTTTAATACGGATTAAATACAGAAGGAAAGTCATATTAATGTTCCATGGGAAGATTCATGTTTGCAAAATTCGTGTCGGAAGCTACCGCCGGGAGAGAAATTATCATGTCGAGGAGGAATCGCGAGCTGAGGAAGAAGCAGCAGCCTATCGGTCGGCCGGACGGCCGGCGCGGGGATGGTGAGAGGCATTAGGGGTGGGTGTGAGTAGTGGGACGAAGCATCGCCGCCGGCGAGGAATGCTGTAGCCGGAGAGACGTCGGAAGTAACGATCCGAATTAGGGGAAAGACCGAAAGAGCTTTTCTTTATATAGAGCGAGGTAAAAAAATATCTATCTATCTATTCTAGGTTTTTCCAAAAACTACATTTACTATTTCAAAATTCCATCCCTCCTAGGCATCCACGTAACACCCTTCCGACCAATAAGATTTTTTCTTAATTTCTTTTTTTTCTTTTAAATTTTTCTATACCCCAATTAGAATGTGCCACTTAACTCTATCTCTCTTCTTTTTCAATCTCCCCTATTATTCTTAATTGATCCATATTTATTTCATTTCAACTCCGAATTTAAATATTATTGCGCGAAAAAATCAGATTTTATGTGATCTACACAAAGATACCCATTTTGATATATGTTTTTTTTTGTTAAACATAACCACAATCATATATTTACAAGGCATGTTCCTATTCGATAGTTGCGAAACTATATCAATATCATTCTATTGAACCGTCATAGAGTATATACTAACATAAATCGAAGAACAAATTTCTTATTCTACTGAGTTACTAAATTATATCAATGTTTAATTTTGTAATATCATAATAATAATACACAATAATTTCATGGGTGCTAAAATATTGTCGTGCGGTACAAACTAATTTACCTTAAAAAAATCATTTAGCGGCCAACTGGTCGCACTCAAGGTATACACGATTCGGAATGAGAGAGGACATGACAGACTGAACAAAATAGACACTTTAAAAGGAAAAAAATACAAAAGTACATATTTCAAACAAAATTTATCCGGCCAACGGACAGGGTACCAAACTAGTCGGAAATATAACGGGAAAGGGCAATTGTGGAAATCAAAGGAATATAGCGGGTCGGGCGACCCGCACCCGCACCGGAAGTCTTGTGGGCTTAGAGAGAGGAGAAACTCGTAAAAAAAGAAATAAAATAGAGAGGCTCAGATTAGCACGAATAGCATCACCCGCCGGCCGTCGCTGCTGCTGCTGCTGCTTTTTTCTACTTTCACAAAGGCCGGCGAAGTAAGTCTCCCTCTCGCTATCTCTCTCTGGGTATGAATTGATAGAGGACGAGAAATTTCTAGTGCTGTGGATCTCTCTGTTAATCGTTTAGGTGAATGAGTTTTCCAGATTTGATCCGCCGGCAACATTCAGGCTAGGATTGATTTTAGGGTTTTTTTTATTGGAGAATTGAAAGCTTCAACCAAGTTTAGGAATTTAGACTCCGACGGACGGAGGAGTTTCAGATGCAGTGAATGAAATTGAATTCTTTGTCTGAATGCTTGTTATCATTGTGCTAGTTTGGCAGATGAATTCATGTGGTTGGTGTTAGTTCCAATTGTTCTTTTTTCTTCTTCTTGTATAGTGGTTTACTAGACATGCTGATGTGAAATGAACATATTGATATCTGAGGTGTGTCTCTTGATTTGGGTACTTTTTCTTTGTCATTGAGGATATTAAGGATGCCAAATACCTATTTCAAGCTCATTTTACTTTTGGCAATATGTTTGGATTCAGTTAAGTCAGTGAACTGATGCCAAGTACCTATTTCAGTATTCAAATTGGTGCAACACATGGTTGCTTGTGAGAACTTTATAAACTGTGTTTCAATTGGGAGTGGCAACATGGTTAGAGGGGATCTTGTCTTCTCATTTTGAATAGTCAATGGAGTGATTAGTTCCTGGAAATTGTTAATGACCATGACATTTGTAGTTATTGGGTGCAGAACAATCAGAAAATGGTTAGAAATCCGTGTTAGTAGGTTAGACCGGAGAAATATGGACTGGGATACATTCTCTTCAAACTTTTTCTACTCCGCCATTATCACGTAAAACGAAAATTCACCATGTTATTGCTCCTACCTTTGAGCAAAGTCTGTGTGTTCCTTCATCTGATTCATTTTTCAATCAATGATGCATGATTTTTTTTGACTGAAAACGTTCCTTTGCAGGTTCTTTCCAGTCTCTTATTAGTTTGATTAGCCTATTCAAGTCTAGATATCAGCATCAGCAAAAACAAGCTTGAAAGATGCTGCGAACAGAAGTACTAACTGCATACAAGTCTCTGCTGAGAGCTACTCGTAAATCATTTGCTGGTGACCAGTTGATGTTGAATGGCTCAGCTATGGAGATCAGGAAGAAATTTGATGAGAATCGTCAGGTTACATCCGAGGCTGAGATAAAAAAGCTCCTTGAAGAGGCAAATGAAGCATCCCAGTTTATATCAACGATGATTGTTCAAGCTAAGTTGAACGAACGAGGTGGCTATGGTATGCCTTTCCTCTTCATCTACTATATTTATACACTGTTCTTGGACCTATTCCTTTGATCATCCATACTTTTTGTTGCTTCGGAAGGTGTTTCCATCATTCATAAGCTAGCCTCCATTAAGGAGGCACTGAAACACCTTTATCTAAGTTGTTCTTGGAGAAATCGGTGGCATGACGGTAGTATCTAGAATTGACATGGTCTGTTAGCCTAGAAACCGTAACAGAAAGGACCCGCAGAAAGATCAGTGGGGATAACCACTGCTCTGTGTGTGTGGCAGCAAATGAATTGTGCTAGAGGGAAACATGACCACATCCTTCTGCCTGCACAGAAGGCGTGGGGGCCTTTGGATTGCTGAACGCACACCCCAGAGCCATCAATCAAGAAAGTGACACTGACTAGATCCAATTGCTCTGGGGCTGTGAACCCACTGATTCCAACAGCCTGCAAGCCTCGTGCCCGGCAAGAAAGATGGGGGCATAAGTTGGCAGAGACCCTCTTCATGAGTCATAAAAAGGGGGTACTTTTGGTTAAATTTCCGTTCAAGAAGATTGGAAGCTTTTCTTCAATCTGGTTATGAAAATGTTTCCTTTTTGTATCAAATTGTCTGATAAGAGGTTCGCTGGGACTAAGACATTTTGTGAAAACAATATATGCAGAGGTGAAGCCCAGCAAGGAACATGCTGATGCAACACTCGAGGTTCCAACCGAGGAGCTTCTTGGCAAGCCCAGTTGATGGTTGCATTGATTCCTACCTCCAGGTTTGAGTTGGGCAGTTACGTCCAAGTTTTGCTAGGGATCTATAGAAACAAGCTGATGATGATTGTTATCTACCTCTTCTGCTGTTGTCTGTGCTAATCTCTACTCGATCCTCGAGATACATGATTTGCTTGTAAGAATCACGATAACAAGAGGTTGTTGCCAAATTGACAAAGCCATGGTAATCAAACCAAGCTTTATTTTAGTTTATTTTTCATCCTTTTTGTCGATGAATAGAGCTCTAATTTTGCTTATCAATAAGATAACTAGTGTAAGATTTCAGCACTCACTCCTTTTACTGGCTTCTGTGAATCAGCTCTTTTGATCTATAACCAAACTCCACAAATGTGTTAAAATTAGGTCATGAATATGCAGAATTTAGACAAGTGAAACTCTTTGAACAATGTTTCAATGGCTTTTCTGAAGATTGGCGTGCCTTTGCATTCAAGAAACCCCATTTTACCATGACGGCACCAACGCATTTTTTTAAGTAACATAAGAAATTAGGACAATATGATAGTATCCGCCCTGCCGGAAAATTGCGACACGAAAACAAAAAATCTAGCATTTTGCATACAGTTGGACATCAAAGTTCAAATAACCTAATCAAGCTTCGAGTAACGATGTTACAGAGAGGACTTGTTTGAACGTTTTGATTTGTGAGATGTGATTCTATTGGGAAACAAAGCTAAAAAAGAGCATCTCAAGTTAGCAGCCCAGCCCTTTGTTTCCATTCCCTACGATCAGATCAGAAATTTACTTCTTCACAGACATGCAATCCTGTCTCAGCGACTCTCGTCCATTGGTTCATTCCGAGACTCGGATCTCAAATCCTTTTCCTCTGGTCTTGAATCCTCAGCTTTTGTTACTGAATCTTCAAGAGCTTCCAGAAAAGAAGATACTGTGAATCTATCTGCAGCGTTTCAAAAGGGAAGACGTATCAGTTAAATGTAACAAATTGTCAGCAAATAGAGTTCACTGATGCATCACATTTACGTAAACGCAATTTCGAATACAGATTCCAACAGCAGCAATATCCATGTCAGAGCCACAGGCATTTTCGATACTATCAGTAAGGCGCCTGTTGGTGGCTCTAGCTTATCAATTAGCTATCTTCTAAATTGAGTAAGCCCCCAAAGCTTATAACTTCAAGCTAAACTGATGTGAAATGCTTCTAAATTCAGTTTTTCCCATTTCCCTTCTATAAAATGAACATTTCCTGACTCTATTTTAGACATTTACAAAACTTAGTAAATCTCGTTCACTCCAGAGGCTGCAAACAAATACCAGCCGCTGGTGAACAGCAGTATCATTCTTCCTTCACAACAGCCCATTCATAATTCTGACATTGTTACGCGACACAGAATCTTGGGCCATCACTCTTCTACGAAAACAGGTCTAAGCAACTGTTGAAATACTTTTGACTTTGAAGGCTCGGAAAATACCAAACTGAATGTAACATATTTGTCTTTACATCATCTTGGATATGGACCCAGGAATTGGACTGGAATTTTTCATGGGATTCAACAACCAATACACATCATTACGAAAACAACAGGACATGAAAGATTGAAAGTCATCAAATCATGAAAGAAGTGCAGAATGAACATTGGTTCTGTGATTCTATTACTTACATTTACTGGGATCAACACCAAACTGTGATAAGTCAATCTGCCCAGTCTTCAACACCTTCAAAGAGAGAAGGAATAAAGAAAAAACTAGAAATGTCAGTTGCCGTCCAATAAAACAGAAGAAAGAACTGACTAGGTAGGCCTGGAGTTTTACATAGGTAAAAGAATCTACTTGCTGACGGAAAGGTGCGCTCTGCAACAACTCTAGAATATCCTCTGGAGTCCATGGACCCTGTGATTGAGTAAAACTATCTCAAAACAGCCCTTCAGAAAGGAGGTAGGTCAAACAAAACCCAAATTTCGTACCTCTGGTAGGTAAGATACCAATCTTTCTTCGACTGGCAATGTATCCATCAATGGCATCAGTACATCAGGCCTAAAGATATCCCCCAACCCAAAACCTAACAACACAAAGGCAGATGATAAGAATCGAATGTACATTAATTACTGGCTGAGGGAGCTAGGTTTACTATTGTCACGCTTCCACAACTCTCAGGAGGAAATTACTGATTATACTTTCAGGAGAACTAGTAGCAAGTAGGTAACCAAACAGGCTAATGTATGCCAAACATGTCAAATATGCATGACATCAAAAGCCACATGCTAAACCATAGGAGGGAAGGAAAAGTCATATTCTAATTACTTTCAGTTTCATCTACATCTAAAGCAGGAAGAATAGTTTTGAACCATCATATCCCGAGACCCGAGTACCAAGGTCCAGTTGTTGGTTAATTCATCATTATTTAAAAAAAAAAAAGCGACTAAGGTGAATAAATCGGCAGAACCAGCGTGATGTGGGATTATAGACGAAATAGAAGCCTGTTTGTGAAGGGAAGATTAGAGAACATAAATTTGATTCACTGAAACCTGTACCACATCAGAAATCACAATCACTAATGCACTATATGCCTGGGTATGCAAAAATTACCTCCATCTGGATCTCCAGCACTCTCTGCCAGTTTTGAGAATACATATGTCAGAGGTGAACATGGACCAATCAAGAGAATTGATCAAAGTGAATCAGAAAAATAAATACCTCCAGGCTCGATATTGCTCAATATTCGTTGTAGATCTTCCAATCTTACTGGTCCCGATGAAGAGGTAACATCACTCATTGATCCTGAACCTAGGTTTGGAAGCACCAGGTTTCCAGCTCTGGAAGTTGCATAAAAATAGCAAAATAAGATCAAAGCATCCAATGAAGTCATGAATATTTTTCCAGGGTCATTGCCACTCCCAACTAATCCCACGAATCATGAAGATCAGGCATAAACATAGGGATACCCTTTCTTCTTTTTTTGTTACTTAAAGATAGGAACTTGAAGGATGGTAAAGATCAGAAACCTTGAGGTTAACTTCTCGGTAGAGAAAAGTATCTGAATCCAGTTAATAAAAGGACAATTCTGCTGGGAGTTCCCAATCAGAAGCATAATCAACATAGCTGGTTATATTGTACAACAAGGCATGATCCGTTCTTCCTTTGCAAAAGCCTTCCAGAGGTTAGGACTGATTCCTATCTCTAAAAATGCATAGACGACGCACAAATACATCTAACTTCTCTCTTCTTTTTTTTTTTTTTTTTTGTGTGCGTGTCAAAACAGAAGTACTGAGGGCTGATAAAAAAACATACCGTGACGAAATTTCATCTTCAACCATGTCTTCAGACATTTGAAGAGCAGTAGAATCTGGCTCTTCTTCTAGAATTTCTGGCATATAGCAATACATAAGAGAATCATCATTGATAACTCCACTGAAGGTGGAGCGGAAGCTCCTTCATACATGTTTTCCAAGGGGATGAAAATCAGAAAAGCAGTGAACAAAGCTATGAATAGATAAAATATTCCCATCTTTAACCTTCAAGTAAAAAACAATTGTGAGGGAGATAAAGATGATAAACCAGCAAAATCGCACCAAAACATCGTCAATTCCATAATAAAATAGTAGAAAGAAAGTCAATAACATTTCATTTTTCCAAGAGATGCTTTGGTAGGCTCCAAATAATAAGCACTTAATGTGCATTCAAAGGATATGATAATGTCAAACGTCAAGTACCTAAAGGTCTATTGATGTGATAGTTGACAGACGTACATAGCTCTTCATCTCCTTCCGCATTAGGTTCCTGTAAAGCAGAGCATTAAAAACAACCTAGTAAGGTCACGGACTAAGCAGACACTTATGAATATGAGGGAAGGGAGAAAAAAAGAATACAACAAACAAATCAGACCTGCATCCAAAAGAAAAATTTCCGGTCATCTGTATTGAACTTTAAGATGTACACCCTTCCTGATGCTTGACCGACCTAAAACAAAAAGTACGACACCTCAATGAGCTCATAATATATTAAGGAACAGTCATGAACAAGAAAGATAGAACGGATCATACCTTCTCAAAAACTGCCTCATCGGGAAAAATTATCTGATCCTATTAAAACATGTGTCAAGGAAAAACAGAATTGCAGTACTTTGACAAGAGCAAGGAACAGTTTTTTTTTTTAATAAACATTCATTTCATTCATACCCAATAAGACGAGGCTTACAACATAGGGGAGACAATATTCAGCACAGTAATCCAATCCGGAGGAAGAAGATTAAGGCGAGCATTTCTAGCTACCCAATCTGCTTTCTTGTTACATTCTCGGTTAACAAAGGACACATGGATCCAGTCAGAAGAATGAAGGATACAAGCCACAGACGAGAGCAGTTATAAGACCACTAGTTCATCTGCAGCTCAGAGCCAAATGGGACCACAGAGAATTGAAACATGGGGCATCCCCGTCGACATTCTCAAAATTCCATCCAGAACATAGCTCCAAATCCTTTACCAAAACAAGAATTCAAGAACAGCAATGCAACTATAGTTATTTCTGACCTACATAAAAGATGAAACTTGAAGGAGGCACACATATCAGAAGACGAAAAGAGAAAAATGCAATATATATTAGTTTTAGCTTCTGGTTTGAAGTACGAAAACTGTTCCGTAATACGTTTAACAGAACAGAGCACATACACAGCAAAAGAAAGAGGGATATGAAACAGGCTGTCTAATCCAGCCAAATGCTGCAGTAAACAATGTTTGACATCAAAATGAAAGGAAATAAAATTTAAAAGGAATTCCCGTTTTTGGGGTGAAACTGAAATTATTTTATTGCAAAGCAATTAACATATTCACAGATGGAATTCCCATTTCTGATTGGAATAAAAAGCATCATATTTTGCATTGGGGTGAAGATAAATGAAAGTTAACAAGCAACCCAAAAATAAACATTTCAATTATAATAGCAAACCTATTACTTAAACTGCTCCCTTCGCATAGGATACCAAACTAGATCTTTCCATTACCAAATTGTCAAACCTCTGATAACCAAACATAACAAGAAAGAGCGCACATTGACATAGGGAAATACAAGCATTGTTCCTAACATCGAATTGAAGGGTACAATAACAACGTAGGTAGTGGGCATACAGAAAGCGTACAACAATGAGAATGCAGACAAATGATATTAAAGCCAGGATACATCTTCAACAACATTAAGGGTACGATCAAGCCACTGAAAATGGATTAATCCCTCTTCTCCCTGATAATCACAAAAAAGAAACAGATTAACACAAGCTTCGTCAGCATTGGACTCCATGATCATTCTTCAATAACGACTTAAGCTTAATGTAAGATAAACCCATGTCAAGAGTTCCCATTCACTTCATAAGAAGACACCAACTCGAGCATATGGCTAAAAATGAGCAATGACTTGACTATCGCATGATAACACAACAGAAGAAAATGTAAAAAAGATAATAGCAGTGTACCCTGTCTATGCGAACCAGCCCTTTCCGTGTATCAGGGACAACCTTCTTGCCCTCCAAATGCATTTTACCAGCCCGAAATTCCAGCATCGTATCTGCTAGCTAACAACCCTTTGAGAGATAATAAGATAACACCAAGCAAGAAACGCATTAGGAGCACAGCAGAAGTTGTACTACGAACATACCTAACCAGCTAAAATATATAAGAAGCGAATGCAGAGGTTGTACAGATGTAAAATGGGCTATAGTTCTAGGCGACGAGCATTTTTTAAACCAAAAAAAGAATCGCAAAGGTACGAAGACAGCGTTCAGATAGAAAGAAACACCCGTCTCCAAGTGCTCAAAAATTGCGAAAGTCTAAAGCTGATTATATTGATCGCCTGATAATTACCTGAGGAAGAAACAGAAGTCGGCTTCAATCAATCAAGATATATCAATTTGAGCCTTCGCCACCCGTAATGAGAAAACAACCGCCGCCGCTTGCCGCAGTCAGCTTCTGCTATTGCTTGTGGGCCGCTAGAAGTCGCGCGGAGTCAAATATGGAGAGACACCAGAGAACTGCAGGATTATCTGGTAACGTGGGGATGAATTATCAATTCCCAAAACCCTAACTCGATGGAGCAGAAAAATAGAAGGAAGCACGGAGGGAGGGAGGGAAAGGAAGAAGACGAGAAACTAGTGCGACTTTTGGCTTCTTTTTCCTACCATTTTATTTTTGTTGCTCTATTTTTCTTAAAAAAAATTCAATCGTAATAGATAGGGTATTATAATGCAGTGGATATAAAAGAGCGATAGTCGACCAAATGGGTAGCTATCGATGCAAGGGTGGTTTGTGCCACGCGATGGGCAGTCTTGTTAGTTCTATGAGGCAAAAATACAAAAATAATAAAAGCAAAAGAAGTCTTCATAGACCATGGATTTTACTATGTTTTAAAGCATTAGTACTATAATTTTTTTTATTAACGGTACAATTTGAATTTGTACTTTTTATATTGTGGTACAATTTGAAGTTGTACAAGAATTAAAAGGATACAAAGGGAAGAAGGCGAGAAACAGAAAACCCTACACGTACGCCAGACGAACTCCTTACTCATGTCCTGCTCGATTGCTCCACGACAGTCGACCCTCATCTCGCTCGTCTCCTTCGTACTTGCCTTTTGGGGACTGACCAGGACGGATTGTCATCCCTATATGATATCAATAGTCAATATTCCCAAAAATAATTCTTTTGAGATGCCATAAAATTCCTTTATTTTCAGTAAACATAAATCAGTAGATTAAAAAAAATCATAAACAATATAAACATAAAGGAAACACATTAAAAAACTAATGGAAAATCAAATGCATAAACTAAACTGAAAGTAAAAAAAAAAAATTACAAATAACAAGAAACCAAAAATGTTTGTAGGCAAATACAGTGAAAACGCAACATCAAGAGCATAAATAAAAAAGGTTCTAGATAGTTTCCCCTAGCATTTTCTAGCTTATGAAATCATAAATAAACCAAGTTTTGATTCTCGTCCCATTCTATTATCAGAGTTACCCTCAGTTTGTCTTATGCAACAAACTAAATGGATTATGTCATTATATATGTATGTAGTTTCTCGTCTACCATTAATATATATATAAACCTGAAATTTGATTACTCTTCCCAAACAAATTACATATTATTCACTTCCTAACAAATTAAGAATTATAAACCTGAAATTTGGTTACTCTTCCCAAACAAATTACATATTATTCACTTCCTAACAAATTAAGAATTAGTTATTATAATGTAAATTTTACATTTTGATACCCCAAATTTAATTTTAATGTAAAACGATTGAACAATTATGTTTTGGTATCTAAATTTTATGAGATTTTCGTACTTATAATTTTTTTAAATTTACATATTGGTCCAATATTTAGATTTCACTTGAATCGATGAATCCAATCCACTAGTCCTTTTGAACCAATCTATGAATCCAATCCACCATAACATAAAAGTATAAATTAGTTTGTACCATACAATATATTTTATCACTCAACTGCAGGAGAAGATTCGACCATTTTATATTTTCTCATTATGTGAAACATTAAATAAATAATAAAAGCGAGACGACTCTAAAATATTGCACTAGCAAATTTATAAATTCATTTAGTACATTTGCGGGGTACTAAACAAACGTCTACTAACTACATATGACAGAATATGCGACATCTACATAAGTAAGTGTCAATCAATTGCTACGGTGAAAAAGATTGATTGTTGTATTGACGACCAACTAAAAGAATTGGTCAAAATCTTTCCATCATCTACTTCCTCTTCGTTTCATTTTTCACTTGCCTTCGATAACCCTTTCTTTATTTCTTTCTTTGCCATCTTCGTCTAACCCTAATTAGTTTACTATTTTTATGTATTCTAATCATAAGTATGAACGGGTCAATACACGACCGGCCAACAGTCTAGAGAATTAACAATTGAACCAGACTAATTTTTTCAGCTCAATGTCGAGTCTAATTAAAAATAAATATATATATGGTTATTACTTATTAGAAAGTCGTCATTGTCGACTATGGGATTTGAAGGCGTGAATGTAATGAATATAAATAAATAAACCTATACTATTCCATATCAAAGTTAAAAAAAAATGGTGCATTTGGTCAATTTGCTAAATCCAATTATACATAAAAGAAAATGGCTAGTAATGATTTAAAACACTTGAAAAAGTTGGTATCATAGATAGCTTGCAAAGTTCCTATAATATATACATTTCTTGCAATAGTGATTTAAAACACTTCTTGTCATACTCGCTCATATTCGAATTCGTCAATCCGATCTCTCCTCAATCAATCTTGACTATTGAACCCAAAATCAGAGAAATGAGGAAGACCCCCCAAGCCTAGAACCCTATAACCCATATAAACGAACAGTCAAAACCACCATCGTCTCCTCCACATCAATTTTATTGAGGGCCTAGCGAAAGGAGGATTGAATCATTTCAAAGCGGTGGGGCAGAGAGAGAAGAAGAAATGGAAGCAGGAGCCACCACCCTCTCGAATAATCCCCGTGTTGTTGATCGATTTCCAGATCGATGTCGCAAATTGATGACCCGAAAATCCCACCGGTTCTTGTCAAAATCCGGTAGCATGAGGGATTATGTTACAATCCCTCATCGAAATCCGTAATCCAAGCAGGCCTAACATGGAAAATTATAGGTGGGTTTTTTGAATCAGTAGTTCTTTTGTTGAAATATGAATTTTCACCAAAATCCCAGGCCCTGCGATCTGTTGCTTGCTTGACACACCTCTGCTTAACCTAGCTAGGTATGTCCCATAGTTATCACTTACCTTACTCAACTCGGTTCGGGATAATACTCAACCCGGTTCAAGTACTCCTCCAACCAGTTCGGTCATTCCTTGATCATCAAGCGATCCTTTAATTGCTCTTCTTTCTGCGACTTTAATGTCACCTTTTACAACTAATTGAACATTGATCCAGGTGGATAAGAAGAAATATTTGTATAATCTTCTTTCTTTCTTCTTCTTTGAATTGGTGTTAAATTATTCTCAAGCCACTTGATATATACACAGAGCCTAGCTTTTTAATGCATACTGTCGGGTCGGCAGGTATCGTATCTTCCTCCATACACGTCGTTAATTCCTACACACAAGAGGAAATTAAAACAGGAAGAAGAAGAGAGAAACGATAATCCGCAATCAAAAAGGACTAGACAGGGAGGAACAATTCTCAACAAAGATGAAAGAAAAGCTTATTCTGGAGAATGTGATATTCTCGCCACTCACTTTTTTGGTGGTCTTCGTCGTTATGGGAATTTGGTATGATCACTTTATATATAGTTTTATCAGCTCCATTTCTTGGTCACGAATGATTCATCAAATTGAGTTTGTATGATCACTTTATACGATGGGAATTTGGTATGCATTATTTATCTAGTATTGGTATGTACTTTTGGTAATTATTGGCATGTATAGTATTCTATTGTTACTTGTATGAATCAAATTTCTGGTATGCATTCAAATTTTTTATACCATATGTATTTATACTAGGGCCGTAAGGGTGACCCCTATATACTCACCGATCTGATTCGGTTTGGAGTGAGAGTCGAGTTGATTTAGTTTGTCCATAGGGAAGTTTAGAATCGGATCATCTTTTGTCCTGGTAAGGATTGAGTAGAGTCGGGTCAAATTAGGGCAGGGTGGCTTTTCTGCCTTATCAACCATAGCAACAACTAGTGATTTAAAATTGGGAGAGGATAGGGTGCGAATAGATTGGACCTATTTGTAAAGGTTTAAAATTTCAGATAATATAATGCAAGACAAAATAAAAAGATACTAAAACGTAATAGTACCACTAAAATTTATGGACCTTATTTGTTGAAAAAACAATATTTTAGATACTAAATTGTGAGAAAATATAAATTTGGGTACCAATATGTGATTTTCAAAAAATCAGTTTGTTGATTGATTTGAACCGATCCGCTGATTCGGTCTGACCCTGTCCTACCTGAGCGGGTCAGACAAGGTCAATAGGAAATACATGTGGGACATATAAGTTTTATAAATTGATCCTGCAAGTGCAGATCGAACGAGATTTTTACAGGGTCATGAATGGATCTGGCCGAGATTCAACCCTAATTTCCGCAGTAGTAGTACGCATTTGAACGTTTCTAGCATGCATTAGGCAATTTTTTATATCAATTCGGTGATTTCTATTTTCTGGTATGCACTTAATATATTATACAGTGCTATGTATTTATTTATCCACAGTGGTATGCATGGGCGGAGTCAGGATTTGAGCCTCGGGGGGTCGGAGTACTTTAGTGTACTATTACAAAAAAGAGAAAAAAATAAGATAATATAAAAAAAAATTCAAATTTTATTATTATGACAAGATTGGGTGAGATAATTAAAATCGCTCTAAGGTATAATTATTACTATAATATATTATAAACAAATGAAAAACTAGAGAAAAAAATTAATCATGCATTTCAATATATATATATATATATATATATATATATATAAAATGTTTTTCACTATTTTCAAAAATAGAAAACAAAATTTCATCACATTATTGTTTGAATAAATAAATAATTATATAAATAAAATAACCCTAAGGAAAAAAAACATATAAAAATCGATACTTCTGAGGTTTGAACCCGCGTTGGGAAAGCAATAGTAAGGCTATTCAAACAGTTAAATTGCAAGTTTGGTCACTAGAATTACATAAAAAATTCACGTTTGCCACTAGAATTAATTTATTCCATCCGTAGTCACTTAAATTAGCTTAACAGTCTAAGTTTAGTCACTGATCGTTAGTCTCCGTTAACTTTTGCTGATGTGACGGTCAACTCTTATAGTTGATCGTTAAATAAGTGACGTGTCAATTAAAAAAATAAAAATAATTATTTTTTATTTTCCACCTAATTGTTATAAAAATTAAAAAAAACCATTGAAATTGCCGGTTTTAGTCGATTTTCCACAATGGAGAACAGAACAAAACCACCATGAACGAAACTAAAATTAGAATGTAAGAAGAATGATGAACAGGGGAAACTTAGAAACCCATAAGTAGAGCCCAATTTCAATCATCTCCAGTAGGGAACAGAAATGCTGCTGGTGATGGTGATGGTGATGCTGAAGGGCGCTGACGCTGGATGTCGGTAAAGGAGGCGGCGGCGGCGGCGTCGGGACTGGCTGATTCTGATGGAGAGAATTGCTGGCCACTGCCATTTCAATGGTTTTTTTAAACTTTATAATAATTAGGTGGAAATAAAAATAATTTATTTTTTATTTTTTTAATTGCCATGTCATTCATTTAACGGTCAACTATAAGAGTTGACCGCCACATCAGTAAAAGTTAACGGAGACTAACGGCCAGTGACCAAACTTGGATTGTTAACCTAATTTAAGTGAGACTACGGATGGAATAAATTAATTTTAGTGGCAAACGTGAACTTTTGATGTAATTCTAGTGACCAAACTTGCAGTTTAGCCTTATTCAAACATTGAACCATCAACGATGAATATGAATTAATATTGCGTCTAGACGTATATATATAACTATCCTTGAATTTGTACGTAATTTACCCAAGTCCTACGAAATTTTGTACGTAACTCCAAAATTCTCGGGGTGTCGGGCCCCGTTAGGGCTAGGGATGACAATAGGTTGGGTTGGGGTGGGTTTTGTCAAACCCAAATCCATGGGTTTATCTGCCAAAAAAAACCGGGGTAAAACTCGCTGGGTATCCGCGGGTTCATGGGTACCCGTGGATTTTTGTGGTAAAATTTTTAACAATAACAAGTTTCTTTTAAAATAAAAGTTTAATATCAATTGTCTCATACAAATTATTCATATAAAAAAAAAACAATCTAGAGCATACAAGCAAACCGGAAATGATCAATACAAATTGTTCAAAATTAAAGATAAACATCTATAAACAACATGATTAATTGAAAGCTTCTTCCTCCTTGTCAACTACGCTTATTCACTCTCAACTCTATAATATCAACTTCATTCTAAACAATTAGAAAAAACAAATTATGCATGCGCTCCACAAACATAAAGAATATTAGTTGTTTAAGGAAGATATATTGCTTAGAATATTTAAGGGTAAATTGCAAAGTTGGTCACTGAGATTACTAAAAACGTTCATATTTGATCACTAAAAATATTTAATTTCATTCGTGGTCACTAAAAATAAACGACGGATCGAACCTCTTAACTTGTTCTCCTCCGCACTCAGCCGCTTAAGCGACGAGCAGTTGGCATCACCGATGGAAGAGTGTCGTATAACTAATTCGAGTCCAGCCATTGTAGCTTCCCAAAACTTGGTGGCGAGAAGTCATTAAACGACATATTCACTAGCTGCAGCTCCAAATCGGCTGAAAGTTGGACGGAATCTCCCCTGAAAATGGAATGAAATATTTTTAGTGACCAAATATGAACGTTTTTAACAATCCGAGTGACCAATCTTGTAATTTACCCGAATATTTAATATACCGGGTTAGTAATTATATGTGTGTGGGCGAGTTTACCTAAACTCAAATCCAACCCAACCCGGTGAACAGTGTAGCGGTTTAAACCTGAACCCGGCCCAAAACCCGTCAACGCGGGTTGGGTCGGGTGGGTACCCATGGGTTCGGATTTTGTTGTCATCCCTACTTAGGGCCTACCTAGCTCCACCCCTGGTGGTATACATAGGGATGTCAATGGGACGTGTTGGGGCGGGTTTTGCCAAACCCATAGGTTTATCCGCCAAAAAATTCGGGGTAAAATCCGCTGGGTTTGAAAAACTCAAACCCAACTCAACCTGCTGGGTTTTCGCGGGTTCATGGGTACCAATGGATTTTTTTTTTTGTACAAAATTTACAATAACAAGTCTCTTTCAAAATAAAAGCCTAACGTAAGTTTTCTCATAAAAATTATCCATAAAAAAACACCAATCTAGAGCATACAAGCAAACCTTAAATTATCAATACAAATTATTCAAAATTAAAGATAAACATCTATAAACAACATGATTAATTGAAAGCTCCTTTCTCATTGTCAACTAAGCGTCTTCACTCTCCATTCCATAATATCAACTTCATTGTACATAATTAAAAAGAACAAATTAGACATGTCTCCACAAACATAAAGAAGATTAGTTGTTTAAGGAAGATATATTGTTTAGAATATTAAATAACCCGAAAAAATTAATTATATGAGTGTTGGCGGGTACCCATGGGGCGGGTTTACCTAAACCCAAACCAACCCATACCAAAATCCGTCAACACGAGTTTTACCCGCGTTGACTGGATTGGGTTAGGTAGGGACGTAGGGTACCCATGGGTTCGGGTTTTGTTACTATCCTTAGGTATACACTATACATTTACAAATTTCCATTTCCTAGGTAATTGTATCCAAATTGTAAGTTAGCTTAGGCACGCAAGACTCTTTCATCGGGAGTTCGACTATTGGTCGACTTTCGCGCTCTTCTTTCTTCATTTGTATGACCGTCTATTTAACCCTCTGACTTTGAAAAACAAAAAAAATTAGCTTGGGCGTTTGGATCGACGGTATAGGTCCACCAGGCTAAAATCATATCAAAAGTATTCTAATTGGAGCTGGATTATGTTCGATTCACAAGGCTCTAGTGGGCTTAACTTAAACGTAGGCCAACATAAGAGCAAAATATAGGTGGGCTGAGTCATAAACCTAATTGAAGAGGAAATAATGGTGGGTTGGGTCAATTGGTGGTCGTGTTTTAGGCTTTTAGCCATAATTGTGAGAAGAATTTTATATTATCATTTAACATTGTTACTTTAATATACAACTTGGTGCTATCCGATTTTGAACTCATATATTTAATGTTATGGTACAACATCAAGTTGTACATTAAAGCACCAATGCTATATAACATAGTAAAAGTGCTTTAATTGTGAAACCGTGCCGAAAGTTATATAAAAAAAGTTAGTAATATGATATTGTATATTAAAATTGTGGTTCAACCGCTTCATATCGCTAAAATTATCAATTTTTTTAGGTATGATATCCGATCGGATCGGCTGGTACGATAGAGTTTCTAAATCCGTGGTTCTTAGTATGATTAGACTAGGTGAGCGTTTCCTTATTGAAGGTTATATTTATTTTGGTTTGTGTAGAGTTGGCGGTAAAGAGAGAAAATAATCTGCTAAATTTATTAGTCTTGTTGCTTCTAAAACTAGTATTAATTTTATCGTTCGTAATAATAAGTTTTGCAAGTTTTTCCCAGTTTTAACTTATATCAAGAACAAATTCCAAAATTAAATAGGCGATCAACTTGTAAATAATTGTCTAACACAAAAATATTGAAATATATGAAAAATACATTATTGGAATTTATGAAATGTGAATTGTAATGTTAGAGTTTATGAACTTTGACTTGTATTTCTGAATCCACCACTGTCCGACTACATAAAAAAAACTTAGAGTTCACATAGTTGCATCATATTAATGTTTCATAATTGACCATACCACACTACTCACATGTGTTGCACACACATTGCACATAGTTCCTTTCTTTGATTGTACTATACATTCACCAAACGAGTGGAGGTGCTTTCAGGAAGGACACTAGCCTCTATCTTCCAATATTTAAATTTAATCATGGAATCTGTTACAATTTATCATTCTCAGTCCCTCTCACTATAAATCCTTACTTTCCCACTACATCCCAACCACACTATGTCACATTAATATAAACATTTCATTCAAGAGACAAGAAATTGCATTCAAATAAATTAATTCCTATAACCAGAAAGATTTTGTAATGATATTGAGGATCAAAGCCACTTCCAAATTGGTTGGGAATACCTTACAAGCAGGGGTGTAAGTTAGGGATGGCAATGGGTCGGGGACCGGATAGTGCATATCCGCTACCCTACTCAGAGTAGTTCGGATTTTACTTATACCCATACCCACATAAGAAACGGGTAGAAAATCTAAACCATGCCCATACTCGTTCGGGTTTCGGGTATCCACGGTTATCCATGGGTAATAGTTTCTCTTTATAACTCCAACCAATATGTTAATATTGACACGTATTCTCATGTTACGTAAGACGAAAAGTACGACAATAATTCGCTAGAATGAAGAAAATTAATTAAAACAACACAATTTCATAAAACTATTATATGTATATGCTAAATATAAAATATGTAAGAGAAAAATATTGATTTTTTCTAGACAAAATACATATGCATGTGTATAATCGGGCGGGTTCGGGTTGGATAGTGAGAAAACCATGCCCACCCATTACCAACAATATTCGGGTTCGGGTTTTACCCGTACCCACTAAAAGGCCTTCGAGTTCGGGTTTTACCCTACCCGAGTGGGTCGGATTCGGGCGGATATCCACGGTTACGGATATTTTTGCCATCCCTAGTGTAAGTTTGACCCTTAAAACCCACTGACCCGCCCCGACCCGCCCCGACCCTCAGGGTCGGGCTGGGTCAGTTTGTCTATAGGGTCAATTTAGGGTCGGGTCGGCTTAGGGTCGGGTCAGGGTCAGATAGGGTCGGGTCAAGTTAGGGTCGGGTCACTTTTTGACCCTATGACCCTTAGCATCATACAAACATGTTAGACCTATTCGTAAAATTTAAAAGATTAGGTACTAAATTGTAAAAATTTGGGTACCAAAATGTAATTTTACCATCAAATTTTAGGGACTTATTTGTAAAAATAAATAAAATTTAGGTACTAAAATGTAAGAAAAAATAAATTCGGGTACCAAATTGTAATTTTTAGAAAAGTAGTTTATTTATTAGGGTCGACCCACTGACCCGACCCTTCCTGACCCGTCCCGACCCTAAAGGGTCAGACAGGATCATGAAAGAAATAGGGTCGGGACGGGTCAGTTATACATCTTGACGCTTCAGAGGCGGGTCAGGACAGGGTCAGGGGCGGGTCGGGCCAATTTTCAGCCCTTTACAAGACACTTGTTCATCTTACAAACAAGATTTCTGATCCCATGTGGCAAAGCAAAAAAGAAACAAGTATGTGTATAATCACACTACACGCCAAGGGGGAAACTATAGCTCCCATGTACAAGGGCATCTTTGATTTTGCTAATTCAACACTAACAATTTCCCCAATAATTTTGGATTCACTTCTCTTAAAACAAAAAATAATAATAATAGGCAATATCATATTTTACTCTCATATGCCCTCTAATACCTTATATATACCCTCCAACATCGCTCCATTTGGTTTCCCATTCCACACAACAATAAACCCAAACCCAAATCTAACCCCATAACTCTTCAACTTGTACAAAATGAACCGTCTCTGCATCTCCCCTTCTCTCACCCTCACTCACCACCTCCCCCACCACCATCATTCCGGCAAGTACCCGCCGGCGGCGGCGGCATTCTTCAACAAGCTGTCCTCCCTCCCACTAAAATCATGCTTCTCTCAGTTCTGCTATCTCCTCTCCATCTCCCTCGTCGGGTACTGCATCCTCAACTCCCTTAACACACGACCTACTGGCACTGCCTCCGACGACATCCCTGGAACCCTCGACTACTTCTTCACCTCGATCTCCGCCACCACCAGCTCCAGCATGGCCTCCGTCGAGATGGAGGTCTTCTCCGACTCCCAGCTCCTCCTCATCACCTTCCTCATGTTCCTCGGCGGCGAGGTCTTCACCTCCCTCCTCGGCCTGGTCATAAAAAACTATAAAATGAGGAAGGAGGTGACCAGACTCGTTTCTGCCAGTAACAACGACGGCAGAAACGAGCCCACACCCTTCAATCCGCGTTACGAGCTGGAGCTGAGAGCGGTAGTGGTCCCGCTCTCTGTCCCAGACATTCTTCCGGCTCATCATCAAAACCACCACCACAACACCACCACCAAGGAGGACTGGTCAGAAGTACATCTGAAGCGGAAGTCGATTCAGTTCCTGTGTTATGTGACGTTGACTTATCTCACGTCGATTCACGTCCTGGGCATTTTTTCGCTCTCTCTATACCTGGCGCTCGAACCGAGCGCCAGGAACGTACTGAGGGAGAAAGGACTCGGGACGTTCACTTTCTCCCTCTTCACCGTGGTCTCCACATTCACCAACTGCGGGTTCCTCCCCACGAACGAGAACATGATCCCGTTCGGGAGGAACCCGGGGATGCTCCTCCTCCTCATCCCTCATGTTCTGTTGGGGAACACTCTGTCCCCGCCCTGCATCCGCCTCTGCGTCTGGCTGGCGGGGAAGTTGTTCCCCAAGAACAACGCAGAACGTTATTCGAAATTCCTGCTCGAGGTAAAGCGCGATGGGGTGACGAACGGGATTATCCTCTCGGGGAGGCACTCGGCGTATCTGGCGGCGACGGTGGCCGGGTTCGTGGCGGTGCAGTTTGTGATGTTCTGCGGGTTGGATTGGGACTCGGAAGGGATGAAGGGGCTGAATCCGGTTCAGAAGCTGGTGGGTGGGGCTTTCATGGCGATGAATTCGAGGCACGCCGGAGAGAGCATCGTGGATTTGTCGACGATTTCGCCGGCGGTTCTGGTGGTGTTCGTCGCTATGATGTAAGTTAAATTTACTCTGTTCTGTTCTGCTCTGCTTTACGTTGGTCCGTTGGTACACGATTGTTTTTTTCCTGTGGCTGTTGTTTCCTGTCTTCCTTTTTAGCTTTAGTTTCCCGCCTGTACTTTGAGTTGATGCCTCTTTTTATATAGTAAATCAATCATGATCATCGATGCCAAAGGACTAGATTTGTTCATTGTTTATGGAGTTCGAACAAGTTAAGGTTTAGTGGGACTTCCTCCAAGTTGCATGGATGGGGTCATGTGTTTAGGGCTGCAAATGAGCCAAGCCGCTCGCGAGCAACTCGGCGTTCGAATCGGAAAAAACTCGTTCGACACTCGACTCGTTATTTAACAAGCCGGCTCGCGAGCCAACTCGTTAGTTAACGAGCCAAGCCTGAGCTAGACCATGCTCAGCTTGATAAGCTCGCGAGCTAGCTTGATTCGGTGGCTTGTCGAGCTAAGCTCGCGAGCTGCCTTGTTTTGAGCTTGTGGAACGATGAATTACTCTTTTAAACATGAACATTGTCTTATAATACAGATGTGTATGAAATTTAGATGTTATTTCTAGTTTCTAGTGTTCTTTCTATCATTTAAATTCTTATGTTTATACATTTTTCCAGCAAAAATGATTTTAAATCGAGCTCATCTTGAGCCGAGCTTGTACTCAGCTTAACAAGCTATGTTAATGAGCATTTATCGAGCTCTACCGAGTTGAGCTCGAGCTAGATTATTTTTATTCAAGCCGAGCTCGAGCTCGAGCTGGATTATCAAAATTCGAGTTCGAGCCGAGCTCGAGCTGAAAAATTAATAAACGAGCCGAGCTCAAGCTAAGCAAAAACTCGACTCGACTCGACTCGTTTGCAGCCCTACATGTGTTATATAGAAAAGAAACTAAGGGGTAGTTGGTGTAGTGATAACTCAACTCATGGTGGAAATTAGGACGGGCTATTTGGTTTTACCCGAAACTGGACCATATAATATGGACCGGGACCAGACTGGAATCGGATAGCAAACAATCTAATTCAATTTTTGGGTTTAGATTTGAGGTAAAAAAATCGTTTGTGACCGGATCAAAAATCGGATAAAGACCGGATAAGAGAGCCCAACACCCAAAACTTAAAAAACTCCTCAACCTTTGAGTCATCGGGCAACTAAAATTCCCACAAGCTCAATCTAAAATCAAGACCTAATTGGGACCGGATCGGATCAAGATTGGACTGTATCCAATACAATCTTTGGTTTTTATATTCTCAAAAATACCAGACTAGGACCGGATCAATTCGGGTCAATTTAACCGTACCAGACCGTTTAGCCACCCCTAGTGAAAATGATAGAAAATTTTGCTAACTTAAAGTTTTTAGATCACATAAATGAGCATGTTATATGTCAACAATGTTATACAACGATTGGAGAGATACTTTGTATAACGAACTAATTGTTGTTAATTCGGTGAAAGTTTGGCTCCTACCTTTTCTTTGCCACTAAGATACTCTTTCTCTCCCATTATAAAGGAAAGATACTCTCTTTTTAACCAAAAGAACAGGAGATACTCTTTCCCTTCCATTATTTTCCCTCTTGCTGAATTGAGTGGAAAAATTCCAAGAAACCCTTTTTCAAAATCAGCACACAGCCACACTTACTGAATAACTATTAACTAATTACTCAAATCAACTTATATTAACGCACATATATAACATATTGCTAACACAATCTCATTGGATTATTACCTTATAATTTGTAAGGGATCTTATTGATCTCATCGACCACTAATGCAAACTCAACTCTTTTTCTTACCCAATTGATATGAATTCTTTTTTTGTTTTTGTTTGGGTGAGCAACAGGCGCTAAAATCAAATATTCTAATTACAGGAAGAATTTTTTTCCTAATATTTTGAATTTATTTGCTAACTTTTTTCTCTTTTTTCCCCTTGTTTGTTTGGGAGACATGTTTTAGTGTTAAAAATAAAATAAAAACCGTGGTAAAATGGTAATTATTATAGAATTTTAAGGGCTGGCTAGCATCATTAAACCGAAAGCAGCCGTCTCGATTTTGTTTGTGTGACGGTAATATATACCATTAGGATAGGAATTATGAGGTGAAAGGGAATAATATATTATTATGATGATATCACTGCTCTTATATTAGATAAATAATTTAAAATAAATAAAATGGTGCGATGTGCTGTTTAGAACTAATTCTCAATATTCCCTATCTCCACTCTTCTAGTGAATATAATGGAGATCGATCGATCGAGGAGAGTAGTAGTGGAACAATATTTGGAATTTTATGGGTTATATATGTGAAGTAGCACTATGGCAATTTGCAGGCAGAGGGCAATTAGGCAACCTTTCGTAACAGAGAAAAGCCGTTGCTCGTCATATAGGAATGTGACCGGTGACATGCATTTTATCGTAACTTGTACTTTTTGGTCGATCTAATTCTAACAGAGGTCGATCGAAGACACTAATGTGGGCACTCTGATGACTTATTAGTTATTACGGTCGACCTTTAAAATGTAGCGGTCATTAACAAAATGGTAGACCATTTACAGAAAGAGGTCGACAAGATAGAAGAGAAGTGTGTTGTATCCATTTATCCATCATCATTTGACGTAAAATAAAGATCGTGTTGGTTTCGTGGTCGACCTAATCCGGTACGAGGTCGACCGAATATAGGAAAATCTACCTATGGCCTACGTCTTTTTTGCTTATGTATGTCTATGTGGGTGGTGGTTCTTTTGTTCGTACAAATTACGTTTCAAACCAAGAAAATCCTCCATAAATAATGATAACAAAGACTCATAACTTCATAACATAACAACTAAACAAACTAACAAGAAATATTATAAAACACAAATCATAATTGTTCACACATAATTAAAATCCAAAACCACATAATATCAATCAACAATTGTTTTTAACACTTAACAATAAAAACACACAATCGGTTATAACACAATCGTACTTATGCGATCGACCTATTAAGTGCAAAATGGTCGGCCTACGAGGTATTTGGGTCGAACTTTTCATTCTGTTCGCTTTCCAAATAGGTCGACCATTCATTATAGACGGTTAACCGCGTCGTTGAACCTCACAAAATCGAAACAACATATCAGGTCGACCGAAAAAGTCCATGTTACGGTGACATGCATCTCACCATAGCAAAGTCCTGAAGCATTTTGTTTAGAATTTTTTTCGACGTGTCGCTTATGCATAATTAAATGGCGAATATATATGTCGTTAATGTTAAACAAAAAAAATTAACATTATCTACAAAAATCAGTCTTCTATCTTAATCATTTCAATATCTAGCAAACTTCGTGAGCTATTTTTTTGATGTCGTCGTTAAGTATTGAATATATTAACCACTCGAACTAAAACGGGGTTAGTGTTGTAAATTGTTGTTTCATTTAACTTTGTCAATTTGATAAGAAATAATAATCGACCATTCCAATTCGCAGAAATACAACAAAGTACGACTGTGATATCACTTGAATCATATATTCTGATCAATATCATATATTCTGAAGTCCATGATCGATCTCCATGCATGATAAGAGTTATAAGCTTGAATCTATTCTCATGGTTGTTGCAGGTATCTTCCTCCATACACGTCGTTCCTGCCCACAGAAAGAGAAGAGGAAGAAGAGGACAGAAACAGTCGTAGTGATAATAATACTATTCAAAATAGCAACAGTACTACTGGAGAGAAAAGGGCGGGAAATAATAATATTGTGGAGAATGTGATATTCTCGCCGCTCTCTTTTCTGGTCGTCTTCGTCGTCATGGTGTGCATCACCGAGAGGGAAAGCTTGAAGAAAGATCCCCTCAATTTCAACGTCTTCACCATTGCCTTCGAAGTTGTCAGGTACACTACTACTTATATTATTCTTCTTCTTCTTATTATTATTCTATATTCCTCCAGCCTCTTCCTCTTCCCTTCTCAAATCCTTCCTTCAAATCCCTAATTCGATCTCTAAATTCTTGAATCTCTCAATCGTCTTCTATTCTATCCCGTTACAATAATCGTATGTCCCATAATAATTTTATAATTAAAACGTAAGTGCGGTTTGATCAGTAATCTTTGGCAGCGGCGGATCTAGGGGCCGCTCCCGGGCCGCGACCCAGCCCTCCCTCGATCCAGAACTAGTATATATAGTATTTGTAAATTTTTTATTTTTGTTGTTTGTTTTAGTGTTTTTTCGTGTTACGGCCTAGCCCTCTCCACCTTTTTTCCAATGTGGCCTAGTGCTCACTACCAATGTAGTCAAAAGCGCGTTTCTATGTAGAAACAGTTTGGTAATTTAGAAGCGTAAAATCGTAAGTTTTTAAGCTTTAAAGCGTAGTTTTTATTAACTACATTAGTTATAAAAACGGAGATTATGCGGAGAAGCGTTTTGTTGACCTAAAAGTGTAAAACCGTAAATTTTTAAAATTTAAAACGCGATTTTGACTGCATTGCTCACTACTGCTGATCTTTGGACACCACAAAATTAAATTGCTGGCTACACTAGCTCATGATCATTTTGGTGGCTAAAACGTGTATTCGATGGGCAGCTTGATGGCTGGTTCTGGACGGCATTAGTCAAATCTTATCTCTGTTTTAAAGTAAAGATAGATATATATATGTTTTGATTGTGGGTTATCCTCCCATTTCCTTTCCCTCCTTTGTTTGTGTTTTGTTTCCACTTAGATGTTGTTTTGGAAGTTGTGATTGTTTTATTTAGTTTTGATTCAAGTCAATGAGTTCATTTTTCACGTCTTTAAAATGTTTATTTTTGGCATAATTCATCATACGAAATAAATAATATTTTTTTTTTGAAGGAATTGTTCCATTGAGGATTGAAGAGAATGAATTCTGTTAAGGGGAATGAATTTTTTTTCTTCTTTGGGAACATGTTATTTATTCCGATGGAGATCAGTGATTTATGGGGAATAATTACCCTCTTGATTGAATATTTTTTCAGTACTCCACTATACTAAACCTTTTTTTCTCTTGGCTCTAAGACTAGAGACCAAAGGGAAATCCCCAACTTTCCCCAAACCCTTTTATTCGAGTCTCTTTTTCCCCCTTGCGGAACATTTGCAGAAAACACGTATTTGGGGATTTTGCCACTATATTGATTCTTAACTGACATTGTTGGATCATGTATATCTCGTAATTTAATGGATTATCAAATAAACCACATATTTCAAATGTATTTTTTTTTTTTCGTTGAATGAATATTTTTCTTTACATGTGTTTCATGGTTAAGATATTGTGGGAAGTTTGTCAAGAACCAGTTGGTCCCAATAACTCGAGTTGTTGGGAGAAGGTTTTGCTGGATCTTATACCACACTCTAACACGCCCCCTCAAACGAAAGCCAACCCATGGGCTTGAAGTTTGCACAGGCCCACCATACCATGTGCTTGAAAGACAACGGTTAATATTGGGGGTCGTGGAGATTCGAACACATGACCTTTTGGTTCGAGGCTCTGATACCATGTCAAGAACCAGTTGGTCCCAATAACTCGAGTTGTTGGGAGAAGGTTTTGCTGGATCTTATACCACACTCTAACAAACTTAAATCATGCTAGTGAAAAGATAATGCATTGATTCTTTCATGGTAGGTCTAGATTTTTTCTTGGCATACCTAGCTTAAATCTTGGTGCATAATATATAGGTATAGTTTGGTCTTGTTGTAGTTTTTGCAAAAACAGTTTTTGACTGTAGTTTTTTTTTTAAATACTTAAAAAAGTATTTGACTATTTGGCTCATAAACTATTAGAATTATCTTTTAATATCAGAGGTCATGTAGAATAACTAAGAAGATTTCTGATATAAAATGCGAACAAAAAATAATTAAAATGGTTATTGTCGGAATTCTTTTATATTTAACTAATATTATTCTAAAATTTATTTATGTTTTCAATGAAAGAAAATTTTTTTGGAAAAAATTAAAAATTGTAAGGATAATCTTATATTTTAAAACAACATTTTGCAAAAATTCAAAATCGGAGCTTCAATTTTTCGTAGTAGTTCGAAATTGGAACTTCTACCTTTATGTTGTGAAAATACTTCTCTCAGACTTTTTCAAAAGTCATGCTTATAGAAGATGTGTTTGATCCGTTTTCAACTTTTGAAGCACAAAAACACTTCTAAAGATAGGGCCAAACACAGACATCGTAGCTAGCTTAGCTAGGTGTACAATATGATTTCTCATCTCCACCTGAATATAAGAGTTTCCTAACTTGACATTAGAGGCCGCAGGAGAGTCGAGTGTAATCGGGAAATTAGTAATAAAACGAAATGGATATAATTACTTATTTTCTTCAAATTTTACAGATTAACCAATCCCGAAAAAAGAAGTCGATATTCATTACACATTTCTAATCCCTTCTCACTCTAAATCATGAAATCAACTATGGGTAATCCAGCGGCGGAGGGAGGCGGAGAGGAGTGGGGTCCTAGCCTCCTAGGACCTCACCTGATAGAAAACGGAACAACAAAATCCTTTAAATATACAGGGTTTTAGTAACGATCTTTCAAGTTTAGAATTTCATACTCTCGTCGTCGATCGATGTTAGTTCACTCAAAGACCACAATCAATTCAAAGTTCATTAGATATCAATAAACTACGATGCTATTGAATTTATAAAGACTCCAGTAAATTCAAAGTCTAACTACGCTGCTACTCGATCATATCGCGACCCAGAGTCGACAACATGCATGCGTTGCAGGCTTGCAGCTATCTTAGCATGTGCAGGAAACGAAAAGCATGTCAAAGTGGATCGAGGGAGCTAGGACCCCTCTCGTCTTTGCGTGCCAAATTCTTGGGCCGGGTTGCGCTTTCTCGTCAGAGTCCACTTGATAGACTCCCCTCACTCCCTTCTCATGATAACATTTTATATTCTTAAAACACTCTAATACATGGCTAGAGGGAGAGAACTAGAGGTCAATAGAGAGAGAGGATTCTAGTTTGGAAGATGTTAAGATTCGTACATGAATTTCTTTCAATAGGCTGAGTTATTGAGAGAAAACAGCTTATGACGATGGTATGATTCACAGCTGATTTGATTAGGTTGTCGTCGTCGTGTGTTTGAATCTTCACGCGTACGATCCTAACATTGATGGTGGATTAAAACATAATATATGATGTGTCTCTGCAAAACTTCAAGTCCACCAGCTGGCTTTCATTTGATGGTCGGCGCTTAAGGATGCGGTGAAGGTCGATCGATCGATCTATACATGGATACATGATCTCCCCCCAACAATCAGAGTTGTTGATACGCTAAGAGTTTTTCTACATGTTATCTAAAGTGGTTTGATCGTGAGATCACACGTGTTCGAATCTCCACAACCCACTCAACACATCGACACTCTATTTATACACATGGTATGGTGGACCTGTGCAAACTTCAAACCCGTGAGTTGGTTTTCGTCTGAGAATGTGAGAGAGTAATATATGATTCATAATTAACCATCTGTCAACAACTAGAATCAGATTGTACTCATATTTTTATTGCGGGTAAACCCCATCTATATCTAGAGAGATCGAGCACGTAAATGTTAAAAGTTGTAGGACACTTTCATCAAAATAGTTCAAAGATTGGAGAGAGCCTGTGTTACGCTCACTTTAAGAAATTGAGGATTTGCCGTAAGCACTATAAATATAGGCGTGGACGTGTGGTTGCACCGATGGGAATATTCCTCAGATACTTTCATACACGTATTTCCTTTTTAATTAAAATGCGCGGCCTTTATTAATATCATTAAAAAAACATTATCCAATTGTAATTTTTTTTTCCTGTTTTGCATTCCAAATTTCCAATCTCTTAGAAAAGTTCTTTTTCTTTTTTGAAGTCCAATCTTTCAGATGGCCTTTTTTTTAACAAAAAATCCTTTTAGAAAGTTGGTGAGTGAATATATTGATCGGACATTTGGGTGGCATTTGAGCCATAGATTTGGAACATAAACTCATAAAATGTTAAATATTTATTCATTAAAGATGATATATTAATATTGCACAAACCCTATTCAATTTGTAACCACTAACCACATTTATTATATATATGCAAACCTTTTAATTTTTTTTTTCTGGACTAAAGAGATAGGTTCTTTTAGTTTTGAGCTTTGATCATGGAGCGGTCCACAACCCCATTAAAACGACATCCATCGTTGTTCCATGCATGCCCTTTTTATCGACAACTAGTCGGCCAAAATACATGCCTAGCTAGCTAATGGGTTTGAAACAAATAAAAAAAAAATATTGAAAATTATGGATGATCATTGAATATTGGGTATTGTGTATCCATAAGTGATATCATGCAATGTGATATTAAATAGTTGACGACATGGTATTAGAATTTTTGATGATTCATGTATTCGAATTTCGACTGACTTTCAATGCTAAACACATAGTATTTAGATGTGTACATACTTTTAATCCATATGAGTTGACTTTCATGTAAGAAAACGTGTCACTAAATAGTATAAAAAAGGGTTATAGGTATAATATGCCCCTCTACTATGATGTTTTATCAAACATGCCCCTCTACTATTTTTTACATCAAACATACCCCTGTACTATGAAAAAATTATCAAACATGCCCTTCTGTTGAAATTTTCATTGAAAAAATCGTCAATCATGGTTGAACCGAGATTTGGATGACCCGACATCGGCAAATGGGAGAGAAAATGTCAGTTTTATCTCCCGTTTTATTTCTCTGGGTCCCTTCAAAGTGAAATTATTTGAATTATTTGGCTATACAAAAGACAAAACAAAATTAAAAGTGAAATTATTAGGGATATTTTAGACATTTGTGTCGCCCAAACCAAAGTTTGACCCTGGTTAACGATTTTTGGATGAAAATTTAAACAAAATGACATGTTTGATCATTTTTACAAAGTACAGGGACATGTTTGATGTAAAAAATAGTAGAAGGGCATGTTTGATAAAACGTCATAGTAGAGTGGCATATTATACCTATAACTCTATAAAAAACTATAATTAAATATTTCCAACAAACTATAATTAAATATTTCCAACAATTATAGTTATTGAAGCTAAACAAAACATATTTTAAAGTTATCTTAAGTTAGTGTGGAGCATTTAATTATAAGTACCACAAGTTGGCTAAATAGTCTAGGGCAGAATGCGCAACCCCTCTCCCATAAACCGTCTGTGTGAGTGTGATTTACTTTTATTTAGTGGGTAATCCCCCATTTGCATATGTCTAATTATTAATCAACTAAGCACACGAGCCACAAGTTGCAAATCTTCCCTTAAAATATTTATTTTTGCGGCCACTCACTCAAGTTAAGGTATATCACACTTTGCGTATAGCAATACTACCGGACGATAATTTTGAGGTTGTCGATTCGAAATTCACAAACTTTTTAATGGTCTTCTCTTCTCTTCAATGCGTAAGTAGTATTATAGGTGTATCCATTATCAACAGAATTTCTTTTTTTAAAGAATGGACGTATATATAGATCAGTTTGATCACTGGAAAAATAGACCATACCGTTTGAAAAATTATGGTCCAGATCGGATCGTACTGTTTGGTTCGGAACGTAAACCGTTAAGTATGGTCTGGTCCATGGTCTGTATTATATGATTTTTAGAACTCTTGGTCTGGTCTAGACCGCGGTTTTACCGGACCAAACTGTGGACCAAGTCGACTTCTCAATACGTGTTAGCAGCCCATTTGATCACTCTAACAACTCCCAAAATGATACCCAAGTCTCAATCTAAAATTTGAGAATCTCGTCCCCTCCTTCATTTACAACCACATTTCACCAAAGAGGAGAGACGATCGCGTCTCCATATGACATTATGTAAATGTTTATGACGTTATGATGCAAGTATGGATGCTTTGACTTTGTATCTTTATTATTTATTGATATTTATGGTGTCAAAATTATTCATATACGTTGGAAATTATGTTTTAAGGCAAAAAAATAATTTCTTTCTTGGCTATTGGTTCAATCTTTTGTGTGGTTGTCTGATCAAACTGTTCATTTTTTGTTCGGTGTGGTTTATCTGGACCAGACCGCACAGGCGTGGTCTGGTCTGGACCGTATAGTTTATGGTCTGGTCTGTAGTATATACTCCAGCCTCTCAGTCTGGACCGTAGACCGTATATATGATCTGGTCTGGACCAGACCGTACCGTTTACTCGATTTTATTCGACCCAAATATCGGTGAACCTCGTCCGCAAATCTTTCAACGTACCAATTCACTCAACAAAGAGTAGGTCGTGCACGTTGCACTGATCATGGGAAACAGAGGCAATTCTCATGATTTGGACCGACGAAAAGTACTGTTTGAAGTGATTAGTTAAGTTTGCTAGGCAACTAATTAACTATGTTTAAAGCGTGTGTGTGAGATCTTGTATAAACAAAACAAGACCATGCATGAAATGAAAGGGACGTTTATATATTAATGGCGCACTACACCATGCATTAACCTCCACACACACAAAAAAAAAAAAAATAATACTTGATATAGCTAATAGCTTGCTCCCATTCATGGGGTTTCCATTGCTTATAATTAAACTCTCTTCTTTTGATTAGATGTTAACACCCACAATAGATTTTATGTTCTTTTTTTAATCTTTGTGGAATTCTTCATTTTCCTATTCAAATCACTACTTGTCTATTTGTGTATGGTTAGTTTCGTAAGGAAATAGCATAAATGCATTACTGAACATCTTCCGGTTGTTCGGGTCGACTTGTTCTTGACATAGTATATAAAATAAAAGTACCGTGATATGATCAAGATGTATTGTGTTCGAATCCTCACGATCCCAAATATTAACAGTTGATTTAATTACAAGATATAACATATATCTGTCTGAACTTTCGTTTGGAAGGAATGCAAGCTAGAGAATAACATAGGATCCATTTTAGAAATCTCTCTCAACAACTCAAATTATATATTGAGACCAACTAAATTATTATTCTCATCTAAACGGTGGTATGTATATATATATTTAGCCAATGAGATGTGAAAGCTAACTTTGTTAATGATGATGACCAAAAAGCTATCTGATCTTCAATTGCAAAGGGTAGAGCAACGAATAATTAATTAAGTAGGGTTTTGTATTTAATGATCTAACTTTATGGTGTTGATTTGTGGTTTGCAGTGCATATGGGAATGTTGGGTATTCGATTGGCTACAGCTGCAAGAGATGCATAAACCCTGTCGAGAATTGCAAGGACAAATGGATCAGCTTCTCTGGGAAATGGAGCAACCAAGGCAAGATCGTCCTCATTCTGGTCATGCTCTTCGGCAAGCTGAAGAAGTTCAACGTCAATGGCGGCAAGGCCTGGAAACTCCTTTGAACATTGTACAATTTTCCCCACAATAGTATTGCCACCCTAAGTAATGTTCTATCATTCGAAGGAACATGATCGATGATGATCAAGAATAACTTGTGAATGTGTGTGACAGTTCTTCTTGTTGGTTCTTTCCTTCGACATTTATGTGTCGGATTTGATCGTCTGAAGCCAATCACGTACAGGTTCGTTCGAATCGGTCCTACCCTTATCAACAGAATTCACCTGATTAGGATTAAGGGAAGAAAGATCAATCACTGTATCCATCCATGAAACATATGGCTTATATAGGTAGTACAACATAATCCAGTATTAGAACAGAGCACAACATGTTCCAGCTCCACCATTGTCATTGCCGAAGTCGGATCATGGGTCATCTTCTGCCACCGTAGGAAGATATAGTACTCGACCGGCTTCTGGAGCTATCGTAACCCGATTGAAGATCGCTGAACACATCCTGGCTGCTCTGGCTGTTCAAAGGCGAGCTCCCCGTGCTCCCGCCAAATCCGAACCCTCCAGCGGGCGACACATCATCGGCAAGCGTTCTCAACCGGTCGAGCTCCGGCAGCACCACGTTCCCCAAATCCGGCCGGTCCTTCCTCCTCAATTCGGCGCACTGAAGCGCCAGGTTGGCAAACCTCAACGCCTCCTCGACGGGCCAGTCCGGCACAGTCGGGTCGAGCATCTCCGCAAACGTCCCCTGATCGATCGCCCTCTGGACGTGGTGGGTTAGCCCCATGGGAGGCTTCGCGGTAATGATCTGGAGCAGCATAACGCCTAGCGAATAGATGTCAGACTTCACCCCGAGCATTCCGGTCTGCTGGTACTCCGGATCGATGTAACAGAACGTTCCCGCGGTCGATGTCATCCGGTACTGGGTCACAGAGTCGGCGACAGAGGGAGGGACGAGCCTCGCCAGCCCTACGTCGCTGATCTTGCTGACGAAGTTCCGGTCCAGCAGGATGTTCCCCGGCTTGAGATCGCGATGGACCAGCGGTTCTGGCTTGGTCTGGTGGAGGAACAGCAGGCCGGTTGCGATTTCTGCCGCGATTCGGAACCTTAGCTGCCAAGACAGGGGAGGGGTGTTGCCTCTCCTGAATAGCCTGTCTTCCAAGCTACCGTTGGCCATGTACTCGTAGACCAAGCAGCCGTATTCGGGGCAAGCTCCGAGGAGGAGGACCATGTTCGGATGGCGAATGCAGCACAGAACTTCCACCTCTTGCTGGAATTGTGACCTCCCCTGAGCTGCGTCGGGCCGCAGGACCTTGATTGCAACAGGGGTGTGATCGAGATGAGCTCTGTACACAGGGCCGTACCCGCCTTCTCCGATTTTCAAATTGTTCGCGAAGTCGTGTGTCGCGGATTCGATTTCTTCGATGTCGTATTTCCTGTACCGAATATCGGCACCGCCTTGGGACAGAGATGTTCCGGCTTTCTTTCTCTCCTCTGCATCTTGTATGGCTCTCAACTCTGCAGCGCGTCTCTTCTGAGCCTCGAATTGGGCGACTTTCTCGGCGGCTTCGGCTGCCTCGAGTGCTGCTTTGCACTTGGCTTTCTCCTTCTCGACGAGAGCCAGTGCGGCTTCTTCGGAGAATCTCGCCGCCTCGAGCCGCTGCTCTTCCTCCATTCTCCACCGATGAAGCTCCCTGGCTTGTTGTTTCGCCATGAGGGCTTCCTTGCAAGCTGAGCTGTACATCTCCATGGTTTGCCTCAGCTCTTGTCTCAGCCTTCTCATCTCGGCTTCCATGTCGTCCTGCAAAAAGATGGCACGTTTTGTCCCAAGTAAGGTGCAAAGTGGTTCCATCAGCAAAAACATAATTGTGGCCTAGTACGTGTTGCCAAAATTTCGATAAGAACATGAAAGTCTGCAACTTTCCTGAGAGATGGTGGACAGATCGAGGGACCGGTTTCCTGAGTAGGACGATCCGGTGCTTCTGGTGTCGAAATCCGAACCGGTCGAGAGCCTCGGAGCATCCCCGTCGCTCATGGATGCGAACTGGTAGTCGACGCTCGGCCTTCCGCTGCTGACGAAGGAAATGTCTGAATCCGGCATTGGCGATTCGGCTAGTTTGGCTATTGATGCTCTTCCTCTTGTGAAGGGCGACCTTGCCGGATTCGACCATGATTGAACATAGAAACACAGAGAAAAATAAATAAAGAAGAAATGGGTTAGCTTCCGCTGCTGCTGAAAGTTGAACAAATGGACTCCTATTCTGCCTATTAAAATGGAAAGGAAAGACACCTTATGAAATCATCTTCAATCTGATTGCTTGACGGGTAAACTGATCTTTCTGCTGACAAATCCAACACATAATGTCGTCAGTCCCTAGAAATCATTGGAGATTTGATCCACACCACAGTAAAAAAGCAGATGAAACAGCAGAAGCAAACCTCTTTGGTAAGCCCTGGAAGCCGGTTCAGGATTTGCGAAACCGGGGCCTGGAGAGGCTACAGCAGCAGCAGCAGTAGGTCGAGGCAATGCAGGGACAGGCGCGGTAGCAGTTTTCACGGATGAAATCTTTCCTTTGCTGATGACATAAACGGTACAGAAATCTGGTGCCAGTTTATAGACATTGCTTGGAACATCTGTCACCCTGAATTTCCTGTAACGGGGTACGGAAAGAAAAGAGAAACAAACGCAAAGGAACAAACTTTAGCAACACTGCAGGAGAATTCTGGAAGAAAAAAAACCCATATCTGCGCCTCTCCCAAGCCCAGATTTTTTAAAGAAGATTCATCTACCTAACGAGGCCGCCTTTTGAAGCGCTGCCGAGCACCACGGCGTCGACGGAATTCGCATTCACATAGTCGACGATTGCTTTGGCTATGTCGTAGTCCTCCACAACAACTTCAATGCATTTTAGCTGGATTGAAAAACAAACCAAACCCAGATACAATGAAATATGTCAGTGGACGAATGGATGGGTGACAAATGATGGAAAACAGAGGAAATGAATGAAGGTAAAATCATACGTCTTTGCGGGTGCAGAAGCAGCGGAAAGGAAGCAAAAGCTCTCTGGCCTGGCCATCGATCGGGACTCTGTTATCATCTAGAGCAGCAGGAGCAGAAGAAGAAGAAGAGGAAGAGGATGAAGAAGACGACATGCGGTGTTTGACGTGAAGGAGAACAATGGTTTGGCCTTTGCTGACGAGATGATCGGTTGCCCATTTCAGGGCATGCTGACTTCCCTTGTCTTTGTCCACTGCCACAACCACTTGCTGGTGCTCCTTCTCCGACGCCTTCCTCGACATTTTCTTCTTCTCCTCTAGCCTCTTTCCCTCCTCTGCTTTTCTTCCTCTGCTTTCTTCTTTCCTTTGCAAATGGAGGGTCTGATTGATGTCTGGGGAGCTAAGCTTGGATGCCTATTTAAATTAGGAGACAAATATGCCAAAAGGGAGCATGGGTAAAAACTGAACAAACCGAACATTGGCTTGGTCCTCTCTCAAAATAACTCCCCCCAAACAGCCCTCCAATTTCCTCTTTCTTTTGGCTTCTCTTGTTGAGAAACAGACATAAAATACCAGAAACGAGAAAAAGAGAATGGAAAGGAAGGCGGGGAAACAACCCTGTAAGTCCTCCCTTACAAAATCAATTGACATGAATTTCCAAGCAATACCGTTAATATACATATAAGTTGTTGGTTAACACATCTGTATCAAAATCAGATTTTACTCCCCGGTCGTTTCTTTGGGTGAAATCCAAGGTTGTCAATCCGCGGGTCGACCCGCGGGTTGACCCACTTTGACCCTGACCCGGTGAGAAAAACGGGCCGCACGCACCAACCGGGTCGACCGCTATAAGGTACCGGGTTGGAGGTGAAATTGTGTCATTTTTTTCTTTGTTTTGCGAAATGCGCCTATTTTCCGATTTTTCTTTTCTCCTAACTCATCTTTGGAATCCTAAGTTGAACATTTGAATATTAATGTTATATAAGTGTGTGTGAATTTTCACTATATGTTGAATCTAAGTACGAAATGTTATTTTGGTGTAATATTATATGTTATAACTCATATGTTAGATGAGATATGATATAATGTATCAGGATAAGTACAATATAATGACGCTTTCCATATTTCCGGGCTAAACCGGGCTGAAACGGGTGACCCATTAACCCTTGACCCACTAGCTCAACCGGGTCCGGGTCAACCCGCGGGTTGACAACCTTGGTGAAATCGTTAGGGTGAAATTTGTATTTGCATGCAAATTAAACTGCATTGGTTTTCGTCAACGCTTTCGATGTATTTGAGTGCAATCACAATTGTAGCAGAACAGTCAATCCCAATTGTAACAGAACGATGTAATCTCGGATGTTTTTGAAGGTTGGAAAAGTAAATAGAAACTCACTCTATAAAAATTTAAGCACAAAATATATTGAACTAAAGAGTGGCTTTGCAAATACATCTCAGACAATTTAGAAACTCACTCTTATGTATTTATTCCCATTTTCCAGTAACATAAAAGGAACTCTTCTCATCTTCAATGAGACTCCTAGCTACTGGACATTGCAATTCTAATTTAGAAAGACCAACACATTGGAAGAAGAACAGAGAATCGCACAACAAAACAAAGGATGGGAAACGAGGTGGACCATAACATCACCGTCCTGGCCGAGTTGCTGCAGGGATAGGTTGAACAGCAGCCAAGGGATTCACCTGGTACGAAAATGCAAGCCGCCACAGGTCTAACAGAGACTTCTTGACCCATAAAACCCGTCTCTTAACAATCCTGCATCCCATAAGAAACAATTGAAGAATAGTTTTTTTTTAGTATGCACCATAGGATGCGGAATAATCACTGAATGGAAGGAAACAATGCATTCCCACTGTAGATGAAGGAGAAAGGCAGTAAGTGGTAGTTTACTCATTCAAAGCAGCTCGCCTCTTCTGAACGAGATAACATAGGAGAACAAACAGACAACTAATCACGATCTTTCCATTTGTTATAGCCAGATGCATGTTTCCAAACTTCAAATTGATTGAACGAAACCACCACCATACAGACTGGTTTCTGTGCCGCGAAATGTCCTTAATTGCCTGGTTTATTGCAGTTTTCCCATTCGGCATATAGTTTGCTTTTGAAGCCTTCGAGGATTCTTCAGATAAATTTGCTAAGTTTGACGAGGAACCATGAATATCCCTATCTTCTGGCAAATCTGAAGAACCATGAACCCTGTTGGAGGTTTTCTCGGAATACATTGAGTGCAATCTTCTCAAGAGCACCTGCACAATACATCGTTAAAGATAATATATTTTTTTTAGGGTAATGTTCTATTGATAACAACCTATCTATCATATAATATATACACAACTTCATCAGGTACTAAAGTGAATCTACCATCTAACTCTAATATTTGCATGTTCATGGCATACACAAACTGTAATTGATAAATGGAGGTAATTTATTGTATCGAATCATAACTGTGCTTGCACAAAGCATCTGAATTATTTCTAGATTCCAATAGCAGAGGAAACAATATAAGAGGCAAAATGGTAATGTATCACCTGTCGCTTTTCCTCCGGTAAGGCAGCTTTCTCAAGCCAAGAAATTGCAAGGTTCGACTCTTTCAAATGCTTGCCAAGTAATGTAACAGCATAGAGCTCAACAACTGCCGAAAAGGTTTCAACATCCAACGTCTTCCTCCTGTCACATTGCTCATGGACCTTCATATTGGAATCTGCTCCAGAAAGAACATAAACTCTTCCATCCGCAAGACTCCACATGCTAAGGAAGTCCTGAAGGAACTCTTTCACTCCCATTAATGACCCTGCTGATATTTGCAAACATAACCTGTGAAAAAGAATCAAAAGATTACCTGGTCTAACTTAATACCAAAATCAGCTTACAAATCTGATCTGTCACTATATACTCTATAGATGTGTAAGTTTCAGAATCGAGAGACAAACATGTTATACACATATTGTACATGTTCGACATGCAGTTGCTAGCATGTTTGCATAAAAATCTTCTAGCAACAAACACCAGAGATCACTTCAGATTCAATAGGCTCAAACTTCAAACCTCCCAAGTGTAAGATGCAAAATCTTGAGAACTCTGCTCAGGCACCCATTAGCCAATGAGCATGTAGCATAGCAAAAGGATTCACCTACTAATTACGTTACTATTGGAATTGACTGACACAAAATCGCGATAAAATGCAATGGTTTAAGTTACCACATCTTGATCGGCTATTTATGAGAGTCAAAGCTTTTAATTGTTAGTCTTTTAGAGTAGATAAAGCTAAGGGAAAATGACATCGCCAACAGATTATCTCATAGTCATTTACCATACTAAAGAGTATCCGACATCAAGAAATTCAAAATATTTACTTAGCACTGAACTTAAGATGTGAGGAAGGTTCGGTACACTATTAATTATCAATCGAGCAAGTCAACCAACACTCTAGAACCACAATCGGATGAAATGGGAAAACATCTAAAGGAAACAAATTCAATTCATAGCCTTCTCATCTGGAACAAATGAAATTTTTATGATTTTTCTCCACTGTCATGCTAAGGCAGATCATGCCTTTTACTAATCAGATTGGGACAACTAACAAGTTGTTACACAGCAGTCCATGAGCGTGTATGTAACTGTAGGATCTTCAGGTTGCACAGCCTAGATTTCGTACAAGTTCATATCTTAAATTAACAGAGTGAGCATCCTCTCATGTAAGCATCAGCCTAACTCGCATGCTCTAAACATCGGAAGTCCTGAGGTCCAAATGACTAATTTCAGTTATTTGTCTTGCAACTGATGGTCTCCTAGTTTCGAGGATCGTACTAAATTGGAATGTCGATTGATGACTAAATGAAGTGATAATTCTCTTCCTCATGCATCCCCATATAGTATGGTTCAACATATCAGAACTCTTGGTGAGACAAAAAAAAAAAAAAAATGGGTAGAAAGCAATACCAAATGACCTACTTGGCTCGATGAAAAGTGAAGGGAAGCAGCAGCATACCCAGTTAGAAGGACTTCAGCAGGCACTGCTGCAGGATAACCGAACAGCTCCTTCAGCTCACTCAAAATATTTGATGCCCTGAAAAAATTCCAACATCACCCATACATTAAAGGAAAACGCAGCTCTTGAGATAACTCTTTCCTCTTATGCATAAGTAAAGAGGTCTTTTATCCACTCAAGGCTACGTGAAGGAAAATAACCAAACAATAGAACGAACTTGCACAATTGGAAACCACAATTTTGCAAATCCACATTGTCTTCAACTGTAACTATGGCTGAAAGCAGTTCGATTCAACCAATCATGAACCATCTATACAAGGGACTCTCCTTGGAAGATAGGATACATGCTCACAAACTATCGCGATATATCAGTCATCCGTGGATAGCCCAAAAACACATTACAATTTCTCTCTCATTTACTAGCTTTGGTAAATTTTCTGCACTTTTCAGAAAGCCAAAAGAAAAGCACTAGGATTACCTTCCAAGTTCGTTCAAGGACTGAACCAAAACCATACCCGCAGACTCCATAACTTCGAACAGCTCATCATTGTGCTCAAACGCTCTGCTCCCATCGCCATTTTCGCGTATTCGTTTCAAAACCGATGAAGCCATTGATGCAGCCTCCTCATAGTTTGAGCAAACAAGGTAGCTGAAAACGGAAAATTCATAAATAAAAAAAATCATTACCCACAAAAGGAAAACAAACAATCAAGCTCAGTAATGCTTTCATTTCATTAGACAAACTATGACTGAACCACTCGCCTCTCTGAACGATCAATCTCTTCCCAAATCGCGGAGAAACAGTCGGCAGCGTCCATGTCACCTATCCATTAGAACACATAGAACTGATTTGAATGAGCAAGAACACAACCAAATCTTTTGGATTTTCTAGGAAGAAATCGAAATCGGCCCGAATCATACAGTACACCGATGAAGAAACAGAGCTCGTGAAACCGAAAACCAAATTCGAAGCGGAGCAGGATCAATTAACCATCCTGAAAAGCAGAAGAAGCACGAGTACCTTTTCTGAAACCGCGGCAAACGGAGAAGGAACGCGATTGGTGGAGATGATGGAGGGAACTCTGGTCCGCAGCAGGAGGCGAGGGAGGTGGAGGAGGAGAGTGCCGTCGTCTCTTCCGCCGTGACAATTGGAACTATACAAACAGATTGTTTTTGGGATTCGTAATAAAGTTACGACTTAGATTGGATGGGCCGCGGTCCGCGGCCGAATTGGGCTTTTTGTTTACGGCTCCGTTTCTTTCCCAAGATCACCATAATTTTATCACCACACAAGTCCACAATTTTCCCGGTATTCTAGTAGATTTTCCGGTATTTATCGATTTTTGCCGCTTTTAACTACCACTTCATACGGTTGATACTCTGGTATTCTAGTAGATTTTGTGGTCAGTACCGATTAACCCAATTGTAACGTTCGACATGCCATCGGTTCGCAAACCATGATATTTCATGTATCGCCTTCATAGATATCGTGAGTTTTTCTTGAATTACAAAAGTATTAAAATTTAAATTATAAATTCAATGAGACTCGAATCTAAAAACAACATATAAATCATAGTTCATCTAGTTAACTCATACCCAAAAAGTGTTTTAGATCTTGCAAGCCCAAAACCGTAGTTGAAGTTGTGGCTTTTTGTATGATTGTGGTTGTGTTTTTGGCGAAAAATGTAGAGGTGAACAAGGTGCAGTGAAAAAAATATTTCAAGGAGCAGGAAATTTTTTTAGCCTAGTTGTGGGGAAGTGGATTGGGTGATTGGCACATGAAAAGGGTATGTGATCGATCCTCTCTTCCGCCACAAGGCCTTGTTTGAGTAGCACATATTCAGACGGCTCAAGATAGGGTGCATAACCATGGGTTATGCATCCATCAATAATCAAATCTAGACCATTCATTTAGAAAATCCAGATCTAAGGATGGAGAATTAAAGATCATTTTTATTTTCTCTAGCTTTCTTAATCGGCTCATATCTTTTTCGTTTTAACTCGGATTTTAATTTTTTTTGCACAGGTGGAACGAGTTCATCGTGCTCTACAAAATGAGATCAATTTTCAATATTTTTTTAGAACAAAAAATTCTGGCTTCTCGGTACCAACTGCATACCATATGGTATTTTCGTCATTTTTAATTCGTTTTTGAAAACGTTTGCACAGAAGGTACGAGTTCATCATGATCTATTGGATCTACAAATTTTTGGGTGAAAAATTACAGGACCAAAAAATATCACACAATACCATACAATACCACTATGGTACGGGGTGGTATTGTATGGTATCTTCTTCGTTTTTAATTCGTTTTTGAAAACGTTTGCACAGAAGGGACGAGTTCATCATGATCTATTGGATTTACAAATTTATGGGTGAACAAATTACAGGACCAAAAAATACCACACAATACCATACAATACCACCCTGATACGGGGTGGTATCTTGTGGTATACAATGTTAAAAGTCGTAAATGACAATTAATATATTTCTACTATCATGTATTCAACCATCCTACAGTCTTGGTTTGTTCATACCACCATGATACTTTTTTCAAACCATAGGTATGCTTTTATTTCAATACCAGTCAATACCATATGGTATAGAATGGTAAAAAATGGCTCAATTTTTTTGTTCGAAAAATATATTAAAGTGGATATCATTTTGAAGAGCACAATTAATCTGATCTAACTGTGCAAAAAAAAATTAAATTTCGACTTAAAATGAGCGAGAAATCGTCTGTCAAAGATTAAAGACGGGAAAATTAAAGGCTTTCCAGGAGATAGAAGATGCCGATATCATGCTGATGTGGACGGGTTACACACGGTTACTCACCACACGGTTACTCACCGGATCTGCTCCCTATTCAGACATAAGTCTCATAGACACATCAACTGGCAGAATCTGCCGAACGGATGGGCAAGGTCTTCCCATCGCCCTAGTGATTCAGACCGACTCTGCGGCTGCCATTTCGCTAATACAAGCGGATCCCTCGAGTCACCCACATCGTATTCGTATGCTATTGGCGTCCATTCGACGATTTCTGGCCTTGGATTGGGAGATTACCATGGGACATGTTTTTCGGGAGGGCAATGTTGTTGTCGATTACCTGGCTTTCAGGGGTCATTAGCTTTCTGTTGGCTTGTTTGTGATTGATACTCTAGACTCGTGCTTGGATTATTGGTTGTACTACGATACTATTGGGGTTCAAACCCCACGTATGGTTATTAATTAAGGGTTGGGGCGCGCCCCTTAGCGCTTCGTTTCCTACACACAAAAAATGAGTGAACTACATGTCCTAATATATCGAGATTGGTCTCATAAAATATTTTTCTAAAAATTTAAGAACGGTTTATTAAGAAAATCCTAGAAAATAATCTTTATAATTAGTTAAGGGTAAAACACTTTCCGCAACGTGTGGACAAAAGACCCCATCCGTAGAGAAAACCCTTTCGTGTGAACTCGCAAATCGCAATTTACCTACCACCGATGTGAATATGTGCAAGTAGGAGTATTCAAACGGAGTGGTTATCACTTATCATGGTATCATTTTAATCAATGGGTATTCCGATAATTTAGTTCGGTTAATTTGGATAATTAATTTGATTTAGTTTAAAAAACATTAGCGTGTTTGGTTTGAGACATTGATAACCAATTAGACAATTAGGCATATATCTAACATATTATATATATATATCCCATCCTTAAGTACTTTGCTAATGTGAATTACAAAGTCATTGTGATTTGGAGAAAATGGTCGACTGCTTACTACAAATAGTCGATCGCTCCTTGCAAACCGCAAATCGCAATTTACCTACCACCGATGTGAATATGTGCAAGTAGGAGTATTCAAACGGAGTGGTTATCACTTATCATGGTATCATTTTAACCAATGGGTATTCCGATAATTTAGTTCGGTTAATTTGGATAATTAATTTGATTTAGTTTAAAAAACATTTGCGTGTTTGGTTTGAGACATTGATAACCAATTAGACAATTAGGCATATATCTAACATATTATATATATATATATATCCCATCCTTAAGTACTTTGCTAATGTGAATTACAAAGTCATTGTGACTTGGAGAAAATGGTCGACTGCTTACTACAAATAGTCGATCGCTCCTGCAAACGATAAACCGAATGGATCATTGCTAGTGCTATCAACATACTTGGTTACATATGTCAAATTTTTATAAATATAAACGTGATGTTGGTTTACTGTTGCCTTAATAATTGCATTTTGATACTCCAAATTTAATTAAATCACAACTTAGTCACTATAATGTACATTTTACATTTTGATGCCCCAAATTGAATTTTAATGTAAAATCATTGAACAATTATGTTTTATTATCTTAATTTTATGAGTTTTCGTACCTACAATTTTTTAAATTTACATATTGGTCGAATGTTTAGATTCACTTGAATCCGTGAATCCAGTCCACCATAACATCAAAATATATATAAAGCGTGGAGTTGGTTTACTGTTGCCTAAATAATTGCATTTTGATACTCCAAATTTAATTAAATCACAACTTAGTCACTATAACGTACATTTTACATTTTGATGCCCCAAATTTAATTTTAGTGTAATATCATTGAACAATTATGTTTTGTAATCTTATTTTTATGAGCTTCGTACCTACAATTTTTTAAATTTTCATATTGGTCGAATGTTTAGATTCACTTGAATCCATGAATCCAATCCACCATAACATCAAAATATAAATTTAGTTTGTACCATGCAAGATGTTGTATCACTCAACTGTAGGAGAAGATTCGAGGTCTTCCATGAGATTTTTACTTCAAAAAATATGTATGTTATCCATTTGAAATAATAATTACCATATTTAAAAAAAACATTCTATTCGGTGACATGACAACATACTTAGTAAAATATAATACGAGTACATTGAGATATTGATCTGTATGAAGTTTTTGTATGACATTTTAATAGAACAATGTTTAAAAAAATCAGCAGTAATAAAAATAATAATTTAAAATTTAATATAAGTACAAAAATGACCAAACCTTTCCATCATTTACTTTCTCTTCGTTTCATTTTTCACTCTCTTTCCATAACCCTTTCTTTATTTCTTTCTTTGCCTTCTTCGCCTAACCCTAATTAGTATACTATTTTTATTTATTCTAATCACAAGTATGAACGAGTCCATACATGACTCACCAACAGAGAATTTAGAATTGAACCATGAACCATTAACTTTTTCAGCTCAATGTCGAGCCCAATTAAAAATAAAGATATATGGTTATTACTTATTAGAAATTCGTCATTTTCTACTATGAGATTTGAAGGTGTGAAATTTTAAGCGAGTTCCAATTTGTATTTCTTTTGCTTTTCTTTAGAGTTTTCTTTCTCACCCGGGCTAGAATTTTCAACAATTATACACGGAATGTTTGGCTGGGTATCTACATATTTCAAATAAATAGTTTCCATTTTTCTATAAATAAATAAATATTTATCATCTTAAATACATCATCATAAAGGAATCAAGCCTCAACTATGCAAATTACAGTTCGGTACCTAAACTTAATAGATCTTTAGATTTATAACCTAAATTTATTTTTTTGGCATATAAGTCCTCAAAAATTTTATGAAACATTATATTTTAGTACCTCAAATTTGTGTATGTTACATTTTGGTACCTAAACTTTTGAAGTCCTACAAATAAGTCTAATTTTTGAATGTGTAATTAAAACACCCTCGAATAAATGGGTATCCATACCCAACTCATGCACATTTAGATTATGAAAGTAAATATTCATACCCTACTCAAACCCATGTACAAACTTCCAAACCCATATATAAGTCACCCATTCCCTTCCCATAATCAATGGGTCTACTTGGATTTAGGTTAATATCAATTATTAGCCAAAAAATTCAAAAAAATTAAATTGGATGTTGGCCGCCATATATCTCTTCTCAGTCAATACTACTTACAAAACTACTAATAAAAAAAATGAGACTAATAATACTAATAAAACATTATAACGGGCCACATAATACATGCCCATAGACCATTTCCGTCCCGCGACAAGACACGACATCACCATCTAGTATTAATATATATGCAATGCGTGGTGGCGACAAGAAAGTGATTACAAAGTTTGGAGTAGATATGAGAAGTTTCTCAGTGATTGTTTCCTCGTATATTTGAAAATTGATTTCGCAGGTTTGTTTCTCATATTTGACTTAATCTCTATAGGTTTTCATCTTTTTTTCAAATTCTATTTATGCTTGTATTTGTAATCCTATAATTGTCTGGTGCAACTTTCTTACTATTGTTGTTACGAAGAGACTTGAAAAATATGTGTTAGAATATGACTTGAATTTGATTTGAGTTTGTTTTGTGTTTGGGCCTATTTAGTTTGGGTTTGGGATTGGGTTGTGTTTTGACATTTACCTTGTATGTTTGGGAAAAGGTGTTTGGTTTTCTGTTTGGGATTAGGAGAAGAGTTCTATAAATACTCTTCATCACCCTAGTCTGTAGTAGGGGTCAGTCAGGTTAGTTTGTTTTGTTTTTCCGTTTGGAATTTCGTTTGTAACCTGTACTCTCCTCAAATCAGTGAAATTTGGTCTCCCCTGCCCGTGGATTAGCTAGCACACATTGTGTTAGTGAACCACGTTAAATTTGTGTTCGTTCGTGTTGGTTTGGATTGTCGTTTGCACGCTTCTGTTCTGACAAGTGGTATCAGAGCCTTTGGTTGCGGTTTTGGGAATTAGGCGTTGGATTGAAGTTGTTGCTTTGTGGCGGTGGAGCTTCAGATTTGGGTTTATTGGTTGCTTTTGAGTTGAAGTTTGGTTTAAGGAACGTTTGTGAACGGTTGTCACCAAGCTGCGGTGAGGTGGTTGGTTAGGGTTTGGAGATAATTCTGTTTGTTATCCTTCGGTGGTGATTAGGGTTTCCGATCATCAAGGATGTTTGTTTTGAATTTGAAGATCGACAACACAATTGGGAGCTGCAGGTTTGGAGTTGGAAGTAAATTTGATGTTGGTGTTATGGACGGAAAGAACACCAAGTTGGTTATGCATGGCAAGTCCCAACATGGGTTGGACTTGCTGCATGTGTTGATTTGTTGATCGCCCTTATGGGCATTTGGAGGCAGGGGAGATTCTGGTACAACTGATTTGGAGAAGTTTGGTATGTCTGACAATTTTCATTGCATCTGAGTTTGGCGATTTGCATCGCGTTTGGTCTGGCGATATGAATCACATTTGGATATGTCTGGCAATCTTGATTGCGTTTGAGTTTGGCAGTTTCGATCGCATTTGGATACGTCTGGCAATATGTATCGCGTCTGGGTACATCTGGCAACTTTGGTTGCGTTTGGTACATCTGGCAACCTTGGTTGCGTCTGGTACTTCTTGTATTTGTGAGAGAATTCAAGTCAAGGTGGAGATTGTTAGAATATGACTTGAATTTGATTTGAGTTTGTTTTGTGTTTGGGCCTATTTAGTTTGGGTTTGGGATTGGGTTGTGTTTTGACCTTTACCTTGTATGTTTGGGAAAAGGTGTTTGGTTTTCTGTTTGGGATTAGGAGAAGAGTTCTATAAATACTCTTCATCACCCTAGTCTGTAGTAGGGGTCAGTCAGGTTAGTTTGTTTGGTTTGTCCGTTTGGAATTTGGTTTGTAACCTGTACTCTCCTTAAATCAGTGAAATTTGTTCTCCCCTGCCCGTGGATTAGCTAGCACACATTGTGTTAGTGAACCACGTTAAATTTGTGTTCGTTCGTGTTGGTTTGGATTGTCGTTTGCACGCTTCTGTTCTGACAATATAATATCATTGTTATACAATTATATTATTTTCAATGTGCATAAGTGTTCTATCATCTTGCTTCGGTAGGTTCTTATAACCAATTTTGTTGTTGGTAGACACGCATGGTGCTTAGGATACTTAAATTTGTTGCTGGATAAGACGCCTTTGTCAGTGCGAAAATTGGGATGAAAACCATTAAATAAGGACAAAATCCAAAAAAAAGTGTGGTATTGTGGATTTTTTTTGTAACTTGGGCATTTTTAAAATTTGTCTACGCAATTACGTAATCGACGAAAAAAAAATAGGATTTTGAACGAGGAGAAATTGAGGATATTCACATTGGTTTTGAAGAATTGAGGTTGGATTTTTGGATTTCTCTCAAAATATTATATTAAACTACATTTTTGGAGGGTAAAATGTATGTGAAAACTATTAATCATATGTTTCTTGCATATGTAAAAAATAAAGCTCATAATTATTTATGTTCTCAGAGGCGGACCCATGTGGTAGAGAGGTGTGTCAAGCGACACACCTCCGCACGAATATTTTGTGAGAGACCCATGTTTTGTCGTATAATTTTTTGGAATTTAGGACTTTCGACACACCTTGAATAATTGTTATTGACACACCTTTAATACACTACGATGAATTTAGTGTCATAAAGTTCCCAAAATCCGTAAATATATGTTATTTATTTTAAATTTTAGTTAACTTATGACAAATTTGGGGTTCTTTCCATTACTTAAGCATTTAGATGCAAGGGTTTATTGCTTATAGGTTTTAGGCATGAGTAATCGTAAGGAAGTTTTCTCTTTTTTCTCTCTACCTGAATAAGTTTCGTTTCTTCTTGATCCTTGTAGGTTTCACATAGTTGTCCACCTAGTGACAAAAAATACTCTTTCATCGAGAGTCTGGTTGCATATGGACTACTATCTTATAAAAAAAACTCCAATGTTCCCTTTGCCTCTTTCGATCCCACTTCTCGTTGTGTTACACAGTAAAATATAATTAAAATTTATTTATTATTTTATTTAATTTTATCAACTGACACACCTTTACGAGAATCCTGGGTCCGCCACTTTATGTTCTTGTACAGGGTAGACAACATATGAAATTCTAATTTAGATAAGACTAATATTATATTTATAGGTGACAATTTAAATCCAATCAACCAATTCAATCCAATTCATCAACTGAAAAATCAAACTAATATTTCTACGAAAAAAATATCAAACTAATATGATCCATTTAAATTTAAACCATTTGATCGAAATCCAATTGGATTGACGGATTGAATTAATGTATTGTTGGAAATACAGTTTAGTATCTCTATTTTTATATTTTACAATTTGATACCTAAATTTTAATTTTAACTAAAATATATCATTGGAAAATTATGATTTGGTACCTAAATTTTTTATAATGACATTTTAGTGCCTTAACTTTCCAATATCTTCGTATTGGTTCAATGTAGATGTCAATTGGATCCATGAATCCACCAATCCATTTATTTCAATTAACTGATCCACTAATACATGAATCCGGTCCATTTGTTAGCTCTAATTTTTGTTGGATGTAAACCTGAAAGGGAAGGGCTTCACTGACCTCTGATGACTGGTTGACTGCTAAGAGACTTAAAGACTTACTATTAAGATAGACACACCCAATTCATTGCCCATGTAATAATTGGTACACATTTTCGTTAATTGTCTACTTCTAGTGTACGTTAAATCATATTAATTATGATAAGCATTAGTGCATTACCTATATGTTGAGTTTTATGTTTTATCCATTATTGATGCAATAATATGGTATTTTTTCTCTCGCGTAATAATGATGTTATGTTAGATTGATTGACTCGAACAACCAATTAACCAAACCAATTGTACTGTAGTTTGGTTAATTTGGTTGTTGTATTGATTTGGCCAATTTTTCTTCTACTGAGAGAGCAATAATTAATAATATGTGCCTCTTCTCTTTCGAGATCACATTTTTTTTTCTCCGATGAAGGAAAACAATATAATGGCCGGCCGGTCATCCCGGCGATCACAGAAGTTTCCAGGCTTTCCCTCCGGCCATGTTGAACTTCTTCAGCCTTCCGAACAATATCACCAGAATGAGAAGGATCTTCCCCTCGTCGCCCCACCTCCCCGACAAGCCGGTGAACTTGTCCCGGCAATCTCCGCCGCCGGAAGGATTTATCCGTCACTGGCAACTGTACCCCCATCGAAAATCCCACATTCCCATACGCACTGCCACAATATAACAATACTAATTAACTAATTAACAAACATAATTAATCAATTAATTACGTGCCCATAAGTTCTCATTCAGAGTAAACACACAGACGTAACAAAAAAATGTTGCGTATACTTCCCTAGTAAAATTCAACGATGACTAAAGAGTATAAATCCAAATATTGTGAAGCATATGTGTCTTTTGACGAAAGAACGGTCCTCCTAATTTTGGGAAACTTATATAGACTTGACTGTTCAAAAGTTTTCGAGGAATCTTGTTTTATTTTTTTCGTGACAAATATGAGGCCTCTAATTAATTTACCACCCTTCCCTTCCTAACTTTCAGTGCTTTTTTCTTCAAAAAGTTTTGGTCCTCTTTGTGCATTCTTTGAATATATTCAATTAAACAAACACATGTCTCTCGTTTGATGTAGGGGAAAAGAAAAACTTGGAAATGACCACTTTGAGATTCTGGAAATGTATTTGTAATGTTATTATTATAGGTCTGCTCGAATGATTGTGACGTTGGAATTTAAATTCGGAGATTAAGATTTTAAGGTTATCGACATGGTATAAAACTTACTCTTTCAAAAGTTTTAGTTATTGAGATACGCAGGTTCTCGACATGGTTTAAGACTTTTAACTTAAAGGACTAGTGTTCGGTTTTCATGATAAAATGTATAATTAACTGTCGTTTTTAAGCACAATATATGTGATGTTTTTCTTTTTGATTTTTTTTGCAAATCAAACATTCAAACTTAAGTATGAGTTAACTCGTTGGATCATTATTCAAGCAATTTTTTGAAGAGAGGTTGGAAAGATTCACTCATTCTCAAACCCTCTCTCCCACAGTGAACATACCCATATCGTGTTCTAGTTCGTTCATAAGCATAAATAAACTAAGTATGAAAGACGTTTGCAACAAAAAAAAATTATATATATATACCTGATGACTTCGAGGACAATGTTGAAAACGCTAAAATTGAGGGAATCCTCCTTCATACTATGTCGCTCGGTGATGCATATCAAAACGACGAATATTGCTAGGAAGGAGAGCTGTGAAACTACCACATTCTCCAGTAACCTATTACTATTGTTCTTATATGATGTTCATAGCTACTTTGCCTTCCTCTTCTTCTACTTCTCCTCCTTGTTATTATTTTACCTTATTAATTGTCTCTTGTTGATTTTTGATCTGATCTGCCTCTTCTTCTTCGCCTCCTGTGGTCGGAAGGAACGACGTGTACGGTGGAAGGTACCTACAAGAAATTACAACAAAGGAAGTGAAATTTAGTGTCGGTGTGTCACATATAGTTAAATAATAACGGATAAATCATCAGTCATCGATTCGCTAATTTTAAACCTGAAAATCAACTTAATAGAAGATAATAATCGACGATTATAATTGAGCAAAATAGAATAAACTACATCTAACGGTCAGATCATGGCTTGAAGTACGATATATTTGGCTAGAATTTTGCCATGTGGAAGAGTACTGCTGACAACTTCCCATGTGGAAGACTTGTTGCGTGCGGTTACATGAAAGCAAGAGACATGCAGCACAATTATGAATCAAATGACATTTTAGCTAGCTAGCTAGAGAGGGAACAGCCAAGCTTAATTTATAAACAAACAAGTCAACACTATCCATCACTTCCCTCCTAATAAATGACGAAAACTCTCTTCTAAGCCTTGGTCAATATGAGAATTGGGACGAAATTGAAAACCACTAAATTACGTAATTGAAAAAAAAAATTCAAAATGAGGGAGAAATCGAGGATAATCGTATTGGTTTTCAAGAATTGAGATTGGATTTTTTTTAAGGAGAGTATGGTTGAAGCATAATGAACCGTCCTTTCACTTTTCAAATTTGTTCGGCATGTTTTGTACGCACACATATTATAGTTTTGCTCAAAATATTATAGTAAAAGCATTTTTAGTGTTGCCCTCTAAAATATTATATTAAACTATGTTTTTTGGAGGGTAAAAAGTGGGTGAAACCCATTAATCATGTTTTTCTTACACATATAAAAAAAAAATTATTATTTACCTTGAAGTATCCAACACTATAGATATTTATTCCTTTAGCTTGCACTTACATACAACTGATTAATTAAAATCTCAATTATCCATAACCTTAATTCTAGAAACATAATACAAAAAACGAAACCTAGGTGTGCTTAACTAAGCTAAGCTGGGTAATCATTTCCAATATAATAACGTTTTTTGTGCTCGTAATGCAAGTCATATCAGTCAACGCACCCATTTAAGGTTGTTCGGGAAAATAAAATATATATGACGCCAGCAACTGACTCAACATGCCAACTCAGCAACAAGAAGTTAAACAAGAAACCGTAGCAGAGGGAAACAGAGAAACAGAGTACTCACATCATTACGACGAACACCACCAGCGACGCCGTGGAAACGGTGGCCACTGGCCAGATCGACGATGGACTCGCCGGAATGTCTAAGAATTCACCGTCAGGAACAGCCCCCGGTCAATTTCTGTTGGAGATTTAATAGAATCGATTTGGATCAAAACTGACCGAACCGATTTGGATGTCATTTTCATGGATGGAGGTGTCCATTAATTAAAATAATGGAACATTACTTTGATTCAATTTTCCATGGACGTCCATTAATTGCCAAACATGGTAATGCATGGCAAAACAAAGCATCTCCTCATGAAGAGACATGTCCACTGAATTTAATTAAATCTCCATGAAAGGCCACTTATTTATCTTCCCTGGTTGGTTGCGTGGGTTGGGTAAAAATGGCAGTTGGCCACTAGATAATGCCAACGTTTGGCGGAATGAAACTACCCACATAATTGAAAGATTACAACTTCTCAAAGCACCCATTCATCCAATATAAATGGAGTGGTTCGGGTGGAGACAATGGACACACCAAAAATTCATTCTTCTTCCTACTAAACTTCTAAGTATGCTTTAGGTACTTAAGCCTGGAATCAAAAGTGGTGATAATTTTATCCTACGAAGAAATTTTTTGTAACCCTAGGCTTGTTGAGGGTGGAAATATTATTTACGGAAAGTGAACGTAGTTCACGACTCTATCATAATCCTGGTCACCCGGTCTCGGGCTATCGTACGTGTACCATCGTCCCTAAAAGTCCCAACAATCGTAAAGAATATTCTCCGGTACGATGGCTCGAACCGCTCTTTACAAGAAACCGGTTCAGGTCTATGGAATCGAAAAAAATGTTCGATGATGAGTCTTTCATCGATGGCAGTAGAAGATGGGTTTTCTTCGTACTTGTCTCATGGTGTATTCCATATCCGGAAGGTAACTTGGAAGAGGGATGATTCGAAGATGAGGAAGAAGGAGAATGATTCGTAAAATGGAGAAATAGAAGAATGACAATTGCCTTTGTGTAGGTCACATACTCAAATGTTAATTAGTCTAATTCTCTATTCGACATTTACGAAGTTCTAGATAAATTTGGATTTTTCTAGTGGTTTGATGGTGTGGTTTTGTCTAAGTGGTTTATGTTAAACCAAGGAGACAAAATTGTATATACAATGTTTGATGATTCTGGTAATAGAGCCGTTGTGTTTGTATGTAGATGACATATTTATCTTTGGGACCAATCAAAGATAAGTGATTTTGTCTAGTGGTTTATGTTATTTTAAACCAAGGAGACAAAATGTGTACACAATTTATGATGATTCTGGTAATGAAGTCATCGTACATTTGTATGTATAAGACATGCTTATCTTTGGAACCAATAAAAGATAAGTGAACTTTGATAAAAGGTTGTTATTTCAATTCTCCATGAAGGACATGAGGGAGGCAAATGTGATTCTGTGTATTGAATCAAGCGGAACAACAAGAACGAGTCCTTCTGTCAATTTTCTGCATGAGAAGGTACTTGCATAAATTCCATAGTAGGAATTGTAGTGAGTTAAAGACCCCAATGGATCCAAGTATGGAACTTATGGTTAATACTGGAAATCGGTTTTACAACTGGAGTATTCCATGTTAAATTGGGGGCTCGATGTATGCATGACTTACATGATTCTAGATATCACATATGCGATAGAACAATTAAGTTGGTACGTGATGAATCCTAGTTCTCATAATTTGAATGAAATGAGGCGTGTACTAGGATATGTCAAAGGCACACTTATTAACTTATAGTGGCTTTCCATCAATTTTGGAAGGATTTGTTGATGTTAGTTGGATTTCTCATGTTAAAGGTGATACTTCAACATTGAGATGGGTCCTCTTGCTTGGGAGAGGTGCCATATTTTGGGCCTCTAGAAAGCAAACTTGCATCACTAGTTTCACTATGGAATCAAAGTTTGTGTGGTCTTGGTTTCTCATCGAGAAGAGACATAATTGTTGAGAGGTTTGGTTTATGACATATATTTATGGCCTAAACGAATCTCACCTATTACTATATTTTGTGATAGTAATGCTAATTTGGCTAAGGCATATAGTCAAGTGAAAATGATAAGTACGGTCATGTGGGAGTATGGCATGGTAAAAGCTGTTAATTGATCATTCATAGTGTTGTGTCTAGACAGAATGACCAAACTCGAATTAATTTGGTTGATCATTTGACGAAGTGGTTAACTAGTGACTTGGTGATTAAGTCTGTGAAAGGGATGGATTAAAGCCCATATAACTTCTGGTAATGAGACACCCAATTCCCTTCTAATACAACGTTAGAGGCTGAATTCAATATGGAAAGCTTATTATCAGAAATTGAAGCACAAAATTTGTCATCCCGAGGTATGTGCTTGTTATCTGCATGAGAGAAGAGGATGAAGTTCAAAACTTCTTAATTGAATCTTTGAAAAGGTGTATTATGCGGGTACATAAATAAGAGATTCAACCTACATAAGCATGAAATGTAGCCGCTTCAAGAAACACGGACTTTGGTTTCGTGTGCGCTTATGGGAAGGATTGGACACATGGCGGGTAATAGTATCAAGGCGCTTAGAAGTTTTGAGAACTTAAGTGTATATTATCTTCGAATATTCATATGAGTCAATGGGTTCAATCGTTACCGACACCCTTTGTATTCGAATATTTGTCAAGTGTAATATACTAAGGTGAAAATTCAATCGTCACGACATTTTCATTTATGCTTAAGTTTTTGTTGGAAGAATGTTGTGATTTTAGTGAATTCTATGGATACACTAAAATGAGGGAGGATTGTTGGAGATTTAATAGAATCGATTTGGATCAAAACTGACCGAACCGATTTGGATGTCATTTTCATGGATGGAGGTGTCCATTAATTAAAATAATGGAACATTACTTTGATTTAATTTTCCATGGACGTCCATTAATTGCCAAACATGGTAATGCATGGCAAAACAAAACATCTCCTCATGAAGAGACATGTCCACTGAATTTAATTAAATCTCCATGAAAGGCCACTTATTTATCTTCCCTGGTTGGTTGCGTGGGTTGGGTAAAAATGGCAGTTGGCCACTAGATAATGCCAACGTTTGGCAGAATGAAACTACCCACATAATTGAAAGATTACAACTTCTCAAAGCACCCATTCATCCAATATAAATAATTGAAAGATTACAACTTCTCAAAGCACCCATTCATCATCCAATATAAATGGAGTGGTTCGGGTGGAGACAATGGACACACCAAAAATTCATTCTTCTTCCTACTAAACTTCCAAGTATGCTTTAGGTATTTAAACCTGAAACCTAAAGTGGTGATAGTTTTATCCTACGAAGAAATTTTCTGTAACCCTAGGCTTGTTGAGGGTGGAAATATTCTTTACGAAAAGTGAACGTAGTTCACGACTCTATCATAATCCTGGTCACCCGGTCTCGGACTATCGTACGTGTACCCTCGTCCCTAAAATTCCCAACAATCGTAAAGAAGATTCTCCGTTACGATGCCTGTGAATCACCATGAGGTAGCCCAAAACGACGTAGCATAAAAATCAGATCGATTTGTACTCGGAAATCCTCTCTGCATCATCGAGAGACAACGAGGATGGAGACGAAATCTCCTCACCCCGATTTTTTCGCTGTAATCCAAGATAGAGCTGAAAATTTGCATGTCCCGTTCTTGGCCCTGTCTGATCCGTCACTACAGGGTCAAGATGAATAACTGATCCGTCTCGTCCCTGTCTACTTCTTGACCCTGTATGACCTTCAAGGGTTGGGACGGGTCGGGCCGGGCCTGTGCGACGACCCTAATCAACACACTACTTTTTTACAAATTACGTTTGGTACCCAAAATTATTTTTTTCTTACAATTTAGTACCTAAATTATTATTTTTACAAGTTAGTACCTAAACTTTTAAAAATTTACAAAAAGGTCCAATGTGGTGTGAGATATTTGTTGTTGCTAAGGGTCACATGGTCAAAACGTGACCCGTCGCTAAGTTGTCCCTACTCGTCCTGACCCTTATAGGATCAACAAATGACCCGTCCCTAATCTGTCCCTGTAGACAAACTGACCTGCCCCGACCCTTAAAGACTAGACGGGACGGGTCGGTGGGTCTTCCGGGTCAACCTTTCACCCCTAATCCAGGAAGCACAATCCAAGAGCTAAATTAAAATGGTGGAGGAGGGAATAATTTAGGGGTCATGAGAATTCTTGCTCTTAGATGGAGAGGGGGGGGAAGGGATAAAAGAGTAGGTATTTTAATGTTATTATATATTTTAATAATAAAATTTAGTTATATCTACGTGGCAAATCAAATTATTGACTTTCAGCCATGTCAGCATGTATTGGTCACGTTATAGATTCATAGTCAACTAACTGTTGACTGAACGGAAATTTGACGATTTGACTATTAAATTATTTTTGAAAAATTTTGACTATTATTTTATTTAAAGGCGAAAGGTTTGACTATTATATTGTATTTAGTATTTACCTTTTTTAATAATGACCTCTCACTTTATAAATCCACATAAATTATGGTCAACCCATTGAAAAAAGTTACCAAAACAAAGTGTTCGTATTGGAGCTAGTAGTAGCACCATACTAACAAATTGGGCGTTAGCGCCACCTAACCAACCGTAATAAGCCGTTGGATAACCTCCGTCGCAACCGTAATTCAGCCGTTGGAAAATGATGAGTAATTTTATATGTACAATTTTTATTTCTGCCCATCATCATCATCTGATGAAGGAAAACAATATAATGGCCGGCCGGTCATCCCGGGGATCACAGAAGTTTCCAGGCTTTCCCTCCGGCCATGTTGAACTTCTTCAGCCTTCCAAACAACATCACCAGAATGAGAACGACCTTGCCTTCATCGCTCCACCTCCCCGACAAGCCGGTGAACTTGTCCCGGCAATCCCCACCGCCGCCGGAAGGATTTATCCGCCTTTGGCAACTGTAACCCATCGAAAATCCCACATTCCCATACGCACTGCCACAATACAACAAACATAATTAGCTCTAATGCGTTGAAATTATATTTTAGTACGTTTTTTTATTATTATCTTGCATTATATAGTACTTAAACTTTTTACAAACAGTTCTGATGTGTTGGTATGAAAATGTTTCATATCAAAGAAATTATTATGGGTCATAGCTCTTTATAGGGCGCCGCGAAAAGTGACCAGACCCTGAACTGAACCCGTAAAACAAATTGACACAATCCGATCCTTGGAGTCGAGCCGACGGAACCGAGTCAGTGGGTATCTATGACTAGACTTACTGTCCCGGTGGCAGATCCAGGGCTGGGTCAACCCAGGCCTCCTCCTGATTCAGAATTAGTTTAGTGCTTATAAAATTTTTCGATTTAGATATTTGACCCAGTGCTATTTAAAATCCTGTCTAGTTTTATTAGATAATAGGATTTTGTGTAACTAGGAAAATGGTTCAGATGAACATATCCAAACCATTACTCTAAATTTATACTAAATTTTCTATAGCCCCAATGATTTTATTTGAAAAAAAGACATGAAAACCTAAAAGTGTAAAGTTTCATTAAAATAAAATAAAAACTCTAAACTAAAGCACACCCTTCCTTGCAAAATTCAAAAAATTTCTCAATCCCCCCAAAACAAACAAGAACGAGGAGACGAGTAGATTCAAAATGGATTTCTCCGACAGCCCGTTGAGCTGGTTTTATTTCCATTCTTTTGATTAAGAAAATATTTACAAACTTGTTGAGTTATCATTTAGATCGCCTCTTGAGCGGGGCACTAGATTCTAACCATTCTTTCTGGTGTTTTGATGAAGAAAATATTTACAAACTTGCTCAAGAGTTTAACCTCGAGACTTTGAATGCTATGAGATGCATTCTTTGGAGAATGCACTACTCACGTGAGGAAGATGAAGTTTCTTCTCTTGCAAAATTATTAGAGAAGCTGGAGGAAACATGGATGGACACACAATACAAATTGATTTGTTGGTTGATTTGTCTAGTGTTGACCTAGCCGTTTCAATAACTACCATGGAGAGAATATTTTCAGCAATGGAACATGAACATTGATTTGTGCAACAAAATGAGCGATGAATTTCTCGTTGATTACTTAGCTATTTTCTTTGAAAAAGAGTATATTATCAGTATGGATGGAGATTATATTATTGATGAATTTGCTAAATTAAAAGATCATCTTATATAATTGGCATTGTAATGAAAACTATATTATTATATATTTTTGTTTAAGGTATCTAATATTCTATTTAAATACGGCCCAGTGCTCTCTTATATCCTGAATCCGTCGCTGTACTGTTCTATCGGCATATACTTCCTAGAAGGGTTATTCATCACGTTAGTAAAATTCAACGATGTCCAACATTCAAAAATATTCTGCGGGGGAATTGAATTTGAATGGGTGCTCAATCGGACAGATGTGCCGATGTCCATCACACGAACTTTGACTGTGCAAAATTTTTCGCAGAATCTATTTTTTCGTGACATATATGTTCCCCAAGTTTCAAAATTTATACTCTCTCGATGGTTTGCAACCACACAATATGTTCCCCAAGTTTCACCACAAAAAAGAAAAAGAATGTGTTCTGAAGGACAAGGGGAAGAAAAACCTTGCGTGGCGTTTTGCTTTTAAGTGTTTATGACTTTATTCACTTACAACCTCATTCCAAAATATATATATATATATATTGAGATAGACGAATTCTCGCGGTATGATATAAAACTTTTAATTATGTTTGTTGTATTATGCAGTGCATATGGAAATGTGGGATTCGCTCATAAGCATAAATAAAACTATATGAAAAAACGTTATGTCAGGAAAAAAAATTGAAATATATATATAGATACCTGATGACTTCGAGGACAATGTTGAAAATGCTGAAATTGAGGGGATCCTCCTTCATACTATGTCGCTCGGTGATGCATATCAGAACGACGAAAATGGCTAGAAATGAGAGTTGTGAAACTACCACATTCTCCATAAACCTATTACTATTGTTCTTATGTTTATAGCTTATTACTATTTGACCTGTAGTGTTATCATTATAACTGTCCCCAGTCATTTGAATTTTGGTCCGATCTTTCTCTTCTTCGCCTCCCGTGGTTGGAAGGAACGACGTGTACGGTGGAAGGTACCTATAAGAAATTACAAAAGGAAGAAATGAAAATTGGTGTCACATATAGTTAATATTGATATTGTAATTTGAAGATGTATTTAAATTGCAAATTACAAATTCGAAACTAAATAAATAAATAATAATAATTGACTACCCAATTTGTCGTCGTCGAAGTACAATAAATTACATCCACAGCGATCAGATCACTTGGAGTATATAATATACTTTTGACGATTTGTCAACTATACACAGTTTTTGCCATGTGACAGAGTAGTGGTGACAAACAACCTCCCATGTGGAAGTCGAGTTGGGGTTACATGAAAGCAAGAGACATGCAGGCAGTAGCGGACCCAGGAATTACATCGAGGGTAATTGATAAACAAACAAGTCAACTATCCATCACTTCCCTCCTAATAAATGAAAACCTCTGTTTTATGTCAGTCTTTTGTGTGGTAGACAAGCATAGTGTTGTAGGACACTTGAATTTTGTTTGTTGGATCAAAATTGGGATGAAAACCACTAAATTACGTAATCGACGAAAAACAGGATTTAGAATGAGGAGAATGGTTGAAGAATAAATGAACCGTCCTTTTCCTTTTTCAAATTTGTTCAGCATGTTTTGTACGCACACATATTATAGTTTTTATCAAATTATTATATTAAAGCATTTTTAGTGTTGCCCTATAAAATATATTAAATCAAACTACATTCTTAGAGGGTAAAAAGTAGGTGAAACCCATTAATCATATGTTTCTTACACACATTAAAACAAACATGATTATTCCTTTACCTTGCACTTAAATACAATTGGTAAATTAAAATCTCAATTATCCACAACCTTAATTCTAAAAACATAATACAAAAAATCAAAACCTAGGAGTGCTTAACTGGGTAATCATTTCCAATATAATAACGTTTTTATGCTCATAATGCAAGTCATATCAGTCAACGCACCCATTTAAGGTTGCTTGGGGAAAATAAAATATATCTGACGCCAGCATCTGACTCAACATGCCAACTCAGCAAAAAAGCTAAAACAAGAAGAACAGAGAGAAAACAGAGTACTCACATCATCACGACGAACACCACCAGCGACGCCGTCGAAACGGTGGCCAGATCGACGATGGACTCACCGGAATGTCTAGAATTCACCGTCAGAAACAGCGCCCCGGTCAATTTCTCCGCCGGATTCATCCCCTCAAGACCCTCCGACCGCCAGTCCGTCCCGCAGAACAGAGCCAGCTGTACCGCCACGAATCCGGCCACCGTGGCAGCCAGGTACGCCGACTCCCTCCCCGGCAGGAGGTGGTAGAACCCGACCCGCCTCGTGTTCCTGAGCAGGTGCTCGGAGCGATCCGAATTTCTCTTCCGCAGCTTCCCCGCGGCCCAGACGCAGAGGCGGAGGCAGGGCGGGAACAGGGTGTTCCCGAACAGAACCTGAGGGATGAGAATCAGCTGCATGATCGCGTTCTTCCTGAACACGATCATGTTCTCGTTCGTCGGGAGGAACCCACAGCTCGCGAATGTGGAGACCGTGGTGAAGAGGGAGAAAGTGAAGCTCTTCAGCCCTTTCTCCCTCAGGACGTCCCTCGCGCTGGAAGACAGCGCGAGATACATAGAAAGTACAGAAACCCCCAAAATGTGAATCGCCACGAGGTAGCTCAAAACGACGTAGCATAAAAATTGAACCGACTTGTACTCGAAAATCCTTCCCCCGTCATCGAGAGACATCGAGGACGAAATCTCATCGTCATCATCGTCCTCCTCCTTTCCAATTGAGTGGTGGTCTGACGGGACCACACTCAATTCGAGATCACCCCCACGTGGAGTGGAAGTAGGGTCATCCCCACCACCACGTTCTGACATCCTGGTGATGGTGGTGGGGATGACCCTATCGTCGTTTTGTGTCATCCACGACTTTTTCATTCGGGAGGTCTTGACCACGAGGCCGACTAGGGAGACGAAGACCTCTCCGCCGACGAACATGAGGAAGGTCATGAAGAGGAGCTGGGAGTCGGAGAAGACCTCCATTTCGACGGTGGACATGCTCGAATCGGTGGCGGTGGAGACGGCGGTGAAGAAGAAGTCGATGCTCCTCGGGACCTCGGCTCCCCGGCGGGTGTCGAGGGACTTGAGGAAGCAGTAGCCGACGAAGGAGAGGGAGAGGAAGTAGCAGAGGTGGGTGAAGAGCGAGTTGACTCGGACGGCGAGGAACCGGTAGAAGCAGGTCATCGGGTACATGGACGACCGGCCGAAGCCGGCGAGGTGGGTGAGGGACGAGGAGCAGGAGTGGCGGAGGCGGTGTATGAATTTGTTGGTAGCGGACCAATTGAATTTGGTCGCCATTTTCTTTTACTTTTCTATACGTTTTGTTTTGGTATAATCTTTGTATTTGTGGGGTTCTGTTTCTTGGCCGAGCGGCCGGGTTTAAATAGGGGGAGAGGATTTGTGAAACGCATATTGATCGGCGAAAGGTGGAGATGATGCATTAATATGTAATAGGGTGAGTCAGCATTTTGTGAGTAATTTTGGATTTTCGGGTGAACATAAATAATACATTATTGTTGTTTGTAAAAGATTGGCAAAGAGTTTGTAATTTTTTTTCAACAAATAATTTGTAAACCTTACAAATGAGTACAACATTTAGATATAGGGTTTGTAAATCGTCTATTAATATGTACATAGTTTTGTAGGTATTTATAAAGAGTATGATACACGCAAAATTATACGTGCCCATATTGAAAAAAAAATTAACTATAAAATGATGGATCATATATTAAGGTGAACTTATTTTAGGGATGACACATAAATCGATAACAGTTGATTAAAGCACAAGATATGGTGGGCCTGTGCAAACTTGAGTTGCGAAGCTTGCCTCTATTTTGTAGGGTTGCTTTGAGTGTTTTTTGACGGATTGATGTAGTCAGTTGTGGCCGTTTTACCCATGGGTTAATGCCACGTTTGGTCACTGAGATTACTAAATCATGTCATGCTTTAGTCACTCAAAAAATTTTAATATCAATTTTGGTCGCTCGAATTATTGAAACATGTCACATTTAGTCACTCTCCCATTAGTTTCCGTCCAACTCAATTAATGGAGTTGGACGGAGGCTAACGGAAGAGTGACTAAATGTGACTTGTTTCAGTAATTCGAGTGAATAAATGTGACATGTTTAGTAATTCGAGTGACCGGAGTTGGACGGTGATTAACAGAAGAGTGACTTAATGTGACATGTTTCAGTAATTCGAGTGACCAAAATTGATATTAAATTTTTCTAGTGACTAAAGCATGACATGATTTAGTAATCTCAGTGACCAAATATGACATTTACCCTTTTACCCATTTTTTTAGGCTTGATTAAGTGAGCTTAATCAAAATGCTAATTACATGGGGGAAATTAGTAGTATATATTGTAATTGCAATTTTTATTATGCGGTTATTGTTATGATTATATGAATTAATGATGCTCTGTGTCGGCAGTTGTTGTAATGTTCTATGCTGGCTTGTTCCTGGCCACTGCTTCTACTTAGGCTAATCACTTTTGTCTTGGTAATTTGATCATAATAAATAATCGATCGCCAATTTGCTATTAAGACAAAAAAAAAAATCGTGCACAATTATACTTTCAATAGTTTTTAGCAAATGAGGGTAATTCTAGTGATTAAATAAGCATATGATTAGAATTTAGAGGCCACAGATTGATTGAGTTCAAGAATTCGTGAATTTATGAATTGGATATTGAATTCGTGGATTTATAGATTGTATTAGCTGATTCATGTGCGTCTAAATTTTAGATCATTCTGAAAATTTTATATACAAAATTCGTTCTAAAAAATTCTCTCTAAAAATTTCGAGAGAAATAGAAAGAGAAGAACATAAGTTTTGTTTATGATTTGCACTTCTTTTATTCACATCAACAACTTTTAGCAAACCATCAGTCTCCTTTGATTTCGTAGCTTTTGTTTTTTGGGTAAATGACACCGTACACCGTACCTTCTCCAGATCTTAAGAACATCAAAGGACTGATTTATTTAATTAATTAATTTTGTAAGTAAGGGCGCCGAGTATACAAGAATTTGAAGACAGTTCTAAGAACAATTAAAGGGTACATTAAAAATGATTAGAATAACATACACAGTCATCAAATATGGATCATTTTCAATCGACAGACTCAACAGAAGCTGGTAGCTAAAACTTGATCGAATAGAAATTAAATGGTAGCGTAAAAATGATTTATAATAATATGCACGGGGAATTCTCGAAGTATCTTATATTTAAGATATATAGCGTATTAGCTTTTTATGACCATAAGAGAAGATCGTGAAAAAAATGAAGTCAAAAGGCGTCCATTGTCTAATGGATAAGACAGAGGCCTAACAATCTGACGCTTTAGTCCACCCAGACCCAGTCATCTCTCCCAATTAAAGAAAGATAATTACTAATTAAGTTAACGTGATTAGTTAAACTAAAAATAGCACTAAAATCCCACAATGTAATCAGAAAAGGTAGCGTGACCAATATGGGAATTTACCCTCAGTTGACAACATTGGATTGTTAATAGGTTAGGGTTACACTAATAATTCGATGTCTTTAATATAAAAAATAATAATAATTCAATGTCTTTCGTCATTTCCTAGTTTTGAGTTTTGACATGCGTGAACCACGAACGTTGGCCAAGCAATGAAAACAGGAAAAAAGTTTTGAGAAAGAAATGAGTGAAATAAAATAGTGGTGTGTATGGCCCGACTTTTGTAAGAGAAAATTTTATTTTAGAAATATTAGTCAGGCTAAACAATTCTCCAAATTGGGCTTTTGATAAATTTCAAAAAGAGTGAGTTTAGTGCAAACGTAAATTATTATTGTTCTATCCAAAATCAAAGAGTGAGTGATAAAAATTTCTCTATCTTTCTTTCTTTCTGAAATTTTGTCATCTGGAATTCGAAGTTCTTCAATCGGAGCTCATCAATGGATCTTTGTACATTCCTAAATCAGTCGGTCGGATAGGTAGCAGTTAAGCATAGGGATAACAGTTTAGTTGGTTACATTCTGACATTTCCTCCTTCGATGTGTCGCTTCATTACTGCGAAAACTCTTGATAGAAAGATGATGATCACTTGGCTGGTGCTATTCTAGTTCCTATTGGGATTTGTATGTCAGTTAATTAGTTTTTGAAGAGAGGTCGTGGCACTATCAAGATAACATATGTTCATGTCGTGGCCCGGCCCGTGGGGAGCTCATAATTCAAGCATTGAACATCGATAATTTGGTAGTTTTGATATGGGTAAGGCTTTTTGGTTTTCTTGCAGAGATGTCATTGCATCTAGAGTAGATGTGGTTTGTCGAGTTGCGAGTGCCGAGTATCCTGGGTAAGCCTCTTTGAATAGACCAACCAACTAGGCAGAGGCCGCAGCTAGGTTATGCGAAAATCTATATGGAAATCAGTGCAAGGCGAATCCAATTTTATTTAGTGAATACGACTTTTTTTTCCTGGTGAAATGTGAATACGACTTCTGATGGAGAGCCTGAGATATTTGTTACATTATGAACAACTGAGCCCCAATTGATTTTATGATATACGAGTAATCAATCCAAAGTAGAGGTATTGTCTGAGGCCCTATATATAGAATACGATCCTAGATCATTCTAGGATTTAATTTATTAAATTTGAGGCGATACTACGCTCTCGTTAGGTATGCATATACAATATACTCTTATGTTTATGCAATATGGTATGTTGGATGTGTAATGAAATTTACTAAACGTACGATAATATTAGTGTACACCAAATGCAAAATAATATTAGTGTCCTTTACTGAGATGAAGATACATAAATGCAGAAGTAGATGCAAAGTTTAAAATAGCAACATTATTATTCATGTAAGTCAAACATTACATGTTAGCCAAAGGGAAAAAATACTAGAAAACTACAATGATTGGGAATTTTATATCTCCTATATGTATTTATTTATTTATTTATTTGGGTATTGTTTTTATGAACGATGAAAAGAGAGGACCGGCTTCGGTTCGGTCATTCACAATTATTATCGGCCTGCGACAACTGCATGCCTTCGGATGCCATAAGCAGCTGATGTTGTTTTTGTTTTTATTTTTCACATCACAATATAATGAGAAAAATAAGCATAAAGGAATTCATCTTCAAGTAGTATTTCTTTAAACTGGTGAAAATCAAAGAATGGCAAGAACTCGGATCACAGAGAAATGGTTTTAATTAGGAAAAAAAAAGGTTAATGTTCCACCGCAGCGATCTACACACACAAAATTAAGTTACATTTTCACGCAATCCTATCAATTATTTATCGATGTTCATTTATCTTTATTCACATGACCTACTTTTTTCAAGCACTCTCATTGACATCCACTTAATATGATGTATAAGTGGAGAGTGCATGAATATAATGGGTTGTCTGGTATTTGCGATTGTTAAAATTGATGTATTGTATGAATGCATGCATTATAAATTGATGTATTGGTTAAATATAATGCTTGCATTTTAATATTACAACGTTTGGTAGTTGTGATTGTATTTTTAGGAATGTAGTAGGAAAACCACTTTTTGGATGAAAAGTCACATTTACCCTTCAGTTTAGATATAAAAGTCAATCACATATAAAAGTTGATAAGGGCATAAAAGAGAAGAAAAGTTGATTCATAATCTCAAAATATAATCTCAACAATCTCACCAAATAGTTGAGATTCTAAATCATTCATTTTGAATGATTTCAAATGTCACATCAACAATCAAATACATGCATTGTGTTTTATTTTGCAACAAAAAAAAACGATGCATTCTCTACAATACATGCATTCATTAAATACATCATTTAGATACGCATCTACCAAACGACCCCTAAGAATACGTGTATTCTTGCAATGTATGCATTATAAGTGTAGTGATTGTAAGAAATAGGTGACCATAAGAATATGTTGTTTGGTAATTGTGATTCCCACTTTTGAGAAATATAAGGATTCTCACTTTAATGACCAAAAATACTTATATAACCCTGAACTTCTCTTTATATAATCATTAAAGGAGGGGAAAATATGAAATATAAATTATAAAAGTGAAAAAAATCAATTACAAAAGTAAAGCAAGATAATCTCACCTTTTTGCAGAGATTCTAATGAGTGATTCTGTGAATGTGTGTATTCGTTACAATCCATCATTCTTTTGAATTAAACTTGTCAAAAGACTTTTGACAAGTTTAATTCAAAAGAATGATGGATTGTAACGAATACACACATTCACAGAATCACTCATTAGGAAGAGTATATAACCCAACCTCAACCTAACACATGGAGGGAAGTAGACAAGAAACTTTATCATTCTATTTATTGTATGGACAACCCAATTCACAAAATGAGACACTAACAAAAACAAAAAAAAATGAACAGAGATGCACCCCACCCCTAAAACCACTTGTGACGAAAGTTTAGTACTATTGACAACCTACTGCATCATGCACATTATCCACTTTGAAATTGTGAAATAAGTTCCCATAAAAAAATTTGTCAAATAACCATTTCGGTACCACCTTCAATTACAGCCGGTGACGACGCGTCACCAGATTTTGATTTGATTGGGGTCCTTTAAAAAGATTTTGAGTTTTCCCCCCTCCCTTTATGGATGCAATTGCACTGCCAATAAAATTGAAATGATACTAAGAATTAAGAAACTGTTTGGATGATGGTGGTGGTACGTACTAATTAAATTGGGTGTACGAAATTGATGGTTGGACAGTTTGAAGACCGACCACATGCAGGTGGCAATTGATCGGCGGTTTTGGAATAGAATATGATTTTCGAATAAAATAATATTATAATAATAATAATAATAATAATAATAATAATAATAATAATAATAATAATAATAATAATAATACCTACAGTCTTAAACTACAATCATGGAGTTGTATATTCCCAATTCATGTCGTGGTCGAGTTTTTTCTCGATTATTGTTGTCAACCAACGGCAAGTTATCAATATCTTTATTTGGGTTAGAAGAAATTATCCATTCTATGATTCTGAATTATATCCAAATCTTTAATTTGTATGTAGTTTAATCGTCATAATTACATCTCCATGTGAGTACCAATTGGAATTATTTCAGTTTAAGTGTGATGAGATTCCAACCAACACCATGTTTCGAGGAGGATTTGGAAATCACCAACTATATTAATTACATTTCCAATTAGGAGTTAGCTTAGCTGCTCTGTCTAGGACAGATATAAATGAATCTTCTCCTATTATAGAAATTAATGAGTTGGTTTTTTGCCAATCTTTCACAACATGAGTTGATTCATGATAGCAGTATGGCGAGTCTGTGCAGATTTCAAGTATGTGGGTTGCATTTTATTGGTATGAGCAATAGTGGTGAATCTAGAACTAAATTTCGAGAAATTTACTAAAAATGTTAATAAATTTGTCTAATGAATAGTTGAAAATTTACTTATATAAATTAACGAGAAAAACCCTGCTTAGTTTTAATCATCAATACTTGTTGTTGCATTAAAAAGGGACGAGAAGTTGCTTGAATATTTTTTATTTCGTCGTTGAATGATTTAATTTTATATATAATCTCCTTTCAAAAGAACTTTATATAGATATAATATCGACTGATTGAAGTTTTTCTAACATGATCTACTTCCGCGTATAAGCCGTGTCCGACTAATATAATACTTACTCTCTTATTTGTTTGTGGATTTTCAATATATTATTATTTACTTTGCCCAATCCGTTGTTCGTCCCCTCCATCCCATCTTCTCCACCTTTTCGTTTTTCAATGACTCTTCCTTCCAAACGCCACTCCACTCTTTGTAGATTAGTCAGAAAATTTTCTAGACCGTACTGGGGAAAAAAAAATCCACACTAAATTAGGGTCCGACCTGTTAGTCCGGAGAATTTAATACTCATGTATAATTTTAAGTTTTCGTGCTTAATTACGTGATTAGCAGTGTCCAAATTTTACGTCCATATCTTAAGCGGCGAGTTAGGCGGTCAGAAAATTGAATGAGAGATATAGTAGAGCTATCGAGTTTCTTCCTTCCCGTTGGCCGATTAACATTATGCATGTTCATATTTGATTGTTTATATTTATTAGAAGCACGGTTCATTAATGAAACAAATCATAGAATCCAAGACTGGACCATAAGTGCATTCGATCTGGCAGGATCCGATGAAGTTCGTTCGAAATGTCCCATCATAACATTTTTCTTTTGAACTTGTATGATTGGTAGGATGAAGGTTCAGGACATATTAGATTCAATTCGATATGGTCTTGGTCAAAGTTTTGTTGCGTCTAGTGTGGTTTGGGGTTGACCATCAAAACTTGAGAGCAAATGACAAAATTAGAGTTACATCCAATATACTAATAGACTCGATCAAAGTAATTAGGCACAAAATTAGACACTCCTTATGTACAGGTCCAGTAGTTTGAATACTGAATCGACCTTAACTTTAGTAAATCAATCAACGTTTCCTCGTTTTAACATAAACATAGGTTGTGGTAGTTGCAACAACCATAACACCTAAAGATCCAATAGTTTCCACTCTCCGTTGTACAACCAAATTTTTATCCCTCCATCTTCAATCTCTCGACGTATATGTTTTAAACCAAAATTCAATTTATAATCCTCCTTCTGCAACTCCATTTATGCTACTTTGATGAACCTTCTCTCCATGAACCTGAATTTCTTTATCAATTGAGTTTCTTGTCAGCTTGATCTCCAACTCCTTAATCCTCTTTATTGTATTTGGCCAACTCATTTTCCTCGGGGCAGTTTTAATAAACTCGTAAAACCAACACTCATCTTCAATTCCATCAATACGCTTGTCTCCTCCTTCTCTTCCTTCACCTGATCCAGTTCACTTCCATGTCCTTCAATATCCTCTCCATTTTGATTAATATCCTGATCATCTACCACTTCTCTCTCTTCAACTGCTCTGATTTTGTTTCTATGTCTTTCAATACCCTCCTTGGTTCAATCACTACCCTGACAAACTGCCTCTTCACTGCCTTCACTTGCTGCAAACTACTTCCATGACTTTTTATACACCTTCCTCAAAATCACAATCAACTAACCAATATCAATCCATGGCCTTGGATAGTTTTAAACTCTCTATGAACATCTCGATACCACAAAGTCTAAATCTATATATTCATTTAGTTAATCATGAACTTGAGTTTATCAAAATCTAATCCACTCCTTCTAAGTTGGAATTCCCATCCCCCAAGCTCATTTTTGGTTCATTTGATCCCACATAACCATGATATTATACCTCTAACTAAAATAAATCAAAGCATTTTACGAAGAGAAACCGAACCATGAACTTTACCTACTACCAAATCCAAAACACAATTTCTTCCTCTCACCACTTCCCTTCCCAAACCCAATATCAACTTTTACTCCAAGTTCACACCCTCAACTCCCAGTGTGTTGCGTGAAAGCTTAATTTTAGCAATCATTATACTTGCAATTAGATTAATGAACACCAGCAAGCGCCAAAATTCCACCAGACGATGAGTTGTCTTCACTTTGAGTTTTGTCATAAAACTGCTGCACGATATGTTTATCAGTTTGGAGGCATACGATGAGCAATACCGAATCAGTTGCAGCGAAGTTACCGGTCACAGTAATGACAATGTGAAACATGTGTTAAAAAACAGGAATATGGGTTGCTTTTATGGATTGACATTAGAATGATGGGATTGGACAATGAGATCGTCCTTAGTTAAGCGACATGTATTTTGGTTCATTTGGTATGGAGGACACAAACCGTTGAAATTCTAAATTATTTGGGTGAGTTTGTATTTAGTGTTTTCAAAATCGGGGTATATGAGTTAGGTGATTAAAATATCTAAACCCAAACGAACCGACCCACGTACACCCCTAGGAAGAGTTTCAAAACTTAGTATTTAACCGTACAAAAATGTTCAGAGAACCAGTCGCCTATAGTTTGCACAAAGATATGATTGCTTCACTATAGTTCTGGAAATTAATGGTAATTTAAGAATTCTATATCGTTTCTACATATTCAATACTATAATTTGATATGATTTATTCGAACCAACAATATTTTGGTTGCAAATTTATGGTTATCGTCTATTTATAAGATAGATAAATTTTAAATTAAGTACTATACTATAATTAAAATAAAAAATATCAAAATCGAAGTATCAAAACACCAAATAAGTACTTACGGAATATTTATTGGGCTAGCTAACTGTTGAAAAGTTCTGTGATTTCATATTTTAGCTTCGTATATATTTTTAATTTAAAAAATACGACAAATCTACATAGTCTGATTGATTTTAAACCTTCACTTTGTTTGAGTTCCCATGGTTCAAATCTCAATATGTCTATCTTTTCCTGTAAATAAATAAAAAATACAGATAATTGTGAAGACAAAAATATCTTTCCTAATTTCCCTCTCATTGCAGGAAATTTAAAAAGGGAGATTAAGTTTCAAATAATTAAATCATATACTAACAACATAATCAATGATCCTTATTCGCCTAGATGTATACAACATACCATATGCACTATATTAGAATTTAGAGAATTATGATATAGGGTTTGGTTCTGTGATTGATCTATGGTCTAGATAATGTTATTTAACTAAGGAGATACAATAACGCTGAATCCATCGAGCGTACCATTGAATTTCCAGTGTATATACACATACCATTGTTTGTTAAATTTAGCCAATGATAATTGGCTCATTTGTCAATGGTATTTAGCCCTTCAATTCTATGCTTATAATTGTTAACCATTAGGGAAATTGTTAGCCAATGATTTTTGGTCATTCACTTATAGCATTGAAAATGTCTCGTTACAAAACCATAGATCACAAATGTCAAATTTTATGTTTTGAAATAAAATTTTGTATAGCACTTTTGTAAACAATCCTTGTATTCCTACAAACTACAAAATCATGTAACCTAATAAATGTAAAAGTTGTAAGACATACATAAACTCAAATGTACTATTTGATTCTTGGTGAAGAATTGTGTGATTAGAGGAACTCACTTAGTTGATTCATAAAGCTAGGTATATCATGATGATTCACTTTGTAAATAATTACAGTTATTAATTAATTCGATGATTGATTGTTGCGGTGGATATTCCTATGATTTTGAGATATTTCAGTATTTTCTCTCTTTGATTCAAAAAATACATAAACATTGTTGCAGTCCAGTTGGTTAGGATATTGACTATCAATTTGAAGGACTCGAGTTCAAGTCTTTGTAATGATATTTTTTTCTCGTAAGAAGATATTTAAGTTCTAATATTTAAGTTCTAAGTTGAACTTACAAATTTACCCCTACCTACAATTAAGGAGAGTGCAAGAAACTTGAAATGCTCAAAATCTCCTGAAGACTACTATATATTATAAAAGGATTAGTATTTGCCCTTTGTTTCCTTTATTTGATTATTATGTTATTTTCTTGTCCGGTTTGACTATTTATATGAGATCTCACTTATCTTTTGCTTTTTTTTCGTTGATAAGAAAATGCAAATGAATGAATGTATTAAATACCTAACAATTTATTAATACTTAATATTAGCAACCAAACAATATAATGCAAGGAAATAAATTTTGGAATTTCGTTTTTTCACTTCATTTAGAGTATTTCTCAATTATTGGATTTAAAATGAACTAATGTATGAATATATAGTTTGCATACTTGTACTTGGATATTTTAGCTTCCAAATGAATTCATTTGTATCTTTAGGTAAATGAAAATAGTCAATAAACTTGAAAGCTATATTGTTTGTTGTTAAATCATTTGAATTGAAGTATGAAAGTGCTTCAAAATTGTTATCTCATTCATCATTTTTAAAACTACTATTTTTCTTCTGAACTCTAAGCCTGTCTAGGCGAGCTAGGAGATAAGCAAATGCCCAACGACCACCTTACGCCTAAATGCTAATTGAATCTCGATAATTATAGCAAATTTTAAAAATTTGATCACTTCTATTTGGTCTATTTGAATACATTCTGAAAATTGATCAATCAAAGAGTCATACATATTGGACAATTAGTATGAATAAATTGTAATATGATGATAATGTATTGCATTTTGAATCCGCAGCGTAAAAGACAATATATACTAACTCAAATAGAGTTTTAGGTGCACAATACTTCATATTCATAGGTGGACAATTACTTTAGAGAGTTCAAATATTGAGTGAGTATGTTGAATTTTACCTAACAAATCTATGATAGCAATTGCAAGATATGATACGTGTAAATTTTTTGAAAAATTGTTAATATGCTTAAAATGGACACCATTGAATTTAAGTGATAAGCAAAATTTATGGTCAATAGATTATACATGAAAATTATTCATCATTTCCTTAAGTTGCTAGGAAGTCGAGTGTTATTAGAAAAGACACTTGGAACCAGTCATGACTTACTTTTCTAATCCTTTTTTTAATCGAATCATATCTCATTCGCTTTAACTCGAAAATTTAAAATACACATAGAAATTAATTATGCTCTACACAATAATATTCATTTTTTTATATTTTGACGAAAATAAAAATTAACTCTTCAAAACACGTGTTTGTTGTAGTATTTTTTTTAGTGATGATTGTAATATTATCAACTATAATTTTGCACATAAAGAGGTCATTATTTATGAGCTACACAATGATATCAATTTTTTATATGTTGAGCAAAGTAAAATTTAGTCATTCAAAACATGTGTTTGTCGTAATCTTATCATAATCATATCATGAACTTACCACTATGGTAAGACGGCGTGAAATTTTTTTGTACAATAAATATCAAAATGGATATCATCTTGTAGAGCACAAAAAATGATATGTCTATGCAAAAGTATTTTGAAATCTAATATAAAACGACCGTATCCGTTTTAGACCAAGCTCACACAGATTTACTTTTGAATTCATTCCCAAAATGTATCGTACTAATGGAGATTGGTGGACAGTTATGTAAAATGGTAGATGTGGTACTTGAATTGCCACATAACAATCTTCCGATCAAAACAAGGATCACGAACTTTGTATCAACACGCTTTCACGTGTTGAGACTGAATGATTCATTAGTACGAAATTGTCCTCTTTAGACCAAACCCACACAGATTTAATTTTTAATTCATTCCCAAACTGTATCGTACTAATGGAGATTTGTGGACAGTTATGTAAAATGGTCTTTTCCCTTGGCTATCAGATGTGGTACATGAATTGCAAATAACAATCCTCCCATCAAGACAAGGATCACGAACTTTGTATCGACACACTTCCACAAAAGAATTTACCAAATTCAGATCTCCACTTGATCCACCAGACATAGATCTCCCTTGACCCATCAAACATATGCATATCTCAAATCCTGAGGTGACGGAATGAGGATCAACCAAAATAAAGTTCACCACCCTTGATATGGACTGCGAAACCAGGCTCCAATATCACTTGTTCAAACCAAACGCTTCATTAATATGATATTGTCTGCTTTCGATCAAGCCCACACGATTTTACTTTTGGATTCCTTCTCAAAATGCCTCATACTAATGGAGGTAGGTAGACACTTATATACAAAAGTAATTTTCCTTATATTTCTTATGTGATACTTGAATTGTACTCTAACAATCCTCCCTTAAGAAAAGGATCACTAACGATATGTCCTCCCCTTAGTGATTCTTGATTTGCAAACACATTGTTTTGACAGGCTTTTCTACACAAGGATTTACTAGATATTTTTTCAATAAAAAAAGATTTACTAGATGCATATATCCTTTGATCAACTAGACGAAAACATATCTCCTTTGATCCACCAAAAAGACACATATCTCTTTTGATCCGCCTGACCGACGCAAATCTCAAATCTCGAGTTACTCAATTGATGGTCCATCAGACTGACATCCAATACTTTGAACCCAAACCCTAAAATCAGGGTCTGATACCACTTATTTAGATTGGATGCTAATATAATAGAAGAGTCATTTTCATTATTTTTCTTATATTATACTAGAATTGTAGCCTAACATATTGAAATTGAGCGCATTTGTTATCCTACTTTTTCACAACGTAATTCATATCTAAACAATGAATATTACCAGAAAAGAGAGTTGTGAGAATACCAAATTCTCCAAAAACTTACTAATAATATATTGAGGACGTGCCTAAGGGTTATCATGTTCACTGTTTTGTGCTAAATTCTCGTGGGGTTATAAATTGTCATGTTCGTTGCTCTGTCTGTTAGAAATACCGCAAGACCATTAAACATTTTTCCCCTAGATATTTGGTGCTCATCAAAATGATATCCACTTTGATATATTTTTCAAACAAACAAAATTGAGCCATTTTTTACCAGTCTATACCATATGGTATTGACTGGTATTGAAATAAGAGCATACCTATGGTTTGAAAAACGTATCACGGTGGTATGAACAAACCAAGACTGTAGGATGGTTGAATACATGATAGTAGAAGTATATTAACTGTCATTTACGACTTTTATCATTGTGTACCACAAAATACCACCCCGTACCTAGGGGTGAGATTCGGTAACTCGGTAATCGGTTTACCGTTTTACCGAACCGGTAACCGGCGGTAAACGGTAAATCGATTACCGACGGTAACGGTAATCGAGGGCCGTTTGGGAGATCCAATTTACCACCCCCAGTCTCGGTAAATACCGACGGTAAGTCGGTATTACCGAAACCGGAACGCGACGTTTTACCGCCCTCGTCACCTGGAACGCGACGTTTTACCCAAACCCTTAATTAAAAAAAAAATCATTGAGGCCAAGCCTCCAGATCCACCTGCCTCTCGCTTCGCAGTTCGCCTGCCGCCTCTCCTTCTCCAAATCTTCTCGTCGCAACTCGCGACTCCGCTTCTCCGACAAAGCCGCGTCGCCGGAGTTGCAGCACCCGCCGCCCCAGTCCGCCTCGACTCGCCACCGCTAGGACCGCCACCGCCAGGACAGTGACAGAAGCCTTCCTCGACTGGAGAGACTTGGTGTACCATTGTATTGTAAAGCAACCAAGAGTGTTCTGGTCGAGTAAACATATTACCTTTGTAATAGCTAGGAAAATCATTCTTTTGACATTTGGTACGAGTGATATATATGAGGTGAATGCCATTAGGTCCAAACTTAAACAAAACATCCATTTGTATTTCTCAGTTCTTTCTCCTGCTAATTTCACCTCCACCGGGTCGGTATTTCGATAATACCGGTTTGTAACCGTTTACCGGTAATTCGGTAATCGGTAAACAGTTTAGCCAACGTCGGTATACCGAAACCGGTAAATTCGGTAAACAATTTACCGTTTGCCGACCGAATCCCACCCCTGGTATTGTGTGGTATTTTTTGGTCATGTAATTTGTTCACCCAGAAATTTTTAGATCCAATAGATCATGATGAACTCGTCCCTTCTGTGCAAACGTTTTCAAAAATGAATTAAAAACGAAGAAAATACAATATGGTATGCAGTTGGTACCGAGAAACCATAATTTTTTTTCTCAAAAAAATATTGAAAATTGATCTCATTTTGCAGAGCACGATGAACTCGTTTCATCTGTGCAAAAAAAAAATAATTTAAAATCCGAGTAAAAACGAAAAAGATATGAGCTGATTAAAAAAACTAGGGAAAATAAAAATTGTCTTTAATTCTCCATCCTTAAATATGGATTTTCTAAATGAAGGGTTCAGATTTGGTTATTGATTGATGGGTTATGCACCCTATCTTGAGCCCTTATAAATATATTTGGTCGGACTTTAATTTTTCAAACACAAAAGTACTCCTCAAACCCGGGCCAAAGACATAATACATTGTTTTTTCTATTTATGGTTTAAATAGATGATACTCTGTTTCGGTAAATTCTTGTAAGGTTCGGTAATTGCTAAACTTTCTGCCGTCGACATTGACTTTCAATTGTAACTGGTCATGTGTGTAACAATTAGGATGCCTTTTTCATTGTTTCAATTGACCAAAGAGGAGACCAGAAAATTTGAGTCGCCTGGTAATAAATGAAAACACACACAGCCAGCCGTCGTCATTTGAGTTCTTGATTGTCGACTTCCAAATTGGAAATACTATACTATCGTTAAATCAAACCCTTATATATACTACACGGTCAAGTCAAAACTGGCACATGCCCTAGAGTATCAAACGAAGAACACAACTTCACGACGCCCAACTCCTGATTTGTACTGGACCTGTTAAGTTCGTGGTAACGGTGTTGAGTAAATTTGAGGATAAATAAAAAATAAAAAAAACAAAATAACAAATGACACTTACTGAATACATTCTTCTATACAAATATCGTTGAAGGTATAAGTTTAGTTTGTATATAAGTAATTCGACACTTCAGACTATTGGGTCCTCCCACGGTATTTTGTTCTCGGGCTTCGAGTCCATTCGGAGGAACTCGAATCGCGTCATGGTTTGGGTCACATTTTGATCCGTCGAACAAATTGGGTATCGATAAATTGTGGGTTATATTAGGTATGGGAGTATGGTTTGGGAAATGAAGGAGAAAGTTGATTGCTTTCGAGGGAGCTGACGACAGGTCGGCGGTGGCTTGAATTTGGGTAGTGCAGGTCGATATAGTGGGGGTGATGGTGTCAAATGTTTGACTTCTTTCCATGTCACAAAAAATTCCATCTCACTAAAACTTTTGCCACATCAGAATCAACTGATGTTTGATCGGATGGAAACAAACCTATGAATTATTAACAAGCCAACTCATAAGAGATAGATCGATTTGCACACAAGTTGTTAATCGAGTTGGCTCGCTAGCCACATTGTTGAGACATCTCGATCATGAGCTCAAAACGAATTAGTTCATCAAGAGTTGAGCCCCACAAGCCACCAGGTCGAACTGGCTCGCGAGTGAGTAAGGTTTAGTTAAAAAACGGCTCATTAGTAAACAAGTCGAGTTTCATACGAGTTTTTCCCAACCCGAATGTGAAGTCGCTCATGAATGACTAAACTCATTCACAGCCCTACAACGTGGCACCCATTCTTCTTCATCCTTTTTTTTATACTTTCTAGTAAGGCTGGCTATTTGGTCTTGGACGGTTTGGTTTTACCCAAAACCATACCGTATAACCCGGATCGGGACCGGGACCGGATAGCAAACAATGCAATCTCATATTCGTGCTTAGATTTGAGGTAAAAAAATCGGATAAGAGACCCCCAACACCTAAAATCAAGATAAAATTGGGACCGGACCGGGTCAAAACCGAACCGGATCAAGACCAGACTGTATCCAATCCAATCTTTGGTCCTTATATTCTCGAAAAGACCGGAATGGAATCGGATCAATTTGGTCCAATTTAACCGGACCGGACCGTATAGCCACCCCTACTTTCTAGCATTGTTTCGGAAACCCTACCATACTCGACTGTCCAACCAAAAATACCGGATACCGAATCCCAAACGGTAGGAGATTTTAGCAGTAAAATACGATTGAACCAAGGTGTTGAATCACATATTTACTACAAAATATCCTATCATTCACTTTTACTATACTGTACGGTTTCTGGTACGGTTTCACAAACATTGCTTTCTAGGGAGAGAATCATGAAGAAAAAAAAAGGAAAATATTCAAGTTAGTTAACCCTTAACAATTACATGTTAACAAACAGAAAACAATAATAGAACTCCAATGATTGAGCATTTTATATCCATAGTTGCATATTTAAATAGCTTTTGTTAGGGAAAGAGAAGAAAGGCCGATTTATTTATGCAATTATTAGGGCGGTCGGAATAGTAGCCAACCATGTTAAGGGGAAGTATAGGGCTGGTTTCAATCATTCACCATAATAAGTCTTCGAACATAGATAGATAGATAGAGGCAATTGTGATAAAAGAAAATAGATAGATGCAATTACAATAATAATAAGAGGATGATTAAAACAACACTTTTGAAGAGAGTTATGAGGATTCAAACAACTTATATATGTTATTAACTTTTTTATAAATTTCTTGATGAATATTCATCCATGGGTAAATTTGACCTTACTGGTCAATAATCATGCATAATCCAACCAACAGTTGACACATTAGTACCCTCCTTCCATTTATGGAAGAACTCTAACCTTTTTCCTGTATTTTTAAAGGACAATTTTTCTCTCGTTTTAAATCATAATATAATTTTTTTCACAAATAAATTAGATTAATTATGCTCTTCAAAATTATATTCACTTTGATATACTTTTGAAACAAAAAAAAAAAAATGAGACATTTTTACTGGTCTATATCATGGTGATATTAATTGGTATTAAAGAAAGAGCATATCATATGGTATGAAAGCATACCATGGTGGTATGAATATACTAGACTATAGGATGGTTGAGTACATGATGGTATGATAACTAACTGTTGTTTACGACTTTCGAGTTTCAACATTGTGTACCATAAGATACCACCTCATACCAGGGTGGTTTGGGGTGGTATTTCTTGATCCTGAATTTTTTTCCTCACAAATTTGTAGATCTAGTAGATCATGATAAACTCGTTCCGTTTGTGCAAATATTTTCAAAAACGACTTGAAAACGAAAGAGATATCATATGGTATAGAGTTGGTAACGATATGTATGAATTTTTTTTCTAAAAAAATATTGAAAATGAATCTCATTTTGTAGAGTACAACGAACTCATTACATCTGTGCAAAAAAAAAAAAATTAAAATCCAAGTTAGAACGAAGAAGATAAGAACCAATTAAGAAAACTAGGGAAAATAAATTGAATTCAATATTCACAATTCTTAGATCTGAATTTTCTACGTCCACTTAAATTTAAAGGTCCATATTTAGTTATGAAAGTTTGCGAAACCAATTGTACATGATATGGGTAATCAAGTGGGATGGTTTATTCAATTCTCAGCCCACAAACGTAAACTTCTCACCGTTAGTTAAATGTATATAATCCATAAATGAATTTTTTTGGGTATAGTTTGCACCATCTAAATATCATATGCTTAATATCGAGATGCTTAACCAAGACATTATTAACATATAAGAATCACTTAATTCTAATAAATCAAATTATTAAAACCAACTGATTTTTTAGCTCTGCCGCCGATGGTAGATTAATATTAAATAAAATAATAATAGACTCAATAATGAATGGATGATGTACCAGAACCAGATTGAATGTACGAATTTGTGCTTTGGACAGTTGAAAACCGACCACGTGCAGGTGGCAATCGATGAGTGAGTTCTACTGATTGATTTTTTTTTTAAGTGACAATATTATTATTATTATTATATCATGGGCTAATCTAGAATCTTAGTACAATCAGGGAGTTAAATATTCTTCAATTCATGACATGGTTGAATTTATCAATTATTGTGGTCAACCAATGGCAATTGGCAGGTGTAATGGTTTCCTTGGTTTTGTTTAAAGAAAAAGTTATGGTTTGTTCAAGAGGTTAGCAAATATTCACTGCATTTTAAATTTTAATGTATGTTCAATATCATACACTTATAATTAGTTCGAGAAATTGGTTAAGATCCACAACAGTTTGAATTATTCGAATCAGTTGGTTGGTTTTATGACATGATACTAGAGCTTATTTGTCCTTGAGTTCCGGTGTTCAAGTTCTCACGGTTCTCGATATTAACCGTTGATTTAAAGCACATGACACGATGTGTCTGCACAAAATTTCGAGTCCATGAGTTGGTTTTTGTTTGAATCGATAGTCTAAAATAGTAGTTAAATGGTGACAACCACATCAACAAGATAGCGAGATAAATTAAAATTATCAGGAAACAATAAATCTGGTACTTTTCAGTTTTCACAATAGTGGAGTCACGTTGAGGCATGATCCTCTCATCAACGTCCGAAAATAATTAAAATTCTATCTGTAAATATTTATAAGAAATTTGAAAAATAGAATATTTCACGAGGTATTAGCTATTCTCCCCAACTACATGGATCAAACTCCTTACAAAATTGAGCTGAATTTGTTTGTCCCTTTACCTCAGTTTTCCCTCTTCATCATTAACTTTTCACCTCTCCTTAAAATTTACACAAATATTTCTCATCATATATTAATATTGGATCATCCAAGCAACGCAACAAATTAAATAGCTCTGAGAAGCTGACACTAAAAAAGAAGTGATTAAACGGGAAAATGGATGAGAAGTTGGGGAACAAGGTAAATAAAAAAAATAATATAAATAAATCTCAGAATGACGACAATTAAAATGGGAATATATTTTAGGCAAACACGGCTTGTACGCGGAGGTACATATGATACAAATTTGATCACTTCTCTTATCTAAAATTAAATAATAAGAAATTCAAGCCGTTTTCGTTCAATATTATTCTATACAATTATTGTTGCCTAGTTCATTGCTTAATTGCACAAATGTGTAGAGCACGGTTTCATTTAATCATTCCTTGATAATTTTGGTGTGGGATTAGGTGTCAAAGCCATAAAAGCTTTAACATATATCAAATGATCTAACTAAGTTTTAACATATATAAAAATTCTCGTAAGTCGACGTTCTCTCATAAATCAAAATTCTCATAACCAAAACTTCTTTCCTTCAACCAGTTGGCAATATATATAGTCGCTCCACCCTCGACATGACAAATAGTGAACCTCCTCTTCACAGTGTAAGCAGATAGAGATGACATGACAATAATTGACGAATCGAAAAGAATTTAGATATGAAAGCAAACTTGTGATTTCAGATTTGCGAGAAAGTCATGTTTTGTTTTGTTGAATTTAGCATATGAAATTCAAACGTTAGATATTTAAAATCTCTGAAACATAGGAATATCAAATCTCTGTCAAAGAAAGAAAATTTGTATTTCGATATGCTTAATTTACTTTTTTTTCATTTATACGAGAGAATCACGGTTGTCAAACAATAAATTTGTTCTGAGATTCAGACTCCAATTCTCTAAAGGAGCTCCACTTTATTTCCTAATCTCTACTTCTCCAATAGAATTAAGGCCCGCCCGTTGGCCGGATGAATTACATCACTGGAATAATAATTATTCGAATCATTTATTTGATATCATGATGAATTCAAATTATTCAATTATTAAAAATATATAAAAAACTACATACATTATAATTTTTACAACATCATGATCATTAACAGACAAAAGTCCTTTTAAATGTAAATAACACAACTCATGCATGACGTTGATTCCTAAAAAACTTAATAATTGCTCGCCATCCAGAGCATCTTCTCCACACAAATTCATTAGAGAAACTTAATATACACTATCAATAGTCTCTTCTTTCTTCTCTTGCATTTCATTGATAACCAATTTTTAATAGTAAAAAGTTTGGTAATGTGAAACATCTTTTCACGGTAGTATAATTTCACCTCATACAACATCTCTTACCCTTGATATTAACATACTCTTCCTTCTCCTCGTACATTTCACTTAATGCCAAAGTTTAATGGCAAAACTTTTTATATTGAAAAAATCCATTTTCACAAACTTAAATTTACCTAATACATGTAATGCACTTTGTTTGAGAGCGCTCTACTTCATCCTTCCTTATCTTCAAAACTATGTACCCATATATGGGGTTTGCGAAGTTGTAATAATCAATGGGCTTGATCTAAAATTTAACTTCATGCTCTCGATTTGTATGTGATGAGAAGGTGAAGATTCTCTCATTTTGTCACTTTCTTTGAGTAGTTTCTCAATAGACATTCCAAAAATTATAGCTTCCTCACTATATGAACAATGAAGTTAGATTAAACAAATATTGTCTACAACTCACCGCTAATTCTGAAATTACAGAATAAAAATAAATGAGATACATTATTTGGTTAAAAAATTTATGTTTTAGTGGGTATGTTATTTTTTTCTCTAATAAATGAACTTGATGTTAAAAACAATAGAAGAATAGGGGTAAAAAATTTACCTAACTACTATTGTCTTTGGTGTTGTGGCAAAATATTTATAAAATTACTCATCAAAGTCTTCTACAACTTTTCTTGGCAAGTTTGACTTAAAATGGGTTTCCTAATCAATTTAAAATCAGTGTTGAAACGAATGAGATATAATATGCTATATTTGCATGAATTAAAAATCTATTAACTATAGCTCTTGAGATTTTTGCAGCTATAACTAAATGAGGTTGTGCACCAAAAGTTCATCCCTTTTACTTGGTTGTTTGAATATTGTACCAAAACACTGTTTTGTCAATAAGATAATTCTCCAAGGTGAATATATTTTTTAGGCGTGGAATCAATAAATATAGTACTCAATAATAGTATGAATTAACTTAAAAGCTCAAAATAATATTGAAACAGTTATAACATAACAAAATAATATGTTACTGTTAAATGAAATTTCGATAAGAATTATCATCTCACAAATATAATTCTTTCACTAATAATTGATCAAAACCAAAAGTTATGAAAAAGAAAGCAAACGGAGTTTCTAATTTGCCACTATGATAAAAAAAATTATATATCACAAACCTAGATCTAAGGTGGTATGATCTCATAATTTTTTTTCATTTCCCGAAAAATGAACTTAAGAAAGAAATTATCTAGTTAGTGGTTTTAAGTTTTAACAGTGAACTTCTAGTTTCCAAGGTGAATATATTTTTTAGGCGTAGAATCAATAAATATAGTACTCAATAATAGTATGAATTAACTTAAAAGCTCAAAATAATATTGAAACAGTTATAACATAACAAAATAATATGTTACTGTTAAATGAAATTTTGATAAGAATTATCATCTCACAAATATAATTCTTTCACTAATAACTGATCAAAACCAAAAGTTATGAAAAAGAAAGCAAACGGAGTTTCTAATTTGCCACTATGATAAAAAAAATTTATATATCACCAACCTAGATCTAAGGTGGTATGATCTCATAATTTTTTTTCATTTCCCGAAAAATGAACTTAAGAAAGAAATTATCTAGTTAGTGGTTTTAACAGTGAACTTCTAGTTTCTAGATGGAGATTGTGATCTACATTTCGTAACTCTAAAAAAAAATCAATACCCAAAAAAATAACTGAGGAATACACTAATAATTAATTAAATAATTATTGATTCATAAACCTTCTCACCATTATGAATTCTTATTAACACTTTGATTTTTTTGTATATGTTTTTATAAAAAAAACTCAAATTCAAAGTTATATTTGGTGTGTTTAGTTAATTTATTAATAATTAATTAATTAATTAGAAAAGTCTCACATATAAGACTTTGTCTCATACTCTTAATCTTCTATTAAAATTAAATTAAATTGAAAAATTGAACATATATAGACACGCACAACTCTTGGCTAAAATATAAAAATACTATCTTTCCTAACTAAAGTAATAGTTTAATATTAGTTTTACAGAAGTTACCAACGACATCTTTTTATTTTTCATTAGTATAGTTAATAAAGTATTCTGTTTGAGGTTTTATCAATTAAAATGACAAAGATGTCCCTCCTAAATTCACTCGAAAGACACGAAATTTAGAATTAATTATGTTCTCATGAAGAACCTCTTTATATTATTGTTAGGAGGATTAGGATTTATATGGGAAATTACCTCTAAAATTGGAAAAAGAAATTGGACACCCTAATAAATTCATTTCGTATTGATTTTACGTTTTATGCCTATTGGTGAGAACCTTTCGAGCATACAACTTGTGGATACAACTGTTCTACATATATACATCATATACTATTCTTCCAGCACAATCCCTCACACTTTTGTCAAACATTTGAATTGCACCTAGCTAGCCCGCATAATCCACCACTCCTGAAGAAAATTTGAGATTGTCATGTGAAACAGAACCCTGATTCCATAAACACAAAACACCATTTCAATAGGTACCAAAAAACCAAGTCATATTGCCCAATGTATTTATGTGTGAAGGTTAGCTATTCATCTAATAAAAACATTGAGTTGGAGAAAAAGATTTGGGCTATGGATTCATCGAATCAATAGATTCAACAGAAAATTATGTTCATTACTGTTCTTTTATAGTAAATTTCAGGTACATAGATTTTAAATTTCTAAAATCTAGTGATGAGAGAATCTACATTTATGAGAATTTTTATCCTCGTATTTTATACTTTCCTTTTTATATCAATCCCACTAGATATCCTTACAAATAATTTCTCATATTTTTCAAGCCTCTCTGATTCGCTTGTCTATGGTACAAGTTATTTGATAAAAAAGTGCAATTATATTTTTTTTAACATTAATAATAGTTACCAAATAAGGAACATTTTTAAAAAAAACTTCAACAATTTGGAGAGTTAGAATCTTTGAATTGTTTAGAATCTAAATATTTAGATTCCAGTAATTCTCGAAATCACGAATGAAAAACTTCCAATTCGTTGATACAAAGTTCTAAGTTTTCTTCTATCCATCTCAATCTTGGCTCATGAATTGTAATCATACACAACATCCTCAAACTCGAGAAATTAAACTCGACCCTAAATCAAAGTTCACTCCTTAGATAAGCAAAAATTCCCTAGTTGGGTCATTTGGTTCGTAAAATATTACAACATGTGACGTGTGTATAATCCATGCAACATACGGTTTGCTAAATATGACAAGAAAGAATTCTGGAAATTCCAATAATTTTTATGTATTTTATTAATTAGCGAAATAGTTTATCTACAAGTAATAAGATTAGGACGAGTAATAAACATGAAACGTCAATGCGAATTAGAGAACTAATCATGGATTGAACATTAGAGTCATATATCACCACTAGGGCTGGATTTTCGGTTAGATCGGTTATAACCGATAACCGAAATGTCGGTTACCGGTTAACCGCGACGCCAGTCTCGCTTACCGCCAACCGCCCGACGGAAGTCATCGGTTAGCCGGCAACCGACCGGTCGGTTACCGGTTAGTTGCTCGGTTAACCGTGGTAACCGACTGGTGAATCTTCTTCTCCTTGGAACAAGTCTCTCGCACGACCCACCGAACCACTTGGACTTCATGTACTCGTACTTCCTCCACGGCGCCAGGTGAATCTTCTTCTCCTTGGAACAAGCCTCGGCGGCGGAGCAGAGCATCTTGATCAGATTCTTCAGCCGGTCTACCCTGCCGACAAACACCTCCGGCAGCCGGGCGATTAGGTGGTTGTATTCGTCGCTCGCCCTCGCCATCTCGAACTCCGACCGGAAATTCAATTCGACGATCACCCTCACTTCCCCTCTCTTGGTCGAATTCTCCACCACTTCCAAGTAAGAATGCTCCCCTGTTCACAACCCATGAAAATGGATGGCGCTTAAGAATGATTCTCCACCACTTTCCTTCTCCTTCTGCTTCTGCTGCTTCTCCTTTTCCGCCTCCGCTTACTTCGCCGGTCGAATCCATCGGAGCTTAGGGTTGACTTCCGACGATTGCCTAGGGAGGTTATCGACGAGGAGAGTGGGGATTCCTTTGATCCGAAAATGAAGGCAATCGCGTCAAGTGGCGGGTTGAAATGGATACTGGATTACTGGTAACTCGTCGGCGTAGTTTTAGGATTGAAGGGGCTCGATTAGGGTTTTTGCGGAAGAGGAGGGCGGCGTAGTTTTAGGATTGAAGGGGGAGGGGGTTAGTTTTGCCGGTTAACCGGCGGTTACCACCGCCGGTTAGCCGGTTAACCGGTAAAGCTGACCTCGCTACCGAACACCGCCCGATTTTGTAATTTTCGGTTAGTCGGTTAACCGGTAACCGTCGGTTATCGGTTTAACCGGCCGGTTAACCGGCAACCGATAACCGAACGTCCAGCCCTAATCACCACCATGGAACGTTATAATAAAAATGGATGCATATAAATTATAATCTATAGAATGTGACAAGTGTAGAGGTTGGACATTCCATGTTTGGATGTATTTTACTAATGTGGAATAATTAAGAATGAAATATTACACAATCCACTCTCCATGAAATTTAGACAACTTTTCATGGTTCCAATCCATCGTGTCCAAATGACCAATCATATTTCGTAGTGCCCACTTTGTCTTTTTTACAAAGATTACTAAATCGCTACTGTACTATCGGTCTGTTCGAAAATAATCTATTGGCATCTAAACCGTCACATTGGACTTGTATAGATATACCATCAACAAATTTTACACAATTAAAACGAAATATTTTTTTCGATAATACTGACAGATTTTGGTGATATTACAACAATACTACATATTTAGTTAGAACTGCTCTATCGATTCCACACAATTGTACCATTAAAATATATCATACTCACTTATTTAGTACGACTTTACAAACTACTAGCCGCCATCTATCCTGGGAATTTAAGCCAACTTCCATTATCACAAATTCACAATCCTGTCATACAAACAAAGATACTCTCTAAACTTCCAAACTTCCATTATCACAGTCCTGTATTAGTTGGTGTTACGATTGGTGGTGTTGGTTGACGTATCGGATTACTGCTGGTTTGCTTTATCTGAAATTGAGGTTCGGAAATGTAGCTGCGCAAATTTTTGGGTAGGAACTGTTGTCGACATGGTCGATCACACTAACGAGAGACGGCCAACTATCATTCTGCGACGAATTTCGTATTTTTTCCTTTTTTCAAAGAGGTTACAACTTACAAGCTACAATCCATCATTTTCCTTTATCGTTTAAAGGCAAGATACAACTTACAAGTTACAATGTTTTTTCTTTCAGAATAACATTTATTTATTTGGGAAGAAGATTACATCCAGTTACAACCAAATCGTAAAAAACATTTGAAAGGATAGCCGAAACTTTCTCCCACAGAATGCAAAGAAAACAGATTTTTGGGTGAACCGCATTTAACAAAACTAACACAATAGATTCACCCTTCCCTTTTTTCTCCCTTGTTTCTCTCTGTTTTTTTCCCCATTTCATTTCTCCGCCTAATTCTTTTGTTCTATGCCATACATTCAAAACACAAACCTCCACAACCATCCCAACCCTTTTTTTTCCTCTCTTCCCCACCCTTCCCTTCTCCCCCTCCATTCCATCACATTGAAGGCTCCTCATGCCAGTAAAGGGCGAACACGCCGCCCCTTTACTGCGTGTTCCGCCCTCCCCAATCGACGACGACGATCCCACCTCCAACGACGACGACGATGATGCTATGGCCCCTCCTCGCCATAGATGCACTAACAAAAACAACGCCAACATTAAATCGTTGTTCTTCTTATTCATCATATTCCTTAACGTTGTCGCCTCTCGTGGTCTCACCGACACCGAGAACCTCCTCAAGTTCAAGGCCTCCCTAGTCGACGCCAGAGCACTCGCCAATTGGGCCGACGACGGCGGACAGGTTTGCGACGGGGACAGGGCCAATTGGATTGGCGTGCTCTGCGACGAAGGCCTGGTGTGGGGCCTGCAGCTGGAGACTATGGGACTGAAGGGTAAAATCGACGTGGACAGCCTGGCCGAGCTCGAGGAGCTGAAGACATTGAGCCTCATCAACAACGAGTTCGACGGGCCCCTGCCGGAGTTCAGGAAGCTTGTCGGGTTGAGGTCGCTGTACTTGTCGAACAACCAATTCTCCGGCGAGATTCCTGGGGATGCTTTTGAAGGGATGGGGAAGCTGAAGAAATTGTACCTGTCGGGGAACAGGTTTACAGGGGAGATCCCTTCTTCGTTGGCTGGATTATCCAAGCTGACCACTTTGAAGCTCGAACAGAATCAATTTACAGGGAGATTGCCGAAATTCACCGCCAAATTCGAGGCTTTTAATGCGTCGGACAATCGATTGGAAGGTCCCATTCCTGCTAGTCTCGCCAACATTGATCCCTCTGCGTTTTCTGGTAAAATTTCCCCTTCCGTCCATGCATCTTTTTAGAGTTCTTTAATATATAAATCGAGCTGAACTTGTACATTAAACGTTACGGTAACTTGTTACAATATTGTTTTTCTAATGAATGATAACATGTTGGAATGTTTGATGAATGCGCCGAGAGCAGGGAACAAAGGCTTGTGTGGAAAGCCACTAGAGGAATGCACCGCCGCTCAATCCTCATCCTCCCCTGCCTCTGCCCCAACGGCATCTGCCGCCGGCGGTGCCACCACAACCTCCAAATCAACCGTTCAACCAACCCCGACGGACGACGACGACCCGACCGATCCCACCGCCGGCCCCTGGAAACCCTCGACGGCGAGCATCGTGATCGTCGCCATCGTCGTCGGGGTGGCCGTATGCGGGATCCTCGCTGCAGCATTCATCCTCACGCGCCGCCGAAACCAGTCCCCGGAGTCGATCGAGGCCGGCCCACCGGGGACTGCACCGCCACCGACGACCATCCAGCACAAGCAAGAGGCGACGCCGGAGAGCCACTCGGCGGCAGGGGGAGGCAGGGGAGGGGGCAGGGGAGGAGGGAAGAAATTGGGGGCAGAGGCGGCGGCGGTGAAGCTGTCGTTCGTGAGGGAGGACAGGGGGAAGTTCGAGCTGACCGACCTGCTGAAGGCGTCGGCGGAGATACTGGGAGCTGGGTGCTTCGGGTCGTCGTACAAGGCGGCGCTGGCGCCGGGGCAGGTGATGGTGGTGAAGAGGTTCAAGCAGATGAATAATGTCGGGAGGGAGGAGTTCCACGAGCACATGCGGCGGCTGGGGAGGTTGAGGCACACCAATTTGCTGCCGCTGGTGGCTTACTATTATCGGAAAGAGGAGAAGTTGCTGGTTCATGACTTTGTTCCCTATGGGAGCTTGGCTGTCCATCTCCATGGTTAGTTCTCTGCTTTTTTTCTACTCTGTCTCTTCTTGATTTCATTGTTCCACTAGTTTTTTCTTTTCCTCCTTAGAAGTTAAAACCCTTTCTTACCTAGGTTTTCAAATCGGTTTATACAGTTATGTTGATCTGGCAAGGGGCATGATTCAAACCAATGATACAATCGATTTATAATCTTTAGTATGGGATGCAGGGGCGGAGCTACACTATGGCTCGGGGGGGCCTCGGCACCCCCGAGAATTTTGGAATTGACGTATAAGTTGTTCACGATTTGGGAAAATTACGTATAAATAAATTATATAATATATGACATAGGTTGAAAATTATGTTACAATTGTTGTTGTAGTCTAACGGATTACCATACTTGCATTAGAAGGTGTTTAGAGGTGGTCTAGGTTCGATGCTCCATAAAGAATATTTTGTTCATTTTTCGCTTTTAGTTGTACTTGGCATGATAATCGCATATAATCATCTGGTTTTCATATTTTAGTTTACTTTTGCTGTTAGCTTAAGGTAAGGATTCATTTTCAGCTCTAAAAACAGTGAAAACTTTGTATTTGCAAGTTTAAGGACTCTTTTTAATATATTATGAGTAAAAAAATTTCTTGTAGCGGATAGTGCACATTGATTTTCAGCTATAAAGATAACAAAACATGTTATCAGTGGAATACATTATTAATTTTGTGGATAATTAACTCGTTCATAGTCAGAATGACATTATATATTTTTTTTATCTTAAATAATATTTTAAGTAAATATAATTGTCTCAAGCATGTAGCTAGAAAAATTATAATGATCAAAATAATTAGTTTTCTTAACTTTGATAAATTGTTTTTTTAGTTTGTTTAGCTTTTTCGATAATATGAACAAAAAAATTTCGGCCCCCCCGAAACTTGAATCCTAGCTCCGCCCCTGATGGGATGTCTGATCTCCTGGTTTGGTTTGATTTGGTTTAGACAACAAATTATCATACTATACTGCATGAACTCAACCCACTTCTCAATTCATGATAGCACTGCAGTACTCGACTATCTACTTGTTTCACTCCCCACCCTAATTTTGTGACTCTCGTTCATTCATTCACAAATCACACTATGCAAAATAGCATAGACGATCACATTTCCAAATGAAATGACACCATATCCAAGTTTATGACGTTAACGGGAAAGTTGGTTGCTCAAATTCTGTGTTTTTTGTTATTTATTTGAATTTTATGGTATGGAAATTATGCATGCGTTTTGAAATTTAGGTTTAAAGACAAAAAGAATATACTTTTTTCCGATTAATAATGTGATCCATCAAACAAATTGTTCATTTTCTACTCAACGCGCGTGGTTTTGCCTGGTCCGAAATTTACCTGACCAATCAAGTATTATCTGGACAGTATAATTTAACGCCTAATCATTCCATACGCAACCCCCCGCGTTGGGATACTAGACCAGACCATATATATAGTGTGGAATTCAGATCGATCCGCACCATTTCCCCGCCCTAATGCAGAGCCCACTCAAGCAATGTTTCTCTAGACAAAGAATGCATATAGACCCACCAACTCTTGTGTATAGCTGCATACATATATATAAGTTACATCCACATTGGACCTTCTGATCAATCAAAAATTTCAGCACCTCAATCCTACAATATATGAGTTAAACTTGTTTATGTCTTGTCACTTATAATATAGGGCACCAAGCCCTAGGGCAGCCAAGCCTGGAGTGGGAGAACAGGCTCAAGATCATCAAGGGAGTGGCAAGAGGACTATCCTATCTGCACAAGGAGCTACCAACCCTGATCGCCGCCCACGGCCACCTGAAATCCAACAACGTCCTCCTCGACGAGAACTTCGAGCCTTGCCTCACCGACTACGCCCTAATCCCGGTCATCAACCAGGAGAGCGCACAGGAGCTCATGGTCGCCTACAAGTCCCCGGAGTACCTCCACCACGGCCGCGTCACCAAGAAAACCGACGTCTGGTCCCTCGGGATGCTCATCCTCGAGATCCTCACCGGCCGGATCCCCTCCGCCGTCCTCAAACAAGGGGGTGGCGGCGAGGAGGAGGACCTGGCGGCGTGGGTGAGGGCGGTGCCGGAGGAGAAGTGGGTTTGCGAGGCGGTGGACAAGGAGCTGGCGGAGGAGATTGACAACCACAATGAAGCGGAGGTGGTGAAGCTGGTGAGGATAGGGTTGGGTTGCTGCGAGGCGGATGTGGAGAGGAGGTTTGATGTGAAGGAGGCGGTGGAGAGGATCGAGGAGGTGAAGGTGAACGATAGGGATGCGTTTGACGACGATTTCTATTCTTCGTATAGTGAGAGTACCACTGCCGGCGGCGGTGGTGGTGGGGATCGGAGGCGGCCGTCGAGGGAATTGTCGGCTGATTTCAGTGGTATTTCTTAAATTTTTTTATTTTTATTTTGGGCGTTTTTAAAGAATTGTACATGTTTCGATCTCTTCATTGTTTGGAAAAAGAGGAATTAAATGTGCATGGAATTTGTGTTTGGGAAATGCACAAAATTGAATTGATGAAGTGTTTGGAAATGTGTGTTTGCTAACATAATTGGATTTCAGATAAATAGTATAGTAATTTAGTATTTGGTGTATGCATGTTGGATATTTCACAATTATTAAACAATAAATATTAGTTTTTCTATAATATCCAAGGTTGTCAAACCGGATTAAGCCATCAAGTCGGTTTGACACAGGAGTTCTAGATTTAAAGGTCGAATCGGGGTTCAATCGGATTGAGCCGGTTTCGACATGAGTACATACCAATTGATCATCAATAACAACTAAGCAAACAATTAACTTAATTCCATATGCTCAAGCTGTACCACACGAATCACAATACCATTCAACTACTCTGACAAAGGCTTTGCTAATTTGGGGTAACAATATAAAAACTTCGGATAGTGGAAAAGAATTAAGTAATTACAAATTAGCCAGAAACCAAACACTTGCTTGCTTTTTTATTTTATTTTATTGTAAAGACCTGTATTATTTCATTAATGTGAAATATTACAGGTATCAGAAATGAGCTGATTTACAATAAAGATAGGGGGCCTATCTGCTCAAAACTCAGTCTCATGCCACCCACATTGGGTATGGGCCATAATATGAGCCGCTCGGTTACTGTCCCGACCTAAAAAACTAACCGAAAACTCTCCACTCAAACCAGCGAGCTTATCCCTCATTTCTTCACATTCTGCCCCCTCCTCAGTTAGCGACTCTTCCTCCTTCCCGATCTGCTGCACCACTCTAAGGCAATCAGTTTCAATCTCACCCGGTCGATAGCCCATCTCAATCGCGACCTCCAAACCCAATTTAATGGCCTGAATCTCAGCTAGCTCCGCCGTCCATTGAGTTCTCGATCTTCGTACTCCGGCAAAGCAACACCCTCCGTTTTTGTCACGAATTACCACCCCCAGGCCAGTTCCCGCTCCGGTGAAGGTAGCGGCATCGACGTTGATCTTGAAGTCTGCTCTATCCGGTGGTTTCCATAGAATCGCCTGCCTGGGTCCAGTGGCCATCGTCGCGCTCTGATATTCTAGGTATTGCAGCAACCATCTTTCAGATTTCCCCATTATCTCGTATTCTTCCCTTTTCTTCTTGTTCCACTGTTGACAATTTCGTTCTTCCCAGATAAACCAAAGAGCCGCCAGGAATTGGCCAATCTTCTCTTCAGATTCAGTCTCTTGAAGACTTGCCATCCACTCTTCACAGGTCAGTTCGCCCCCCTTCTCAAACACTTGCTTGCTAATTTGTCGAAATACCAAACTGTTAGAAACCCGCTTGGTTCTCGGTCGGGATAGACAGGGCTCGACCCTTCCTTTATTTTTCGGTTCATTATGTATTTGGGGAGGCACTATATAAATCTTGGATGGATTATTTTTCAGATTAAGCAAGAATAATATTAAAAACCCTAAACCTCTATCTCTCAATCTCTTCCCTAATTCCTCTCAACTTCTTATCCCTAACCCTAAATTATATTCTCAATCTTCCTCAATTTACCCCAATCTAGCGGGTTTCTTACACAAACACTATTCCAAGCACCAAAAACAAAATCAAAAGGAGGAATAAAGGGAAATCGACCTTGTTGGAGATAAGGAGAGACGAAGGTTGACGAGCTATGGAAGACGAGTATCTCCCACCTTGCTAACCGGCGACCAGCTTTGGACGACATCCTGGGAGCAACGGAAGACGGCCGGCGAGCTGAGGAAGACCGAGGGATCACGGAGGGGAGCTGCGGGAGGAAGACGAAGTTCTCCGGACTCCCGAGGCTGCTGATGATGGAGTTGTTGATGACGGAGCGACCGTCGATTAGCAAAAGACGAAGATGACCGCGAGACGCAGAGCCGTTGGGGTGAGACCGAGAGAACCGAGAGACGCAGCAACTGATCGCAGAGACGCGGCGCAGATCGACGCTGACTGCTGCTCTCAAGCTTCTTGCGGCTAGGGTTAGCATATTGCCCTTAGGCCTAGCCAATTTTTTGCTCAAAACGACGACATTTCAGTAAGTAGTCGGAAGCCGGTGAAACCGGCTAGACCCTAATTTTTCCTGGTTTTGACCGGGCTTCCCCAGTTTTGACCGGCTAAAGCTAAAATATGGCTGGCTGAGCCGTTTTTGTGTCTGGTTGTGGCCTGGCTCGATCCGACCACCCGGTCAGATCTCGGTTTAACAACCTTGATAATACCCCAAACATTCAACCTAGCTCGTCCTCCACTCCTCCTCCACCTCCGCGTTGTTTCAATTGTCGCTCCATCTCACCATCACCCTGTGACTCCTCATCTCCAAACTCCGCTTTAATTTCAAAACCACAACAAATACCCCAAAATCAAATCCGTCCTCCCGACCGCAACAATTCCTAAAATCAGTTGCTCCTCTACTATGGTGCAATCATGATCGGTGGCCAAAAAGCGCCTCCTTGAGCTTATCCTTGACCAAGATCGAGTTCTCAAGACCCCGAGTGACCCCGACAAACTCAATTTCCTCGTCGAGGCCATCAATTGCATAGTAGAGCTAGGTAGGGATAAGCATCACGAACCGGGCTTCCCTCTTGGTTGTTGTGGTTGACAGAGAAAGAGAAGTAACAACAGATTCTCCAAACTCTATACACGTGTCCTTTCAGTTCCATGTTTTGGAATCATTGTAGAATTCTAAAACCTCGTGGCACGACAATGGTGATGTCAAGTTGTTGATCGTGTAGTAGCGAGTTATAAATTTTAGGAGTTCCTAGGGTCGTATTCACAGGGCCTTTCAATAATAACTACTCAAACATAACCAATTGAGTTCGAAAATGCAATGCAAGAAAGTAAACCTAGGTGAGTTGAGGTGCCCTCTACTTGAAATTCTAAACAACTATGCAAGAAACAAAACAAAGATATAAGCAAGAAAGTAATATTTAGGCAGCTCCCTTCTAGATAATCACTCATACAAACTCCTCCATAAGATGCATCTATGCATCATCTATTATGATTCTCTATCCCTTCCTCTAAGGCCACTCTCTACCAGTGCACGCGTCTCTTATGATAGAAATTTGACTAGTTTATGTGTGCTTTCGCTTCATGCCATCACCTAATCAATGAAGAACAAGGAAGTTAGGATTACATATCGTTAATTGTGGGCTTCTACGAACCATAACTCTAACCTAGAGCACCGATGATCCAAGAATCAAGCATCTTCCTTAGTCATGCATAGAAGGGTAGCTAATCCTCCTATACGCACCTAAGAAGGATAGCCTACTACACAAGATTAGTTTTCTTGTTTCCCATAATAGTAGTATAAACAATGACTATAGTAACATCATAGTATGGTCACACACAGATTAATCAAAGCATCGTATGATCATATGATCATAAGCAATAGATGATTAAAGCATGCATTCAATAAAGCATCTAAAACAACAAGGATCAATGATCCATAACATAGAAAGAATCGAGCATCTCATTAATTCATAGAAAGTATGTAATACATAATCATCATTGAATCACATCCATAAACAGATCAACTAGCAACACAAAGGAGAGTGGAACAAAATCACTATTGATACAAAGCATTGATGATGAACTCTTCCTAGTCGAGCTCTAGCAGGCTTCTCCTCTTCTATGTATTGCTACTCGTGCCTAGTGGGGCAAAGCGATGGTAAAGGTTGTGCCTTTTTTTTTTGTAGGCATGTGCCCCTATTTATACTAGTTATGAAAGGGGGGTTTTCTAGTCATTTCACTCCTAAATCCCAGCCAACTTGCCCCTATAAGATTTGAGCTTGGCTTCCTTTGACTTGTGGATGAAGTAGTTTCTTCAGGAATTTTCCTTAACGAATTAAGGCAGCGGTAGTGAGTAGTAATGTTGGGTTATCGCTCTCTTGTCATTTGGGTTGGGTAGATTCTGGCTTAGTGAACTCCTCCTTCAATTTATAGAGCGGCGATTAGGAATAGAATTTCTTGTGGGCCTCTGTCCAAGTTTGGTCTGCTTCACTACTAGTTCTACTTGTTTTAGCCATAAAGTGAGCATCCAATATCCAAATCCATCTCCGTTTGGACCCATGAGTTTGAACTCTCCAAACTCCTTCTTACTCTATAGATCTCTTATTGATCCGGATACGTCTTGAGTGGTTTATATCCTTGAAAAGTATAAAACAACACCATAAAGGCATCAAATAGTACAGAAACACTCAAGGTCTATCATAAGAACATCGATCAAATAGTTATAATTTTCATATGAAATATAGTCAAAATCACTAAAGATGCATTGATAGGAGGGGAAAATGCATCAAATATGTGAGTGATAAACACTATAAATTGAGTGTCATAAAAAATATCCCACATTATTTTACTAACTATGAAAGGTGGAGGACGGAAAGGGGGGAGGCGGGGAGGGAGAGAGAGAGAGGGGAGGGGAGGGCATGAGGGCGGAGGGAGGGAGAGCGACACCTCCTCGTTGGGGAGGTAGGGAGACGGCTGGATTGTGGGAGAATATATGGAAAGTCATATTATTTGTTTTCCAAAAACTATCCATAATCAATCATGATGGTCAGTTTAAAATGCTGAGAATGGAGGATGGAGATGTAGGTAGTAACGGAGTAACCATCATATCTCATCGAACCTCTGCGACGCGTTGAATGAAACCTGTATGGAAAGATTTATATGTTTGTTTAGCCATCTTGTTTGTGGGCTTGTGTTTGTTTAATTAATTAATTTTCTTTTGATGCTCTTTTGTGACGGATATTCAAGTTGTTTTGTCTAGATATTTCTTCTCTATTTACCAAAAATGCTTTTTTAGTCTTTTGTGGAAGGATATGCAAGTTGTTTTTCCTATACTTCTTCTCTATTTTCTCAAAATGTTCCTTTGTGGCAGGATATGATACTCTCGTTGCCAAAATTATAACTGTTAGAACTCTATTAGTCATTGTTGAGTTTAGTGTTCATTTTTACACCAATTCAATGTAAATGATTCCTTTGTTATCGTGACAATTTAATAGGAAAAAGTATACATGAAAGCACCACGTGGTTTTGAATAGCTTAAGGTTCTACCTTAACTTGCTAGTTAATTAGATCGTTGTTTGGTCTGAAACAAGTTAGTCCCACAATTGAATCATAAGTCACTCAGTTTGTTCCTAGTGTCATCAGTTTTCATTTTTGAATCCAACTCTTACCTTCTGCCCTCACCTTAACTCTGTGTGATGACTATTTGTGAACTAATTTTTTATTTGCATGAAGCTCTGTCTGCTGATGGGGACTATGATGTACACAGGTTTTGCATTTGGCTTTTCATTTGATTGTTGATTATGTGGAGTGTTGACGCTTTACTCTCCTTTATGGTAATTTCATGTGTTGGTTGTAATCTTTCTACTTCACTAGTTGGTTGTTCTTTGTTCATTTATCAATTTGTTGTTGAAATTTATTTATAAGTTGCTATCCTTCTATTCGAACCAAAATGCCGATATGATGCTCAGCTAAACATGTTTTTCTCGTGTGGTTGCTTCCTATAAACATATATTGGGAGTTTGGTTCATTTATCCTACTTTTGGTTGTCCCCCGCCCCTCTCCATCCTCCCGCGCGCGCAGTGTTTTCACCTCTGCATAATTTTCATCCTGATCTCGAAGCAAACTTTTCATATTACCTTCTATATATCAACACCTTGAAACTTTAAGCTATTGTCTTCTTTTGTGGTTTGCCTTTTGATGAGGTCTTAATTAGTTGAGAGTTTGATGTTTTTTATTGCTTTTGTTTCATATTTTAAACTATGTCAGTGACTCTTTCCCTCCCATTGAGCAAGTGGAACACTTGAGTTTTTCTTGTAATCCTTCGTGTTCAGTTTTGTTGAGATCTTGAACATACCTTTATTAAGTTTTCTGTGCAGATATTACTGCAATTTTGACTCAAGCTGCCTAAGATTAGAGATGATAAGTTGCTTTTTCTGTTAGTGGTATTTAGGTCGGATGACTTTGTTATGTGCTAAATTGTAAGTTCAATTGTCTATTGACATGTTTGTGTGTGTTTATCCAATCAGCAGTGAGTGGCTAGTTCTTAGCTTTCTTATTAACATGCGTCATGCCTTTCTGTCTCTCTATGCGAGTGATATGTCCCCTCTATATAACATGGTTTGTTGATTTTTCATAGTATGCTTCATCCATTGGAGAAAATAGAATGACATGGTGTCTTCTTGTTTTTCCTAGAGTATCCCATCACCAGTGAGTGACTAGTTCTTAGCTTTCTTATTAACATGCTTCATGCCTTTCTGTCTCTCTATGCGAGTGATATGTCCCCTCTATCTAATATGGTTTGTTGATTTTTCATAGTATGCTTCATCCATTGGAGAAAATAGAATGACATGGTGTCTTCTTGTTTTTCCTAGAGTATCCCATCACCAGTGAGTGACTAGTTCTTAGCTTTCTTATTAACATGCTTCATGCCTTTCTGTCTCTCTATGCGAGTGATATGTCCCCTCTATCTAACATGGTTTGTTGATTTTTCATAGTATGCTTCATCCATTGGAGAAAATAGAATGACATGGTGTCTTCTTGTTTTTCCTAGAGTATCCCATCATATTGTCCCCCGCCCCTCTCCATCCTCCCGCGCGAGCAGTGTTTTCACCTCTGCATAATTTTCATCCTGATCTCGAAGCAAACTTTTCATATTACCTTCTATATATCAACACCTTGAAACTTTAGGCTATTGTCTTCTTTTGTGGTTTGCCTTTTGATGAGGTCTTAATTAGTTGAGAGTTTGATGTTTTTTTATTGTTTTTGTTTCATATTTTAAACTATGTCAGTGACTCTTTCCCTCCCATTGAGTAAGTGGAACACTTGAGTTTTTCTAGTAATACTTCGTGTTCTATTTTGTTGAGATCTTGAACATACCTTTATTAAGTTTTCTGTGCAGATATTACTGCAATTTTGACTCAAGCTGCCTAAGATTAGAGATGATAAGTTGCTTTTTCTGTTAGTGGTATTTAGGTCGGATGACTTTGTTATGTGCTAAATTGTAAGTTCAAGTGTCTATTGACATGTTTGTGTGTGTTTATCCAATCACCAGTGAGTGACTAGTTCTTAGCTTTCTTATTAACATGCTTCATGCCTTTCTGTCTCTCTATGCGAGTGATATGTCCCCTCTATCTAACATGGTTTGTTGATTTTTCATAGTATGCTTCATCCATTGGAGGAAATAGAATGACATGGTGTCTTCTTGTTTTTCCTAGAGTATCCCATCATATTGTTCTTCATCTCCTCCTACTACTAGCCCTTTGGGCATGTGTTACTATATTTACTTCTTTGGACAATCAACATGACATACAATTGAGGTTGTTTGATTGTCTTAGTTTAAACATGATTGTTTATTGCGAGTTGTATTTGTCTGATCATAGTTGACAGTTTTTTAACTTTAGAATACATGTTTTAGTCACTGAAATTGGCAAGCATATGAGTTGAGCAATTATTTAACCTAGAATTTGTGTGCTAACTGAATTTTGATTTCTGTGGCAGCTCGTTCTTCCAACTTTTTAATTCTATCATGTCTATCAAAATCACCATTTTAAGTCATCGAAGGGTTGTCATATATGTCTGCAACATAGAATTCAATTACCGCAACACCATCAGTTTATTTTATTTACTGTGGTTTGTTTAGTCTGTAATATGGTTAAGCCTTGTCTTTTGATTTTTCATTAACATATATTCGTTGATGCCCTTTCATTTCTTAATGATATGCAGGTTATCTCATGTATACTTACTTCTAAATTTCCATGTAAAAAATGAATCATTTACATCTAATTGGAGTAGACTACGAATATGTGTGTGACTCTGTGACCTATATTTGCTTGGTTTTATCTCTAGATTTTCTAAGTGATGTACGTATATACATGTGATTGGAGTACCAATTGTGCAACTGCACTCCGTCTACAGGACTTACTTGGAATTTTTTGCTACGAATACTGCAGGACGAGTACCTCACAAGGTGGTTCAACTACACCCGTGGAGATGGTGAAGCCGGGGAGTTTGGCCTAGGAGGCGAGGTGCTCGACGTGGCCGAGATTAGGATGGATCGCTGAAGATAGGAGACATACTCTAATGCAATTGTTTGTCTGTCTAGCAGTGAATTATGTGATTTTGGTGTCCTAATTTTGACTAGTGTTATTGTAGTACTTTTATTTAGCAATGTTGCTACTATAATATCAGGTATATAATATCACTCAACTGCATTGAAACTTTGCACTTTTTTATACAAATGCACGTCACAATATAGTATGAATGTACAGTGAGCAAAACATTTCTTGCGTTTCATGTCTGATCCTGGTTGGTTTTTATCTTATTTTCCTCTTTTGGCTGGGTCTCCAATTTGGTATGTGTTGGGCTTTTATTAAGCTTCCCATTTTCTCAATTTCAAAATCCTAGCTCTCAGAGAGTTTCACGGAAGGGCGGTATTGCGTTTCCACCACAAATCTTACACGCTGCATTATAACTTCCCTCGTCCTCCGTCACTTTTTTCATTGTCTTTTCCTGGTGAATGATTTTTTTTAGTTTATTCTAATTAGATGTAATACATTATAGCCGTATTTAAATTTTTTTGTCTAGAAAACTCATATTAATCGTACTCTCAAAAATTAAAGTATTTATATATTTTTTAAAACAACAAATGACGCATATATTAACTAGTATGTA